TGAATGGAAGAGCTTTGGATGGAATTGGCGGAGGTAACTTAAACGGAAGAGCTTTGGATGGAATTGGTGGTGGAAATTTAAACGGAAGAGCTCTTGATGGAATCGGTGGTGGTAACCTGAATGGCAGAGCTTTGGATGGAATTGGTGGTGGTAACTTGAACGGAAGAGCTTTAGATGGAATTGGTGGAGGAAACCTAAACGGAAGAGCTTTAGACGGAATCGGAGGAGGAAACTTGAACGGCCGCGACATACACAACATATTGCAATACATTAAAGAAAAACTGTCCAAGTAAACTCTTTAGAAAACATAATTTCTATTTTTATTTAAAACACTGTAATAAACAATAAGCAAATAAAACGATTTGACATAAACAAATAATAATTTATTTTAATTGCAAATTTTGATACACTTTTCTAGATATCTCGTTCGTTCTTAACATACATTTTCGATATTAATTTTTTGTTCATACTGCAGACAGTTATCCTATATCTATTAATGAGTGATCGTGCTGACATATTTGTTTCATAACTTCATATGATTAATTTTCAAAATGGTTATACAAGGATACTCGCATAGTGCGAGTAATCGGTTCCGTCAATATCTCACACTGTTTGAAATCGTACTAATCAAGGATATTAAAACCACATACTAATAAACAGCACAAATCGAAATTAGATAGTAAATCAATTCAATACTGTCAATCGATAATTAAAGCAATTACTTAGATTTTCGGTCATGATTCATGTATATTTTGATTTTTTAGTAGATCGAAGACACGAGCACCAGAAACAAATGAAGGTGTTCGACAGCATGCAGTTCGGAGGTCCTTTCGGAGTTTCTAAGAGGTAAGATTTACGTTTGCAATTTAGGAATAAAACTAATGATCGTCAATACTGCAGGGCATCGCCAGTCGAGAAACGCGGTAGTCTGGATAGCCTGAGCCTGGGCAACAGCTTTGGTAGGAGCGTCAGAAGGGATGGCCAATTGACGTGAGTGTGTCAGTATGTAACGGTGACAGCACTAAAACTTTAACAACGCTTTCCGTTTCAGCGATATCCTGAGGAGGGCTGTCATCGATCTCAACAACCTGATGGGTTACAATAAAATGTAAGTGAATTGACCTGCCCCGATTATTGTCATCATAATTACGTTATTCCTGCAGGGTCCTGAAGGAAGTCCGAGAGCAACAGGCGGGACCCATAAAGAATTCATGGGCCTAATCCTATTTACGGCCGAAATTAATCCCCGCCCGATCGTTTACTTACGTATTTATTAGCTCGCATGTGTGCGATGATGGCGCGGCATCAAAAATTAACAACACTAATTACAGTTCCGCTAACTTCCACATCCACCGATTAGATTAAGCAGCCGCTTCTTTCTAAAAATAAATATATTTTTGTTTTTTGTGTTGTCTCTAAAAACTAGTAAATTCTCCCTGTTAATGGTATTCACTCTAAATTGAAAATACAGACTTTGTGCCAAAATCAATTTTTAATAATCTATTTCTCCCTCATCACACTATCCAAATCCATTACTGCCCAAAATCTCCATTTATTCGATGAATATTAGAGACAAAATAAATAAAAATTACAGTATAATTTTATTGGTTTATGCACAAAAATATAAGAAAAATTCTTTAAGTAAAAAAAGTCATTATAGATGTAAACTATAATCCAACATATTATCCGTTTCTTTAGTTATTTCCAGTATTGTGCTACCAATGTACTTTTTCAAAATAAGATCAAGATCTTCCTGCGCACAATTATGAACGAATTCGCTGGGTTGCAGTTCTTCCAACACATCGTTGAGATTTATATTGCAGAAGAGTAAAAATTGCTTTCTTTGTACGAAATCATCGACAAGAAGTTTGGCTCGCTTAAAATGAATGACTATCAGCATTAACTAACAATTAAGATATTCTTACCTTATTGGCGTCTAGATCAGTTGCTTGAATATTTTTAGCATCGAGTACAACCGGAAAAGAGCCTTCCTTGATGCCAATATTCGAAATCGCAGATCTAACGCATTCGGGCGTTGGAAAACCCAATCTCCGTCCAGGAGTAATCAGCAGATACTCGCAACCCCCGAGGTTCTACAATTACTTCATTCAATTGAAACTTAATCTTTGAATTCATTGAATTGATTTACCTTTATTCTTTCAACGCGCAGCGAAGGTTTAGCTGAAAAGAAAAAGAAATTGCAGAAGAACGCCGTTTGCACTAGACCGCCCACAATGCTTATAAGATCGTAATAGCCAGTCGTTTGGTAGCGGTAGATCCAGTTCAAGATGTAAAATGCACGATATGAGCCGAGTACTAAAAGGTAGTGCAAAGTAAACATGTCGGCTTCCCCTATCTTATAAATCATAAAGAGTTGGGGCAAAATCGCCACGGATTCCAGGTAAATGCTGAACGCCCACATAATCTGCTCAAAGAGGCATTAATAAAAAAAATATTATTATCTTTTCAATATATACTTCTATAAAAGTGAACTCGTGATTAATGAGTAAAGCCAAAATAGTCGCTGGTGCCAGGAGGAATTCCACACGAAAGGTGTCATGCTCATCGTCGTAGGTTTCTCTGAACGACATGTAAATGGAGAATGTCGTGGCGACGGAGAGGCCAATGAAAATCAATTTTGCCGTTGTGTTGTAGAGCGATACATAGGTTGTCATCAAATCCACGTATCTTGTTACGAATACCATCACAAACAAGATCTGCGTCTTTCCAGAAATACCTGAAAATAATATTATAGTCTGAATTATAATTTTATATGAAAGTAGTTTAAAAGATTTGAACCAATTTAAAATAATTTATTTTTAAACCGAACTCTATCAAAATTATAGTATTTTTGTTAAATTAATAAATTAATATTTCTAGTTATAACTAACTTTTTAATAACCAGTGGCGGATTAAGGACAATAAGGGCCACTATCGAAATGTCTTGGCTTGGTGATCTACAAAGCCTGGAGCCACTTGCACGTGTTTCATTGCCATAATCCACAACTGAGAAAGATGTCTCTTCACCAGTCTTGAACATTTTTATTTGTCGATCTTTGAACGAAGGACTTAATTTTAAATATTTTAACTTTCATTTTTACATTTCATTTTTACTGGTTATTCCCGTAAATTCAGAGACTTAAACATTGGTGAGAGTCACTTATGACTCATATTATGATTATACTGAAGTGCCAATTCATAGCAGAATGTCGGAATTATATACTTTGTCGCTATACACATCCAAGCTGTAATTCAAAATACGATAAGTATTATATTATCTGAAATATATTGATCCATTATGGCAGCGATCCCCAACCTTTTTGACCTCATGGACCACTAAACTTAAAATATTGAATCTCGCGGACTACTAAACTTAAAATTTTTAATCCCGCGAACTACTAAAAAGACTTTAATAAAAATAAGATTCTAAATATGAAATAGTATTTACATTGGGCCTTTTATAAAAACGCTACTTTATAATGTGAAAATTGCAAAAAAAAATGGATTCAGAATATAATGAAAACATAAATAACCTCTCGTCACGAACCTGAGAGAAATATACCTCAGAAAATAAAATAGAAAAAAAATATGTTCCTTGGGCCACGCATTATGGGACCATAGACTAAGAGTGTTTTCAAATTTTGGGTTAGTTGTGTTTATTTTTTGATTAAACGATGCCCTGGGTTGCAGCCCATAAATCCGATACATCATAAAATTCAAAAGTATTGAAAAAAAAGTATTTATTGGCTAAAATATACACGTATATAAGACATAAATTCCAGCAAGCAGAAATAAAGATTGATAGATGAAAAACAAGAAAAACAATTGGTAAAAAACCCAAAATAATATAAATTCATAAAAAAAAACCTTGAAAATAAGAAACATTTTTAATGGTCTTTCCGACTTAATTGATTTTTTTCAATAATTACTATTACAGTGGAACCTCGCCTAACGAGCATAATCCGTTCCAAAATTATCGATAAAAATAATAGAACAAAATAAAAAATAATCTTAGAATATTTCAGGTTTTCGATCAGAAGTATATAAGCATTTAATTAAGTAAATGCTTATATATGTACATTATTTGAAGATTATGCACAATAACAAATATTATATATGAAACTTATTGGAACCTGCTTATTTTGTTATTTAGTATCTTTTTAAATAATATTCTCGATTATAATAAACAATAACTTGTGTTATGAATATTTATTAATATTTACATGACAATGTCACAACTATAAATTACTGAATATTGTAATTATATATTTTATTATATACATATTGTTGTGATTAATGACTCAGAATGGTATACAACGTCTTCTGAACGTTGTTAAAATATAAATTTTAAAAAATGACTTCAGGAAGAAATAGCAAAGGCTAGCACAAGATACCATAATCGGCTAGAGAATTACCCAAACCAACTGGCTACGGAGCTCATGCATACTGCAGATCATCGTCGAAGACTGAAGAGGTTTAAACCGCAAAACTTACCCAACCGATTTTAATAATCAATATAATAAATAAATCAATGTTTGCAAGTGCATAAATAATTATTGTATATGTGAAGTAGGGTTGCTAGATCATATCTTCATTAAGTATTATAGTGTCCTTTTTTTATTTTTATTTTTACCACATTCATAAGGCTTGATATCTATGTCAGATGATAGATTGCTTTAATAATAATAAATTTAAAAAAGGGTAGTAATAACAAATAGTTATTAACCTATTTATATTTAATATACCAGACCTGTATAATCAGTGCAAGTAATAATTATATAAATAAAAGTAAACATTATGATAAAGAATTATGCGTTATATTCTATTTTTGTTGCGCTGTATTTATTTGTATTTACGTTTTATAATTATTGTTATATATTACTTTAAATTTTAGTTAATCAATAAATTATATTTATTATAATTTTAAGAGAGTTTCTTATTTTTTTTTTTTGGAGTATCTGTTGCCAACTTGATCATCGTCTACTTGTTTACGTATAATTGATGATAATATATGTGTTAAATTTATAATTAATTTTATATTGGAATTTATGAAAATAAGTATTTACTAATATTTAATATATAACGTATAAATACATATGACAATGAATAAACAGGATTTAAAAATAATTAAATATCATTTTAAATAACATTAATTAGTTTTAATAAAAGCTATTTACTAGATTTTACGCCTCTCGTATGGTATTTATTTTTGTTATTATTTGCAAGGTCGAAAGAGACACATAAAAATAGATATGTCTGTGCTTAATAACATTATCTTTTATTGTATATCACAACTTCCTATATTTATAGATTTTGTTACATTCAATTATTATTTACAAATAATTTGTACTATTTTTTATGTTTCCACTCTCCAAGTATTACATGACCGTTTTTTAGTTACCAGCTGAAAAGCACTTGCGCCATTTACCTACAGAAAACTATAGATTTGTTTTTGAGGTTTAGAACGGCTTCTCTATAGTAACACTATTACAAAATATTATTGTTCTATTATATTCTTTTATGACCACTATCATCGCATCGCAATGTGTTTCATTCTAAATATTATTTATGCGGAATCTAGTTACCACCTGATTTATATTCAACAAACAACACGTAATGTGGATTCTAGGAAGACTATCATATCTGACATTGGTTATTACCTATAGCGCATGTTATCTTCACTGCTTGAAATATATCAATTGTTATAAAATTTGATATTGATGATTACTTTTTATTTAATCTGTATATTGTTGACAAAATATAAATGGAACTTTACCTGCACATGATTTAGTTTTCCATATTTTACCCAGAAGCGTTACGATAGCTAGCAGATGACATATATCGGCTATTAGGCGGAAGACATTCATTTTGAACTTGATACTTAGCGATACAATAAAATTATGGTGCAAACACAGTGCAGCGCAAAACAGTTTTAAGCCAACTACCTATATTAATGCAGGATAAACAAGCAACCATCGCAACGTTCATGATGTTTGTGAAGTACATGTATTTAAATAAAATAAGGGGATATTCTATAAATTCAAAAATAATACCGGTGGAGTAATTGAATCGTAATTTCAGTTAACACAAAACAGAATAACTCTATGAAATAATGATAAAATCATAAATAAATTAAGAATATAAGATTTATTTAAAATATGTATGTATGTATAGTCTATAGCTGTATTAATACAAAAAGGGAATGAAATATTCATATAAATTAATTTCTAGGATTCTATCACAATTTATCAACAACAGTAGTTTGTTCGATGACTTCCTCTTTACTTTTGATGCTATAAGTGTTCAAAATATCGTCAAGTTCTTGGAAGGTGCGACAGTAAACAAACTCTTTAGGCTGTACGCCCTGGAAGGTCGAAATGACGCTGGTCTTGAGGTTGTAAAAAAGCAAAGGTTGCCTGCGCTGAATAAAGTCCTCTATCAGCAGTTTGATGCCCTAAAAATGATTATATAATAAACATTTACATAAGTTAACAACTAAAAATTACTTTAGCTACGGTGAAATCCGCTCCCTGCATATGCCTAGCATCGATTACTACTGGAATAGAGCTTGAACCCTGCTTAACGCCGGCTTTAGTAACAGTAGATCTGACGTACTCAACAGAAGGAAACGCCAAACTCCTGTCCGGTGTGATCAGCAAATATTCGCATCCTGAGGTCGCCTGAAACGTTTACGATTGATAAGAAAATTGTAAATAACACCAAGCAGGACTATCCTTACTGTGACTTTCTCAACGCGTACGGAAGGCCTCGCCGAAGCGTACAAAAGGGAAACGAGGTTTATGCCAATTCCGATGGCGATGCCGATTTCTAGACGCAAAAACAGACAGCACAAGAAGGTGGCAGTGGCGGGAATCAAGTCACTTTCTAAAATTAATTACTGTTGTTACAGATTGTATACTTTTTATATTGTTCGCTTTGCAATTTACTTTTGGTGCGCCAGATCGGTTTCACTACGTGCAACTCCACCATGAAGACCACCGCGGCGATTATAACCGCCGCCAAAGAAGCTTTGGGGATGTAGTAGAAGTACGGTGTGAAAAACTGCAAAGAAAGGATGACGATGATGCCGGTGTATATGCCGCCGAATGTTGTCTTCACACCACTGGCATTGTTAACGGCTCCTCGGGAAAGCGCACCCGTGACTGGCATAGAACTCACGAACGACGAAGCTATATTGCAGACACCAAGCGCAAGCATTTCCTGTGTGGCGTCTATGGCCTTTCCTTCAGCTAAAATCAACACGAAATTAACATTTATTCAAAACTTATGTATTGTAAACTTACAAAAAACTTTAGCGAGCGCTATGTTCTCGAGAATTCCCAGAAGCGGTACTACGATGAGAGCTGAGCCCATCGTGGAGGCCATATCTATAAAGTTGTAAGTCACGTTACCGGCGGACGTGGTAAACGGCGGTGGTTTAATTTCCGGGAGGCCCGGTTTGACGACGCCAGTCAAAATAAAGGGTTGTGCTTGGTGCGACTCGCAGATCACAGCGAAAACCGCGCAGAATACCACAACTATAATATTTCTGGCTGTCGAAATGAGCCACACGCATTTTGCGATGACGTCGTGGTATGATTTTCGTTCCTTAATGTCTTTCGGACCGATTTGGAAGTCCTTTGATTTCTGTAAATCTTATAAGTTATTACATGTTTTAAAGTTAACAAAATAAATAATATACCCTTAAAAATAGTATGACGAGCATGCAAGAGACACCTAGGATGAGGTCGAAGAGACGAGTCTCAGAAATGTGTTCGAAGATGTTCTCCCATACGTCGAGGAAGCTTCCTCCAGATATACTTAAACCTAGTATATCTTTCACTTGGGTGGTTGCTATGATTATTGCTGCGGCCGATGTGAAGCCTATCGATACTGGACCCGAGATGAAGTCGATCAAAAAACCTGAAATACAACATAAACATTGATACTATACAATATAAATAACCATATAGTTAACCAATTTTCTTTTTTTTATAACAAATTAATTATAAACAACACATACATCTTGTTTTTTCATGATAGTGCATTTGTCTAATTTTATCAACAAGCTTACTCATAGGACTCTTTAATTATCTTTAGGTCCTTATTATTTAATACATTCAATCAATAATAATAGAATATAAAAAAAAACTAGTGAAACAATTAATTTTCGTTATAATTTTGAATATTGAAAATAATTTAATAAATATCAATTACGTCAGCGAATAACCAGTATACAATTATGCCCTAAAAATTTTTGTAACTTATTGAAAAATATTATTTTTTTATTTACAAAAGAATTATCGACCGAGGTCTTACTGCTTTAAAACATTAAATAGTTTTATTTATAAAATAACATTATATATTTTAAATATTAAATGTACTCTGTAATATAGTTATTCGGATTAAATTATGTATTTTTTATAATATGCAGTAAGAAATATTCATTAATCATGAACAATAAGACTTCAATGTGATTGACTCAGTATTGTATTATTATTCATAAAATGTAAATATTATATATTTTATAGATAATTAAAGATTATTCTCTATCGAGACTGAATACTGTAGTATAAGGGTAATACTTAACGTGAATGTGAATTTGCATTTTACATATTTTAATGAATATTGCAAAAATACTTACTGCAGCCAATTTGTGACCTCATTCATATGCATGAATAGAATGAAATCTTACTTCTAATAGTTACTGAAATTTACTTTGCAATTACTTGCTAAAGTTTCGTGTTATTAGACTGCCTACAGGTTCAAATTACTGATGTGATAGTCACAAATTTGATACTTTCCTAATATTTTTAGATATATGTATGCTAATAATATTTAAATTAATATTAGAAAAGTATTAGGAATGTAACTTAGAGATTAATTTATTTTTGTTGTTGTCGTTTAATTGAACGCAATTTCTCTTCAAAAACTGATGTATGATTCTGAAAGCCACGTTGAGGTCATCGACCCGCGGAAGCGCCAATACAGCGGTAAAAGTCCTTACATTGCACATTCTTGTGTAATTTAAATACCATACCCAATTGTAGTATTCCCATGAGAAATTGAACGCAGCCTGTGAGGAGGCAGAGGAGGACGGCGCCGTCAACGCCGAAACCGTGGTTGTTCTCCCTGGTGAGTAGACCTGAGATAGCCGTGGGTCCAATAGCGGAGTCCTTGACGCTGCCGAAGACGGCGTAGACAAAGCAGGCCATAAATGAGGAATAGAGGCCGACTTGCGGCGGAAGGCCGGCGACGTTAGAATAGGCTATTGCCTGCGGAATGACGGTAAGGCCGACGGTGATGCCAGCCACCAGGTCCGAAACTCCATCGCTGATGGAGTACTTCGGTAGCCAGGATAGGATGGGGATGCGTTTCAGCAGTAGTTTCTTGTTGCTGTTCTTGTTTGTCCTGCGCTTAAACCACTCTTTCAGGTTGGGTTTGGAAGGGTTCTGCTGCAGCCTCTGAAGGTATTTTTCTTCCGGTATATACAAGACCGTGTCTGCAACAAAGTAGGTTAGCTAGGGCGTACGTTTATTTGATTGATGAATGTATACTTTTCTTGAGGCATCCCTCGCAGGAATCGAGCTTGGCTTCGTCTCCAGATCCATCGCTGGACGTCTTCTCCGTAGCCCCGTTCACGTTTCCCGTTCTCAGATCCGCGTGGCTTCCCCCGATGAGAGTTAACTGCGAGTTGTTTAAGTTAAATTTATCCATGATCGTACATCCTTAATTCACATGCGATCTAAATGGAAACCGTTCTAATTAATTACAAGATCCACCTCCCATTGTCTTCGGGAACACGGAAAACACTCAAGCGAAGAGGGAGTAAACAACAACAAATGCAAGTAACATTCCAAAATCGGAATGCAAATTTTGATACGTAACTGTTGCAGCTGCGATCCGGTGATCGTAAAACGAATAATAAAAGATAAAAAATAACAAGAGCGCCGCGTTACGAAATCGGACCGAATGCGAATTCTTTTCGCGAATTTGGCTGCTTAAGGATTCTTGCCGCGCGACTTGCGCAATCAAGGATGTCCCTCTTTATGCGCTCCATCGTTTTCTCTTTCCCCTCATTCAACCCTGCAAAGCTATTCGCTGCTTTTTTTTCTCTTTCTACTTTTTGAAAGCGCGACGTTCGCGCAACAGGAACTTTCTTCGCGGTTTGCTTCTCGGAGCTACTCCTCCGGGTCCTTCTGATCATATTCGGAACAGGTTTCCGACAACGCCGTGGCCTTCGCTGCACTTTGTCTTTGCTTGATCGGTTCAAACCAGTTTCGGAAACTGGAGCAACATCCTAAATGTTAACACATGTGCGTTTGCACTTTTTTTATAATTATCTATTAAACACAATCTTCTATTAATGTGGATATTTTGGTTTTCAGGACAAATACCTTCAATTATAACTTCCGTCGTGGTAAAAGTCCATGCGCACAGATTTTCACTTTTACCAATTTCTAATTAATGCGGATCGAAGATGCATCGAGTCGAGAAACAAAATACAAACAGGCAACAAAACGCGATCTCCATTTGGGGTCAACAGTTTTCCAATAAACTCAACCAAGCTGACTGCTTCTCGCAATTTCTAATCTCGCTGCAATTTACCAAAACTGTGGTGATTGCTAAACGTGAGCCTTGGCAGAAATCAATAATATGAGCTTTTTTTATATAATTTTTAATTGGCGCAGAAGCCAACTTGCTATTAGATATTTGGGACAAGGCAGTTACCCTTGGCAACGAAAATATTTGCCAAATAAATTAGTTTTGTTGTGTGTTTATTTGCATAATTTTTGGATCGTGTTTTTGCATATATTTAGAGGACGAAATTTCCTTAATAAAAATAATTCGTGACTTAATGACATGCAATTTGTCACATGAAACGAGTGCGCGGTGTTTGCGGATTTTGCAAGCGTAATTAAATTACACGTCGTCAATCGGTAACCACATGCATGGTAGCAGTAACAAAAAAAAGACCGCAACCTAAGGGCCTCATTAAAACCATCTATTTAGTTGCGATAGAGTGAATTGGCTAAACGGTGATAACGAGTTTCAATGGAACAATTGCGCTAGCTTTTAGTCGCATTCATCGCTTCGGTGATTTTTTCTTCCGCGTTTCTTGCGTAACGTGACCGACGAGGATGCTCCTCAATTAATAACGGAACATACATACAGTTTCCACGGAAACAATGAATTATCAGCAAAAAAAATATATAGAAGAAAACCAAAATAAAACAACATTACTCACCGGAACGTTTTTGGTTCGCGTCGAATCCTTTCTGTCTTATTTCACAATTTAAATATATCTGTATTTTCCCGTTCAAATATTTCAGATTCCAATAAATTGAAAATTTTGAAAAATTTCTTTGATTTATTTTTCTATTATTTTGATCTGCCTCGCGCTATCGCCTGCGACTGACTGAATCCGAAAGGCGACTTGATGAATTTTATATATGTGTAACGTAACAAACGAGGCTTTTCTAAAATGTTTGCACTTCCAATTCGAGTCCCCGAAACAAATAAACAACAAACAAATAAACAACAAACAAACAGACCACTCCAACCATGGAAGACTTCTGTGGGATCCCTTCTCATGTAGATTTCGTGGATGCGCGCACAATTACAACAGTCTACCTTGCGTCGAATCCGCGCAATTAAAGCAAATTCTCATTTGCTATGCGGCATAAAGCGAAAATTGAGGACGATTTTTCGCATTTCCGTCTCGCACGTAAACTGCATTATATAATCGCAATGGGAAATGTGATTACGTAAAAACAATTTGTGGGATCATGAATAATAAAAAATAATATTTAGAACAAAAATTATTCAGCGATCTATAAAAATATTTAAACTGTTGCGTTGAATAATTTACTTCGCTTTCAAGTTGCATTTGTTTGTTCGTTTTTTTTTCGTTCTGTTGCATAACAGAATCCGAACGCGAATTTTCTATCAAGTGAACGGAATTCTTTTTCCCCAATCCTTGAATACGGTTTCCGCCTTTTTCCGTACACCCTCGCAAGTAAAAACGCAAGTGTTCTATTCCAAAACACAAACAAAAACTAAATAAATAACTAGTGACAAAGAAGAAATAATATATTTTTTCCCTTTCGTAATGTTCGCACTGTCAATTTTTGCGCAACTAGAATGGCTCATTACATATGTTGTTTTCTGTAATTATTTCTTTATTCATTACCTTTACTTGCTATTTAACATTTTCATTTAGAATTATATTGATCTGTAACTAGACCGCTGTACTTCAGGAAATGCTTCTTCATCGCTCGAAAATCTCTTCTTCTGGTATCGAACAATGTATTCTTCATTATCAGGTAAATGATAATTTGGTTGCGTTGTCTACAAAATAAATGATTAGCAGATTTAATCAAAATTAATGAATAATTTACCATTGCATCGGCGTTGGCTATTAACTAGAACAAAATTAATAATGTATTTCATTTGAAAATGATCAGAAAATAATTTACCAATAGCAAGATCAAGAACATGCACTTAACCTCCATGATATTGGACTGTATTCGAAGATGCTGCTTTTTATGCAAAAATCGAAACAATGGAAGCATTAATAATTACAATGACTAATTTCAGTTGAAGCAAATGAATAGAATTATTATCAATGTTTTGCGTTTATTACTAATGTGAATGAAACAATAGACCTATTACCGATTATTAACATTGTTGGAATTTTTTAATACGATCAAAAAATCCGTGTAAAAAAATCCTGTAAAAATATATACAGTGTACTGAAAAAAATATAAGATTGGTTTTTGAAAAAATGGTATTTTTATCATGTATAAAAAAATATGTTTTTAATTCGCTGCATGAAACCCTTCTTTTTAATTAAAAATGCAGTGAGTGGAGTCTTTTAGTTATCATTTCTATGATTTTCTTCCAGCAAATCAAAAAGGGCACAGACAATCTCTATTATTTCAACATGCTCAAATGGTTTGTCAACTAGCAATTGATTTTTTTTGCAACATGTTGATGTAATTACACTTTTTATTTATTTCCAATTAGTACAAAAATAATCCGTGTAAAAACAAGTTTGAGTCTAATTTAAATTGATTATGAATTCATCTATTGCATATATATTTTTATAGTATAATAACATTTTTTCAGTAATCACAGAATATTATCCAATAAATTACATTACTGAAACAATAAATATAAATTTCAAACTACTGGTAAGTCTATTGACTGTAGTAAAACAAAATTAAAATACACAATACAGATATTATCTCTCCTATGCGAGCTTCACCGTAATTATTGATATTTTGGTGCTTAGATTTTTGATTTTTCACTGTCTGAAGTATGGAAATTTCTTTTTTGTCATTATTAATGATAAAAATATACAATATAAAATATTATAGCAAGTTAATATAAACCAATTGTAAATAAATTAAATACGAGTACTTTCATTTTGTTTCAAACGAGTTTAATCCAAAATTTCCGGATTTTGACTCGTATAGTGAAATACCCGTGAAATACATATACAAAAATACACATAATATGTGTACACAAGTTTAACTTCTCTTCTCATCGTCACTCGTTATGCGAAACGTTTTGCTCGTTATGCGAGGTTCCACTGTATATAGTTTAATCCACACCGATAAAAGCTATTAGTTATATTCAGCGCAGTCATATTTCAACTAAATTGCAATTAACGGTCCATAAAGTGGAAACAATGATGTTCGACATTTTAACGATTTTTGCAATCATCGATCTTTATAAACTGCATTAACCTTGAGGTGTTTTACAGTAAATCTTCTGTGAGCAGTTAAAAATGAAAAACTTACAAACATAAATATGTGTTGAAAATTAATCATAATTTGTGATGTAAATATTTATTGCAATAATTATATAATTACACAAATAAATACATATATTAGTGCAATGTTGAATCGACATCGATCATTTAACCAAAATAAAATATATTGTTTAAATAATTATTGGATTAATTAATGAAATAAATGTAATATTTTTTTATTGGTAGTTTTATTTCATTTCTAATCAAGTATATTTGAAATTCCCTACGGCGTAAAGTGGGGAGGCTTGAAGAAAGATCTGACCTGAAAAAGAGTAAAAGAAATTTAGTAGTCCTAGAAACATAAAAATGTTTGCGGCAAACCAATTTCGGATGAAACACGAAACTGCGGACCATTTTGAAAATCTCCAAAATGTACATTCCTTGCTCGTACAGCCTTCCCATCAGTTCAATCTCCGCTGGCTAAAATATATTATGACTAATATTAAATATATATACATATATATTTTGCTTATTTCACCGAATAATCAATTTCTTCTTCGGATGTAAAGGTACTAGCATATCTCGCAGAAGTAAAGCTCTAAAATAAAATAATTTCTGTGTATATCTAAAAAATGCATATTGATTACCTGGACGTTGTCGAGATATATGACAAGGAACTAAAACAATGTGAAAATCATGAGGATTTAAGGTAAACACGGCACAAACTTACAAAGAGCACGGCGAACTTGGCCAGCATCATTTTCTAGTTTCGATACAAATTAAGCAATTGTTGTTATTCGCCCCTCGCAAACCCACAAATCGATGTGATGTCATTTTATGAGCGCGATAACGGAAATAATCAACAATTCTCAAGTTCACGCTTCTGCGAATGTCAGAATAGAATTCTTGGTTCAATTTTCACTTCTGTCCGACACGTTTCCATTATGTTTTAGACGGACGATTTCACGTATTGGTCTCTCTAATTGCTAGACCAAACATACAAATCCGGACACCTCTAATTAGAGGAAATCAGATGAGATCAGCAAGAATATGAACCGAAAATTATACTGTCCTATGGGTGATTTGTTGAACGCAGATACAATTTGCATTCAATTGCAACATCGGAATGCTTTAATTGCCCTCATCTAGCTGCCATTCCGCGGCAATTTTGCAGTAACGTCAAAAGTACTGAAAACCCACGCGAATTTGAAACAAATTTACTTTAATTTAATTAATCGCGCGCACTGCGAGAAGCAAAAACAGGAAGCAAATTATTGTTCGAAACAATAACTACTACTTTTTTTTCATTATTATTAATTTGGTTTGTAGTTAAACCAGTTATCAAATTGTCCAAGTATCGTGACACATGTCTTATTCTCTGTGCGACATATCCTTTTTAGCGCCATATATTTGTTAACCGGATATTGTCTACAATATATTTAATAACTTGTTGCTTTTGGTACCTTCCTATCCTCATCATCAAAGTGGAACGATACATTTGACATCGGAAATTTCCTAAGATTCCACGAACGCTGCACTTGACATGTTCAGTATTGTACAATTTAAAAAAAAAAAACATGTCATAGGATATTACGTGAGTTGGTGGCAATCTCAGACAATATATATATTCAGTAATTGGAAACTTTCTATTCTCGTGCGACTAAGAACCGTGCTTGAATATTTGTAATAACAATTAAATGGAAACGGTCGAGAATTTGGATCCAATTCGGTGGAGTTCTTTTTTTGTAATTGATTTTGTTTAAAGAAAACGTGCTATTGTTATATAAAATTTTACGTTAGTGGCGAAAAACATATCGATCAATTACGATATACGTCATGATGTTGTTTTTATTATAAATTTCTCTTGCTATTATTGAGAACTGATCAGAGAGCACATAATGCTACCTTCGCAACACCAAAAATGTATAAGAGGTTGAGGCAAAGTACCGAGATCAAATGTTTTACTATTTACAGTTGATCATGAAAGGTTTTCCGTATTATATTAACACCCGTTTTATTTAATACTAACAAGAACATGTGGTACAGTATAATTCAAATGCAAGCGGAAAAATACCCAATAAAATATAATAAATTAATTAATCCAATAAAAAAAATAGACAAATATTTTGATACAACCCAGAATAATACATAATATCAGATTATTTAAGAAAATATTATATTTTATTTTATGTTGTTCATATTATTTACAATTTATTTAATCTCATCTTACGTTGTTAATAAAATTTTACTGGCCAACATTTGGAACTTAATGTTTTTAAGGTAGGAATAGTCTATGTTTATCTCTAGAGCAACCTTTCTTATCTCACACTTGAACCTAGCTCGCGGTAGGAATATATACATGAAGTGTCGGTAGGTTTAATGTCACTATCACCTTATGCCAAAGCAGGTATAATACTCTTAGAAATTAGGTCGTTTTACAACTACAAACAAATATATCGTCCAAAAAAGCTCCAAACTGTGGGTAGTGAGTCGATTTTTGATATGCAAGAAAAAATCAATGCGCTGGGTAGAGTGGAGCGACCTTAATCATAATAACGCGCAAAAAAAATATTAAATTAATTTCGTTTGTATACATCTAAACTAACTAGAATGCGTAAAGTTATTAGACATACATATCATTTATGCTCAGAGAGCATTTTAGAAGAATATATATATGTTTTTGTCGATATGTAGTGTTCATATATAGGCAACAATTTATTTAATACCCTTTCCCAGTTAAAAGAAAAGTTTTGAAATAAGTGTTTTAACTGAGTCTGACATAAGGTTTAGCTCTTTGTTGATGGTAAATAATGCTTATAGCCAACCGGTGAGTTGGCTCTTTGTAGCAGAAAATTAATTTCATTAAATATTTTGTAAATATCTACAATTTTTTGCAATTAATTATGATATATCATAACCTGCAATTTAATACTCTTCATTCTTTGAATAATTATTTTTAAATATTACAATTACAGATACTATCTGCTTAACAACCAATTGAAAATCGACCTGCATACATTTTGTTCTTTGTCTTCACTTTTTTATAAGAACTGAAGAACAAGTGCTGTGTTATGTACAGTTTAAAAGACTAAACTGATGTTAATTGAACCTCTTAATATCGTGTTGAGCCACACGAACATAATATTAAAATTCAAGAATATATATATTGGTACTAAGTTTTAATGAACAGAGATATCAGGGGAAGTAGGAAAACTTTTTCTAGAGCCTGAGACAACCTAAATACATCCCTGCTTAATGCCATACACATTCATTATATAAGTTAATTCAGTTAATTTCATAACTAATAAAATTTTACTAATAAAATAATTTATTTTCTGCTTTTATTTCCAAAAGTATTATAAGGTTACTTATTGAAAAATAATCTTTTATACAGGAAATACAATAAATAAAAAATAGATTAGTGATGTCTTGTTTATTTTTGTTGTTGTTCGTTGAGATGAACGTTTCTTTATCGCATTCAATAAGTATGTTCAAAAAAAAATCTCTAATTATATGTAATGGAAAGAAAAACAAGAAATGTAAAAAAAATATGGTAACAAGTAATAATAATAATTCTATATAGTTAAATAAAAACAAATAGTTAAAAATAATATAATAATTACAATAATCACAAAACTTACGCTTATTCGACAATATATATTAATCGATAATCTAAATTATATACACATTATTATGTTTTTTCATCTTTTTTTTCTGGAGATCTAAAGTTTTCCATGCTCTAATTGATTTGACAATAATTATATGACACTATTTTCATCTAAAGTAGGCAGTGACCCTTTGATATTCTCATCAATTTAGCTTGGCATGTGCATTTTTTTTCTTCGCAATTGTTATTTCGTTACTTTTGTTTTGTTTTAGTTGGTTGTGACTTGTATTCTCTATTTGGCAATGAAAGGTGTCAGGTCGGGGAATTTGAAATCGTTGAAGTTGGAGTTGAAGCGGGTTGGACCCAGTGGCCTGGACCTGGTGTTTCTATGTGGAGGCGGTAGTAGCTCTTGGTTGATGGTGGATGGTCGACCGAAGAGGTTGGGGGTGGTGTCGCGTAAAAGAAAACCACATTGCGCCGTGCAGACGTCGTCTCTGAGCACAGTTTCTCGGGACCATTCCCTCAGCAATTGACTACAATCTGTTACACGCAAGGAAGCGCATTGACCCTAATAAATAAAAAAATAATATTCAATTACATTTGAATGTAATAGTTGTAGATTTAACTTACGCCTTCAGAGGTGCAAACGCAGCTTGTACACGGACTGGGGAAGGCGGATTCGCCGACTTGCACTTGGGAATCACCAATCAGGCAACCTCTTCCACTCGACTCCCGCCATGCATTGAAGTCGATTCCAGGAAGACTTTGGCAAGAAACACGCGGGTTTAGGAAGTTGGAGGGAATATCAAAGGCCGCCCTTTGCATGTCCGAATGGTGGTCCAGATTCTCGCACAGAATCTTGGATAACGTGATTTTCCTGATTTCTTGTAACTGCGCCTCAGTAAACTTGACCACTGGATCTTGGTTTTCATACCAGAAGCGATCGCACTTCCTCAATTGCCTGAATTGAATGCCAATAATACATGCGAACGTTGGTCCAACGAGACCTCCCTGCAGCGGTCTTTCACTCATACCGCCTGGGAATAAATCAATGTCGTCCACAGTTGGGTAAATCCTTTTCAAACGAGCAATCACCTCCGTGGGAATTTCTCTGGCCAAATCCTCGAAACTAGCCGCTCGCTTCAAGTTGCATAATGCTCTGTAATTATTGTAAGATGGAATTCCGTGGTCTCTAGCCCTTTGAATGTTAAGCGCGACCAAATCAATACCGGAAAATGGAATGCGTCTATCTTCGAACAGATGATTGGTGACCTCACCGGTGATGAATTGATCAAGAGTTTCCATTGGTGTTGAAACTAAACCTCTGGTAATTTCATCAACCATACCCGGTTGCATAATCATGTCCACTTTGAAGAAACCATCGCGCAGCAATATGGGAGGATCAACAATTTGATAGCTTGGACTAAGTCGCGGAATGTGAGGTCTCAACATACTATGACCAATGCGGAAAGCCGCAGCAGCAAATTCATTGATTATCGATGGATTACACGAAGGATTGTACTCTTTGTAATATCCCTGTGGCAGCAACTTTAGACCGTACAGATTCACTGCGTTCCAACTCAAAATCCTCGGCAGAAATTCGTTGTATGTGACATGTTGATTCATAGCAATAATTATTTTCCTGGCATGTTCGAAAAGCTTTTCGGCATCCCAATGCGGGTTGACGTGCCTAAGAGCTTCGACTATTCTGTTATGCTCCCTCATGAAGATGGTATGAATCACAGCCAAGGCTGGTTGTTCGGACGCCCTTCCATCGCCAGCAATAAAACATAACCCAGAAGCGGCTTTGCATTCCGGATGATGATCACTTCTTGGGAGCAAATCTTTTCCTTTTTGCGGGTGAATGGTACAGTTCATTCTACCTCCGTATCCTTTAAGATCGCGAGCTACGCAATGATTCTCCCCATAAATTTGCGAGGCATCCAAGTATGCAGTATTTTGGTTGACTTGCTCTCTGGGTCCCAAATGCTGTTGTCCAGGCAAAGATCTCATGAAGGGAAAGCATAACCTCTGACCGGAAGTTATGTTCACCTCCGGATAATAATGATCGCCAGGTGGTACGGGGAATGGATTGCACTCGGGATGCACTGTTCTAGGACTATCGCAGTCTCTGCAATTGGGAATAGACTCGTGGAAGCCTTTGTGAATGGGGGTCATAGTCAAATCGTGGTCCAGGAATTGGGCATACTGCATCGTCATTAATGTATATCTAGAATGCAGATTACTTATGTCCGGATGGATTACAGTGGACACGATCCTAGGTGATGGTAAAGTGACGCCAGTTACTCCAGTCACCCTCGGTCTAGAGATACCATCTTCGTAAGAGCTTGGCAACAACCTGGAGAAAGTGGTCAAACTTTTTCCATAAGCCGGATTCCTTAGATTATTACAGTGTCCGGTGAATGAGCGGAAGGGATGACTAGGATCGCAAGGTCCAGTCTCTTCGCAGTTAGGTTCAACTAAGTCCAACACATTTGTTGGAATTATCGAGGATACATCTACGTTCTGTAAACCATCAGATAGTTCGTCGCGGAAAACTGCCGATATCACATTATTGTCGAATATTTGTCTCTTTCTACGTCTATTCCTATAAAATGAACACAAATTATGTTAAAAAAAAACTTGATAAAAAGTTTCAATTGCATTTACATAAGTGAGTTGATGATTTCGTTAGAAGCAAACTCAAAGAGAAGAGAAGAGTTGGCGATCTTTAATGCTTGTTTGTTGGCTTTGCTGAAAGACGCCGCCGTTCCGGTTGGTGACTTGGGATCTACACCGCCGACTGAAATTTAAACAATTCGAGAAATTATTAAAAAACAATGTTTTCTTAAAATTATATTAATTATGTTGAAATTATTTGATTATACAGTAAATCGCCTATTAGCCCTAATTTGAAAAAGTTAAAGCACGGTTACTACAAACATCGTTTTTATTTACTGTAGTTGATATTAATATTATAGTCATATTATAGTAATTATATGAGAAATGATTAATTTTACTTATAAATTATTATGTTTAAATATTTGTTAATGAAATAAAGATTTTAATGATATGCAAAATATTATATTAGTGGTACAAAACTTATTGCATAATTATAGTGTGATGACTATAAAAGTTCACAGGGTTAAATAGTTTGTGAATAAATATGACATTTGCAAATTACCTGTACTCCAAACTTCGTATTCCATCTTCCTACGCTGCAAAACCTCAAGTTCGGCCTTGGCGATTGCGTCCATCAGCATTTCTTCACTTAGATCGGTCATGTGATCCATCTCTAACCATGCAGTCAGCTGGGGCAACGGATGTTGGTCGCATGACAGACGCGCATTTCTGAAAATTATCCAGCAATTAACCCGAGGCGACATTAACGACATAATTGCAATTATTACAGGAAGGGATCTTCTTGGACGAAGGCCTTGGGCTGAATCGCACCCAGGTCGTCGGTGTTGGCGCATAGAATTCCGGCCACGGTGACTTTCCTGATCTCCTTTAGCTGGTCGCCAGTTAATGAGGATGGCGGAAGGTCATTTTCGTACCAGAAGCGATCGGAGCGGCGCAGAAGAGCAAATTGTTCTTTGAGAAGACAGGTAACGCTCGGTCCGACGGCAGCTCCTGGATGCGGCAATTCTAGGATGGCACCCACCAGCAGATCGATGTCTTCTACTTTGTTATACATTTCTTTAAGGATTTTCATATGATGCTTGTCGATACCATCGAGATCGTGGAATGATTTTATGGTTGTCGTGCCGTTTGAGCAATATTCGAGTAACTTAACATAACCGGGTAATCCATGATCGCGACCCATATGAATGAGCAGAGAACTGGTATCCCAGTCTTCTCGCAGAGGAACGTCCATGTGGAAGCTTGGGTTTTGTCCTTGCGTGCTGATCAGCACGTCCACCATCTCAGCGAAACTCGTCGCAGTCTCATTCATCTAATAACAAACACATTTAATAACATAAACTACATACAAATATGATGGGTAAATATTATATAAATCACATAATTAATATTTATAGATTGTACATTACATATATATTATCTTACCAGTTTACTAGGGATCATGGAGAGAAGAATTGGTAGAGCAGTTAGAGCCACCTCGTTGTAAACGCCAGCTTTGTGCGAGCTGGAATAGTCGCTGTAGTATCCATGATATTTCAATTGTAAGTGAGACTCTGCAATTGTATTCTGCAAGCAAATAATGCTATAAAATGTATTTAATAGAAATAAATTTATAAACTAACATCATCTAAAATTGTTGGAAGAAACTCGTTGTAGGTGATGTGTTGGATTTCAGCAGCTACGATGCGTTTACTCTCCAGGAAAAGATTTTCGTCAGGCCAATGCCTATTTAGTTGTGCTAAATTAATAGCAATCCTGTTGTGCTCCCTCAGTATTGCTGAATACAGAGCATTCGATTTGCAGACTGCGCAAGCGGACACGTTCACCAAACCAGCATCGTAGGTTCTCAATCGCTCCACCGAAGAATCAGTATTACCGTAGATAGATGAAGCGTCCAAGAATGAAGAGGCCAAGTTCATTTGATCCCTGTGCTCTGTAAATTGTATAAATTCAATTATGATTACTAGAATGCAATGGGAATGTATTACCAAAAGCACATAAATTCTTATCGATGGCTGGCAAGGACCTCATGTATTCCTTGCATGTCTTTTCATTCAGCTTTCCGAGGCATTCGGGATGCGGGGATTGTCCGCAACAGTTGCCGCTCCTCAGGTTACCAGTGCTTGCCAAATCGTGCAGAAGGAGTTCGCTCCAAGCGCCAAGGAGCGCCGTGATAGAGTCGTGGCTTTTTTTATCTGAATTCGCCTTGAATACCCTGGTCACCTCTTCCGAGCTCGGTAAGTTCTCCAGCTTCGGTTTTGATTTTCCTGCAATTTAGAATACCGTGAACGTCGTCCAAAAATCTCTAGCGACCAAATGTACAAACCATCGGAGTATTTTGCCGGTAGAAGCCTGAGGAAGGCGGCACCGCGGCTGCCCCAAGTCTCATGTCTGATGTTGTTACACTCTCCGGTCGGCTGTCGAAACTTATTGGGAGGGCAAGAGACAGTCTCAGATTGATTACATTTTAAGTCAGTGCCTTCTAATTCCGCATTCAGTGCTCCGCGAACGACTTCTTTCAGGTCATCAGGAAGATGCCCAATGTAAGACTCCACATTGTAGTGGTCTAACGATGCCCTCGCCGCTGCTATGAACAACATCAGCAGTAATCTGCAAGGTAAAGAAAACAAATGTTAATTATCAACGTTTCAATGTTAAGGTTTCGACCGTGAACCCGAACATATTATGTACTAAAATATATTTCAGCTCATTTTTACGTGGCATATTATATTTAACACGTTTTATTCTTCATATTTTCTTTTATTTTAAGTTACTTTCCAATTGCATTTTTTCGTTCTAGTTTGAGCTGGATATTGCCTTGATCCGCTTGCTTATTACTGCAGGCCTCTCGTTCCAAAAGCATTCCGATTTTCGTATGTCACCGACACCGATGCTCTCCATTGTTGTGCTCTCTTCTGGTGCTGCCATGCCGTCGTTCGCGTTCGATTCGGACGGACTTTCACTGCTTTCACCCATAGCCCAAAATTGTAAACAAATTGGAAACTCGTCGACCGAAAATAAAAGACACGAAAAGACGTCTTTCGAGATCGCTCGAGGGAGCGCAGATACAGAGAGAAAATGTGAACTTTGTATATTCTAAAGATGATCTTGCAGCCAGATTTCTTCAAATCGAGAACAACTTGAAACACTTTGCCGACTATATTTAGATAGATAAGTATGTTCACGTTCAAATGTCAAACTTTTTAAATTGTATGTTCTATGCAAGAAGTCTGATAAAAATATTATATTCCTTTTAATATATAATTTCTATTTCTATTTTTTTTTGTTTCAGTGATAATTAATATTAAAAAAAAATATTTTAAATAAAATCATTAATTATCATATGCTTACAAAGAAAAATATATAAACACATTTAATATTTTTCGACCATATAATTTCTTGAGATGAAAACATTTAATCAATGATGATTCAGTTAGTTTCCGCTGAAAATAAAATTAATAAATGATGAAGCTCATTTAAAATACGGAGAATAGATGATTATTATATGGAAAAAAAGTTCCCAGAATAGAATTAATCAGAAATTTTAGAGAAATATTTAAAGTTCCGGATCCTGACCTCAGGATTCTCTATCCACGATGAATATTCAAAGGATATGTTTTTCTGTTTGGTACTCGAAGATGACATCCGAAGACGGCCTTGATTTTTAAATGTCAATGATTCGCTCAGATCGAAAAGTTGAAGGTCCTGACGATCGTCAAAAAAAAACACAAATTCCGTTTACAAACCAACCTAATATATGCATGTTTATTTTTTTTTGTTTGAATCGATCTCAGATCTCTTGACTATTTTACATATGATCAACTTTGATTAGTTTCACATGGGATTCAAATTGGATCATTGCATGAATATATTTATTTCAGTTATCTTCCAGTTGCACGAATAACAATTAAATTCCAATCGACATTTAAAGGATAAGAGGGAAAAAATAAACGCAGTACGAGAACAAAAAATATAAGGTGTGTGTAGGTAACGTAACTGTTTGTAAATAACAGTAAAATCGATATTATTGTATTGTCTAGTTTTTTTTTAATTGTGTTTTATTTGTATTCGTTTGTGTTTTTAGTTTATTATTGTTAAATTAATTTCTTTTCACTTTAAAATAAAAAATACGGAGTTCTCTGATTGATACAGAGTTGCGACTTTCTAAAATTGTCAGAGGAGGTCTCATGGAGAAACGATGAATAAAAAGGTGTTCGGACGGTTAATGAATGGCGTCCGGCCGTGATTCCGCTTTCTCGATGTGGAAGGGCGTCACAGAAGGGATTTTCGAACCCATCGCCGCACTTTCTACCAGCTTCCTCGCGGCAATCCTTCCGCGTTCCATCGATCTGAAGAGAAATCCTTCCTTTCCATTTCCATTTTATTTATCGATTGCTGTGTTTTTTTAATATCAGGAAATGTCGCCGCGATGATGCAAACGTACGGTGCGAAGGTGGGAAACTACGAAACGGCAGGGGCGACAGAAGAAGAAGCGCATGTTACCAAGGTTACCGTGATGTTTTTACACCTCCGACGATGACATAATGACACATTGACATCAATCATTTTCCTCGACATTCTTCGCTCGAAGACAAATTTCCCTCGCACGTTGATCGCAATCGAAATTGTAGCAATTGTCGGAGGCGCGCGCGACCTTAACAATCTTTACATAACTCCTCTGACTAATAAAATGCCAACTGCACTGTTATTATTCCACTGATTTTGTTGTTGTTGTTTTTGTTTACCGTTTATCTCTCGCTCCTCTATGCTATTTTCAATACGAATTTGTCTCCGCTCTTAGCCACATTAGGTTTTTGTGGGTCACGCCGTATGCAAATATTGCGTTTGTTCTGGCGACCAAAAACACCCTTTCTAATTCCATTTGAATCTCGACTCATTTCCATATCTCGAGATGGAAAATCAGCGCAAATTAGCTCTCGACTCTTGTTAAGTAACGTTACTCGATGTCGTTCAAAACATTACATACCGCGACGCACTTTTTTTAATCCACAGCAGCACATGCAAATGTTCTAAGAAACGAAGGCAGGCGCAATCTGAGAATTTACAATTATATTTATAATCAATTGAAACCACTTTCGTAGCTGAATATTTATTTTTAAGTACCATCAATATTTGATAACTTTATATATGATTAATAAAAAACATAATTTACTTCATATATAATGCTACAAACATAAAATGACTTTATAAAAAAAGAAATATTTTTAAAATAAGTAGCTTTTATTAATTCTATTTTAACAGTCATATTTATTACACTTGTTTAAATTAATTTCAAACTTTTCATTCATATATTTTATAATTATGAATCATTTTATTACTCATTTCTAAAGACTGTTCGGGTCAATCGTTATTTATTAAGTCATTCGCTCGAAATGTTCTATTAAAAAAAAAAAAATTAACCATAATTTATACAATTTTATTGCATATTCAAATGAATTTATTCTGTATTAACATAGTCCTATACTTTTTAGATTTCTGTTAAAAAACAACAACCAAATAACTCATCTAAATTAATAATAGAAAATAAATAAATGTAAAATTGAAATAAGAGACATTTAACATAATAATTATTTAATTAAAGTTATATGTATGCAGACGTTAACAAATTAAAATAGTACTGTTTAAAAAAAATTAAAACAAAGTAAATTTTAATTGGACAAAATACAATTCAAGTTTCTTACAAGATGTTAGTCAATTCTTTTCTTGTGCAATTAATTTATATTTTATTTAGTAAAAATGTCTATATTTTATTTTATCTAATTAAAATTAGCCAAAAAAATTCTTATTATAGAAATGTACTTTTACTTTAATCTGTAAGTTGATACCGAATTTTTTCCATTAATTCGTTATAATACTATAAAAAACTGCAATATTATGATTTTAATAATAATAGTCATTTGATATAAAATTTATTCAGAAATTTAATTAATTCAATGAATAACTATGTTGTGTCTTTATGGTAAAATTCATTGAATATGAAAAATAAGAAGTTTCGTTAAACACATCTATTTATATATTTGCAGATACAAATAAAAAGTTGCTCGGAAAGTTATTATTAAATGCTGATTTTTTTATGCTGATTCTTTAGAAATTCGTTGACGTAAGGTCGCTACGATCTTCAGTCTCTTTTGCATTAATAAACCTTAACATTAAACTCGTTGGCGAGCTGCCATAACGAATTAGCATCGATGCAAATGTTTTAAACATTTTTCCAATGCCAGAGCGACCCGAAGAGAGGCGCGCGCGCTTGTCGCAGATGTTGCACAACCGAAGATAGGGAATTCGTTTGCGAATGCGACGAAATAAACATTTTCGTTGTGCATTCAGTGATTATTCTCACACATATATATATATTATGTAGTCCTCCTCCCATTGAATCGGCTCTAATTGCTTTCACTCGCTGCACGACGCCTGCATAGCGAGCATATTTGTATGTGCAAACATACACATGATACACTCCATTAATGAAATGCACATTCGGTGGCCGAAAATAGCGCTCTCTCGTAATAGTCGCGGCCTTGACATTTTTCCCCTTGATTATTCCGTGTCACGGGGACAGTTTTGCAATTACAAAGTCTGTTAGCAGCAGATAACCGTTGAATTGATTAGAGGAGGTAATTGGTACTCTCCCCCCGCATATTTCCAACGCGACGGCTTTTACGCAACGTTCGAGGGTGACGCCGGTACCGTTCATCCCGATTCTGAGTCGTAATCGCAATAAACAAGCAAGCGAACAATGAGACTAACCTGCTGCTTTTCTCAATTAATTGTGCAATGCAATTTATGCTCGCAGCTCAGACATCAATTAGAATAGGCTAAGACGAGAAAGGGAAAACATCTCATTACGTTACGAGATTTGCTTTTCCGAGCAGGGCAAAAACAACTGCAGCCGCAGCAAACAAACATGAAGCGACATTTCGTAACAGCCGCCCGCGAACACAATTCTTTATAAATTGCGGAGTTTCCTAGTTCAGGCTCGAGTGCGTCTGAAAACGAAACCGATTACGTCCGTCGCATACTCAATTCGATCCGAATTTTCTTCAATGCTCACTTTCGAATGGATCGCGAGACGCAAACGAAAAATGAGGAACAAACGGAGCGAGTCGACCGACAACAAAACAATCGTCTCATTTCCCATCCGTTACTTTCCTTGTACCGCACTTTTGTTATACAAACAAATTCAGCTTCAATTTATAACCTGCATTGTTTATTTATGTATAACAAAAAAAATCAATTGAGCAATTCAAATTACCTAATTCTCATTGTCGAAATTTTTCACAGATTAAACCGAATGCAACAAAAATAAAATAAAAGAGAACACCGGGTTGCTACCGTTATGCAACGTAAACGAAATCGTATCAAATAAATAGCACAATAGCACGTCGCTTATTAGCATTAATTTAAATGTTGATTATAGAATTAACGTGCCAACTTATCTAGTATCTTAAGTAACAAAGTGATAAATTCTTGGTTGCAAGTCTATCATTGTTACGGTGTTACGATTGTTACTTGATGAAGTCCGTTTCGCGAAACCCGCTTATTTTTTTTGCGATTGGAAAAAGATGCAAATCAAGTTTTCGAATTGTTAATTTCTAATTTACGTTGGGTGTGATAGTAATTCACCATTAGAAAGTTCCTTTTCCGAACGCTCTTACACTCTTCTAGGAGAATTGTCTCAGATCCATTTGAGTATTTGCTTTTTTACTATTACAATTATTATTATATACTTTTCCGTTTCGTTTCGCTCTCATCGCTATTCACTTGAGTATTTTGTTTTAAATACACCTGTACCGAAACGCGCTTGCACGTAGTCGAAAGAAAGCAAAAGCACATTTTATGTTTGCTTACCCAATTAGCGAAAGACGAAACACTTTCGTTTAGTTTCTGCTTGGAATTTCCGCGCCGAAAATAGTTTCGAAACCACCAGCGAAGTAAACACTTAAAGCAATTACAAATATTGCTATGTCCATTTCGAATATATTTAAATTGAACATCAACATAATAGAATGCCTATCTTCAAGTTTTTTTCTTCTTAATTTACAATTTGTTCGATCTTCAAAAAATATTTTCTTGTAAACCGAAGATATAACTTTCTATTGAAAATGAAGGAATAACAGAATATTGTCAGTTTTTTGTTTTCAGTATTGCAATTTTTCAACTTCTGAGATAAATTTATCATAAATTAAAATACATGTTCAGTGTATAAAAAAAAACTAAGCACTTTCTAAGGATCGAGTTTGAATCAATTCAATAACATTTAATTAGCAATTTTAAATGTTAAATATTTAGTTTCTATTTCATTAAAATTCCTTCGATGGCCGAGTACTCAAAAAATAATTACTTTTTAATTGGCTCGACGGAAAAGTAATATAGTTCCTAAAAATGATGATATTTTCAAATTATGAAGCGATTAATTTCTTTCGCGTTTAACTAAAAAAAAAACACGTGAAAAGAATCAGAAAGGGAATATTTCCAATCAATGAAAATAACAGCGATCCTTTCTAGTATACATAAATGGTAATTGACAATCGTCGTTAATTAAGTTAAGTGAAACACTTTCAATTTTGTTGAGTTTCTTTCCATTGTAACATCACACTTCGTCGAAGAAAATAATTATAGAAGTATGTAATATAACGAAGAACAAACATTGCGAATCTGATTGTTAGTGTATTTTACGAATTCATTAATTGCAAATATTTCACCCAGTTGATTATATTAATTACATAAGTAAACTGCCGAAATACTATTAATAAATAAGATTTAAAATGACTTACAAATATATTTTTTCAATATTTTATATTAGATCCTTTTATAAAACGTCTCTAAATTATATTTAATACTATTATTCTGAGATACAATTTAATTAATTTAGAGACCTGAATTAAAAATTATTAATCCGTATTAGTTTTTAAATTTATACTTGCTAAAGTTTTAAGTTACGTAGGATTAAATTAATTCAATATTAAAATGAAACATAAATTATAAAAACGAATAACGGTGAGCGTTTAGGTTCCTTTCTTAACCCATCGTTGATGTCTCCGTGTATTGTTGTTCTCAATACATATATTTTTTGATGCGCGTAGAGAATTTCTAGTGTCAGTCAGTTATTTAATATTTAATTTTCGAATTAAAATTACGCGTTGGAACGCTAAAAATGCACTTGGTAATAATTATTGAAGACTTTCGATTCCCACGAGGGTTCGCGATCGACTCTCGATTCTAGTTCACAGGGCGCTCGCTCTAGGTTAGGGAGCGAATCTGGGTCAGGTTTGTTTTCCGTTTCGTTCGAAGTAAACAAATGAATTTCTCCAAGAATTGTTATTCAAGTGAGCCGCGCACAGAGACGTTGGTTATGAAACGTCGCGCCATTGTATTTGAAGTGAGAGAAGAAAAAAAAAAGCGAAGAGTGATGAAAAACCGCAGATTTTCCTCCGCGTTGATGTACATGAAATTTACATACCTGACTACAAACGAATTCATTGTGTTTTTTTTTTGTAAGGATTCTTCCTAGATTGTTGCTCTTCTGCTCGTGGTTGATCCTGTTTGCACTCTTCGGTGCGATATGAAAAAATATATAATCAACAACTTCAGGTCACACTACGCCGAGGATCATAGTTTTCGCGCACTGATCCTGATCGTATCAGCGGAAGATTGCCTCTCTTTGCTGATCCGACGATGATGATGATGTCGACGGAGGGCTCTCGAGCGTCTGGTGCGACCACGACTCCGTTCCTTGTGGGACTGTGCGCTTCGAGCCGCAACGACTGCTATAATATTGGAGAAAGTGAGCCGTGCGGACGGGATCTTTCAGTCACTGGCTCACTCGAAATGTTGTTTATCCAACAATTACCAGTTATCACATGCGCCGTTTAAAAAGGGAAATCTCGATGCTCCCGGATAAGACCAAAACAAACTCATGAATCGACATTCCCTCTCATCGTCAGAAATCATTATTGTGCTGCCATTAATTTAATCATAATTATTTATTGTTTGCCTTTGCATAAACAGTATAAATTATTGTGCAATTTTACTACCAATTTTCATTATTAATCTTGTTAATTCTGTCAGACATTCCTTTATTTACCAAATTGATGTTTGTTTTTCATTTTACACCCATAATTGTATTTTTTTTTTCATATAAAAATTCGGATTCCAAATAGGAAACAAAAGATAGAATTATATACGACATTCGAGATTCTTCTGCATTTTAAGAAGATCTAAAGTTCTATATGTTTTGCAAAATCTTGTATTATTAAAACAACATAGTTTTTTATCACTTTATTATAATTATAATCTAATTTACGATAAAAAAATATTTATTACGATTAAATTAATAAATACATTTAAGTTAACGTCATTCAATAATAAATAATAACATAGCCTAATTAAATGAATTATAACTTAAACTAAAGTTCTCTATTGCAATAGTTTTGCACATTTTTTTTTGAGATTATCTTATTGTAATCTAGTTTTATAAATAATAATAATATACCTAATATATCTAAAACTTATCAAACATTTATACATAAATTCAATTAAGACAACTTAGGAAAATATAAACAAAAAACTTTGATTAATAACTAATCTAAGTAATATTGAAAATTACAGATTAGAAATAATTACCAAAATAAAAGAGCCAAGCTAACAAACATTTGTGCTAATCACTAATATACCAAATATCATACCAAAAAAACAGAAATATATAATAAACATATTTCTGTACCCATCCATCCATCTTGTAGATAAATAACCTCTGCACTTGTACTCATCGTTTCAGTTCTTCGCATGCCTGCATTTTGACGTAAAAATATTTACCGAGAAATCCCCTTGTTTGCGACAAAATTTACGACGTCGTTTGAATTATTTTCATGTACAAATTTAACTTTGTACATGGAACAAAATAATAAGAAAAGAACACCCGAAATACAAAATATTAATAAAGATCATAAATTAAGATATGTTGTTATTTCATTCAGAATGTTATTTTTCGTGGATTATAGTTAATCAAAACCACGCGGCATTTTTTTATTGTTCATCAATATTTGATCCTACCTTGCCATGTGAGTTATTGTTTTTTTTTTGTTTTCGAAACGGTCAATCCGGGGAAGAAGGATGTTTGGCATTCGATTGGCTCCAATGCAAATATCGGTGACATTTACCGAATACCGTGGACACGAATTAGCAAGTCTCGAAGGCTCGATTGCTAAGACAAACATAAATTAACAAATCGAGACGATAACGCAGTAGGAAAGACAAATAATATAAATTATAAAAAAATATAATTGATAACAACTGCAGTGAATATAAATAATTGTATACATATATATTGTCATATTGTTGTTTTATTTTTAAACAAAATATAATAATAAAATAATAATATTTATTGCAAAAAACACAATACAAACTTAACAAAATAACATAATAAAAAAAACTAAATTGGCTTGCTACAAAGGGTTTTCTGCCCCAAAATATAATATTTTATTCACCTTTTGCAATAGTTTTTAATTTGCAATAATATTAATAATTTATATGTTATGACAAGGCGGTCGATAGACCTTAGGTCAAGGTATGAACAATAAATATGTGTTATGTATTTATTTTTGTTTCTTTTTTGGTAGCCCAATTGAACTGCAACTTTTATTGAACTAAGAGCAAAAAATGTTGGAGAACAATTAATTTTTTTGAATTTATTCAAATTTTCGAAATGCGCGAACTATAGTTGGTCGACAAGCGAGTCACAGTCACGAATGTGAACTTGCGAAATCTTCCTCCATTCACGAAGAAGGGCTTTATTGAACACATTGACACTCTGGTATTTTTTTGTGCTGACATTGACCCATACCGAGAAGTCGAGCACATTTGCATCTAGTCACCGTGGAGGCAATTGTGAGGTCGAAATGAAGTGTGGAACGTTGTCTCTCAACCATTGTTGGTTGTCATATGCTTTGTGTGATGGTGCAGAATCTTCTTGAAACGTCCACTCTTTCTGACTGAAATGTTTAGTTGTTCACGGCTTCAGAGCACCTTCCGAAACATTCGCATTAACCTTGACCAACGGAGAGCGACTATCGACCGTCACAGCCTCCCAAACTACCACAAACGGTGGTACTTAACTTCTTGTGGCCATTCGAATGTCTAAATTTCCGATTGACCTCTCTTCTAAGTAAATTCGATCTTTTTGTTTGTTTACAAATTTCTCAATTGGAACATTTATCTCATCAGACAAGACGATATTTGGCAAGCGCAACAGCTCCTTCGCTCTTCGAGTCTAGTTTTCTTTTGATCATCGGTGAGATCTTGTCCTTTTTGGAACTTGTAAGGCTTCACTTTGAGTTCGATGCATCGCGAATTTCATTTAATATGAGTCTTAACTTTCCAAACCACTTCCGCCACATATGTAGTTTTTTTTCCGACCACCAAAATAGCATTTTATAAGACTGCAAGCTTTGTTATAACGTGTTATGGTTCTAGACACAAAAGATTTATTCACATTAAAGTTTTCAAGTGCTCTAATAATAGCTATTTTTAGATTTCCCCTCAAATATTGGGCTATCACATTATTACATTTGAATTCCATCACTGATAACTTAAAAAAAAACTGAGATGAAAATACTTCCGCAGGCTTGTAAACAATAAAATCAGCTATAATTAGGCGAAATATGGATACAGCATTGCTAACTTTTCAAAAGTGCTATAACTTTTTACAGTTTTTTCGCAGTTCAATTGGGCTATCCCGTATATTATTCAAATAACAATTCCAAAAATATTATTTATAATTAATGATTTATATATATTATATTAGATTTGTATATATTAATGTATTTAACTATTGTAATTGCAAATTCTTTTTTTCATCACCTGCAATCACATTATCTTAGCATTAAGATACCGGAGCTGCAATTAGCACTCTATTATAAGGCAATTACCGTTTGTGATCTTTTTCTCTTTTTGAAAGTCGCCTAATTGCCCGTCTTCAAATTGCAATTTGGGGAACTGGCCTCTGGTCGGAGATTCGAGAAATGAGCGGAATTTCGAAATAGGTGATTCTTTTGCAACTGAAGAACTGTACTTTGCGGTCTTTTTTTTCTTATTTTGAAAGGAAGCAGCATCCTCTCGTGAATCATACGACCAATGAAGCATTTGTCGCCGTCTTCTTTGATCAAGGTTTATCGCTTCGGAATTACACATTACACACGGTCTTTATTTATTTTTTTTATTTATTTTACATGTTTGCGCTCATGCATAATTTAACGAATATCCCATGAAACGGGAGGGGAAATACGCGCTCCGCACCGTGAAGGATTCGCAATTAGTGAATCCATGCGTTTTTATTATGTTATGTTCATTTTTTATGGTAATCAATGCGAGCAAATTAATTGTCTAACAAAATTATAAATATTAAGCGCAAATTTCTCTCTCTTTTATTTTTCTAAGAAAGCTAATGGTATGTATTTAAGTGTAAATAGAAATTGTGATATTATAAAAGATTTAAGAATTTACTATAAAAGATAGTATTAATATCAAATAATATTGCGCAATATATTTGTTTACATATTTTTTGTGCTACACTTGATAATTAAATAAATTTTAGAGATGATGTCTGCGTCAAAATGATGTATTAAAGCCAATTATTTTGTATAGTTGAAAATATAAAAATGTGGAATATGCATGTTATTTTTTTATAAATTCTTAATTATTAGCATGCAATTTTCATATTCCTTCAAAACAAATACATTATTTTCGCTTAATCATAATAACACAAATTTCATGTGTGGTCAGTAGCCAATAATTTAATTATGCTAAATCTTTCAATTGGAAATTATTATCTAATTAAACACGATTTAAATGCAAAATTTAATATAAGCAAAACAATTAATTAATATATTTGTAAAAAGCTAATTCTATTTAATATTTTTTCTTGTATTCTAATTTCTGTTCAATATGAATAAATTGTATAATATATGACGGAAGAATAAAATAATCTACTATGACATTTTTATATGCTATTCAAATAACTGTTTCTTGAGATTATGAGAGAAAAAACATCCTATCCTATCCTCCAAGCAACATATTTGAAAATAAAGTATAATTAAAACAAATAGAGATCAAATTAGAAAAAAAACACCTGTGTTTGTGGAATTTCTTGGTAATTTGAAAAATGTCAGTACGGAAACACAAATGATATTGTTATTTGTTGGCATTTCGTTAAAGGAAAATCTCAGTAATCACTTGTGTGATTTCCCTAGTTTCTTTCCGGAAAACACTGGACTTTTTCTCCCAATTTATAACTAACAAGCGGTGTTTTATGTACAAGTTGTCGATTTAATTTTAAATGTACGCTCATTGTTTGTCCATTATTAATGATGTTGATTGGAGGATGACGCGGTTTGTTTTTCCTCTGATGATCTGCATACGAACTGGAAGAGTCGGTTTTGCAATCATTTTATTGTCTCTGGTGCGTGTGTGCATCCTGTTTTGAGGATCACGTGCGCCGAAAATCCCAAAACAAAATCTTCTTCACACAAATCGAAAGCATTCTCGAACTTTACCGATTTAAAAGAAATTCAATTGAGCAGTAGGATCACCAGTCGATAGTCCTTCAATGTTTTAAGTGTTTCAATTGCACCTTTGATCCATTTCTATATATGTCTAGTTTCATTGCTACACATGTTATTGTTTTTATTGTTAATTGTATCGCATAGACTCAATTGATCTCCTCGAGCGTTTACGTGCATATATTTATATGCAATACAAGACAGAAGTAATGATAATTTCTATTATTGTGACAAAAGGGCAACCTCTAAACGATTAATAGAAAATAAAAACTAATTATTATTATAATTAAATCTACTAAACTATTTAATACACAAATACAACATGTGACACCTTATGTCCTCTTAGATCTGACGATGTAAGTGAATAATCAACGAAAAACGAGTATAATTATATAGGAAAAAGAGGTTTTGCTGATTTCAAATTATAATAATAATTGGGTAACTCGTACTGACGTTGAAAGTAAATCATCAAATCCATAATATTGGAAATGGTAAAATTTCTGTTCACAACTTTTTCATATTAATCTGACATCCTTGATGTTTTAATTAGCTTTTATTTATTCTTTAAATCTATCCATCAAGAATTTTTTATCATATGTTTTTTAAATTTATAATGTAGTGTCTGGAATCTCCTCTATAAGTTTTATGATGAAAAAAACCGTACTGATAAATTCTACAGTCTGCAAAATTAAGTGTGAAACTCGAATCCGGTTAGAACAAAGATACACTCTTGAGAATATTTCCTTTATTTCTTTTTATAGAATCTTAAAATTGTTTTAATAAACATATTAAATCTTAATATTACGGTCATGATCAAGTGCATTTCAATAACAGATTTCCATGGAAAATTGATTGATTAAATAGGATGTTTTCGCATATAATTGTTTATATAGAAAGAATGAAAAAAATGGCAATATGCGGATTTACTGATTTCCTTATTTTTAGATGAAGAAACCTGTTTCCGAGTGGAATCACGTGTCCTAAATCCGCAAACAGTAATCAATATCTCCATATAATTTCAATAAATCGGTTATAATAATTTTGTTATTTTTCTACTAGTTTTTTATGTGTTTTTTTAATTCTTGCTGTACACATGACCCGTGAGACGAAACCTTTAATTACTTTCTTGAGGGAACAACAGACAGTTACGTAAACAAAAAGAAACAGACGATTGCCGTTGAAATTAGTGGATTGCTGAGCAATGCGATGTTAATGATTACTCGCGTTCTTCCGGGCATTGAATTCTTCACGAGCGATGGCCTTGCTTCGAAATAATCGATTTAGTTTTAAGTTACATTAACGTTCATATTTTTTTCTCACTCAAAAACAAATAGAAAATCAATGTAAATATTTTTCCAGTCATCAAAAAAGCAAAAATTAAAACGGTAAAATATTCCATAATGTTGGAGAAAGTTTAGCTTCTGATCAATTATCACCAATTAATAGCATGTCACTGATTGGCATTGCCCAACATATAGGTTAAGCAACCCCCTCGAAACAAAAAAAAATGTAATGCAATCACTTTGTTTGGTATGGAAATTCGATTCGTGGGTGACTGCGAGACACACTGACACACTTCGGTTATAATAGCAGCACTTCGTTTCTTTCATTTTTGGTTTTATTGAATCGAAATGTTGAAAATTATAGTACAAAAAAAAGATACGTTCCGCGGCCTTGACATTGATTGATCCGCGATTTCAGAAGAGAAGTCCGCAGCTTCCACGATACGTTTTTCTTTTCGCCTACGATCGAGAAAGTGAATGCGTCTGGTTTTTAGAGACTACACGCACACATAATCGAGGTGTGCCCTGCTTCCTTTCTTCTCTTCCTCTTCCAATTCAAATTTCACTCGGACAATTTATGACATACATTAGCTAATATTCGAAAACGTGCATCCGACGTTCTGCACAATTTCACCGGCTGCAAATAGTCTCATGCATTCCTCTAGAGGAGAGTTCACAATGAAATTTGACAGAAAACCTCCGACGAAGGCATCCCCGGCGCCGTTGGTGTCCACGACGTTGTTCACTTGCTCGACTGCAAACTCCTTCATCTGTTGCTTTGCGAACACCAGAGCTGACCTCTCGCCTCTTGTGATTACAAGAATCTGATCGATTTCGCAAAGAGATTTGTACACCTGACCACCTAACTCCTTGCAATCATCCGCATATAACTTTATCATTTTACCCACAGCCCTCAATTCCTGCAATCAAATTAATTATCAAAACATATAAATCCATACAAATGTAATAAATGAAAAAGTTTTATTTGTCTAAATGGTCTAAATTTAAATGTTGTTACATATTATTATTTTAATGTCTTTTTTTTATTTACTTTTACCACATTCATAAGGCTTGATATCAATGTCAGATGATAGATTGCTTTAAAAATATTAAATTAAAAAAAAATGTCTAAAAAATAAAAAAATAAAACAATCTAAAAAATAATTATAAGAATTAATTAAGTAAGAATAACATTAGTTTCAATATTCATACAAAAATAAAAAGTAAATATATATTTAGATGCTATTCGCAACAGGTCATTCTAATCTAAATTTAACTTATTTTTTTAATTTGCAGACTAATATTTATAATGAAAATATTGATGGAAATTTAGCAAATATTAAAGCTAAATTTCCAATTGAAAATAATTATCGAATAATAATTTGGTTCTACGTACTTACCAGTTCATTGCCAAAAATAACTTTGGATTTTTTAATGATCCTTGTCATTTCTATTGGATATTGTAACGTGGTAAAATCGACAACGCTGGAAGTGCGCTCCACGTTGCAACTATGTTTCAAAAATTCGGGGAGACCGCAGCGAACCGCGAAAGAAGACGGTTGAGGTCTCCAGTTTAAGAAGATATTCTGATATATTTGTAATCTCCAAGAGGACGGTGTTGGTGCTCTAGAGGAGCTAAGGCCCACCGTCGGAGAAGAAGTTGCTGATCTGGAAGCAGTTGTTAGAGTTCTTCCTCTCTATAAAAGGAAGTGGCGCCCTGAACCTTCCCACGTCACAGACTCACGCCCTAGCGGGTTGAAGATTGGTATATCTTGTGTTTTTTTATGTACACGAGTGTTATCGTGTTACAATATAGATCGCACAGAAAGGCAGCGCCCAAATTAAAGAGTATTTGTTTACCAGAATCTAGCAGGAAATCAACGTATTCTTTGGATGCCCTAAGGAGAAACGCCTGGAGAGATAAACAAGGTTAATAAGTCTCGTCGATTGGCTCGCAAACTCACTGAGAAGTAAACAAATTTGGTCAAGTTCAATTTCTTCAGCGTTTCCGGTCGCTGCAGATGACTCAGGTTCAACGACGTCGAGGCTCCGAGGTCGGTATACAGGGTTCTCGTAGGACCGTCCACAAGTACTGCGCATCTTCCTGTTCTTCTGATCTCGTCCACCTGGAAATCGCACTCAACACTTGTCAATTTTTTTATAAGAAAATCGCCCTCGGTATCTGCGCCTATTGCCCCGATGTAAACCACCCGCGCTTCTGGCTGCAGCCATTTCAGCACCCTCACACTGTTCGTCACACTTCCACCGCAAACGTAAGCGGCGTTGAGATCCTGCAACTCGTTGAAGAGGGTCTCACCATCAGCCGCGTGCGCTGCATCAGGTTCAAGACCGTGTCTTATCAGGAACTCCCGATCCACGTGCACCACAATATCTAATAGTGGACTTCCGATACATGTCAACATTTCGACTGAAACACAAACTTTAGTGGGTCATAGATAAAGATTTACGTAATACATCATTAATACGGCACAAACAAATAAAATGTCTTATCTATTATTGTATTTACAAACACATTTACAACTATTATCAAATAAAAATTCTTAAAAAATCCCTATCAAGTGTCCTGGGATAAAAAGTTAAAAAAAAACACTTATCAAAACATTATTTCTTTTATATCTCGATTCCAATAGCTTTTACAGATCTATAGTCAATAGCCCTTTGTTCTAGTTTATATATTTTTGTTATATTATTAATTTGATTTAAACATGTTTTAATTTTCTATTTTTACTGTAAATTATAAAACAATAAAACTAAATAATTTAAAATCATTTAATTAAATAATAACTGCTTATGGAGCATTGCTGACTATTAATGTTCACTTACAAATGTAATACAATTACAGAAGTTTCCGATTTTAACGCGAGAAATTTAAATTTGTCACCGCGCCCTTCACCGTAAACTGGTTTCCCGTCAACGAAGAGAAATGAAGAAAATAAAAGCAACAAATTACTGAAAACCACTTTCTTCCAGATGCGGATTCGATCTATATTTTTTTTAATGCGAAACATTTTTCATTTAAATAATTTATGTGCGCGATTATTAGCAATTGAAATTTAGAAGATAATATCAATTAATAATCTTACATATATATACTGTTCGTCAATTTTTAAAATGTTTTTTTATGTTTATTTGTTTTTTAACTGATTACTGCCTTATTTAAATTCTATTTTCGGTGCTTATAAAATTCCACAATTCATTTTCTTTAGTTAGATTCGAACACGTTTCCTATGCATTGTTATTTAAAATATTAACACTTCCTTGTGATTTATATAATATTATTTCACGAGTGTTGTGTGGGTTGTCTAAACAATATTTTAAAACCACGCCATTATATAACCTTAAAAACTAAATACTATATTGATTTTGACCGAGTGAAAATGCATTCGACACGTTTGGTTTTAACTAAATCCCTCAAGCACATGAGATTTATCTCTAGATGGTGAGTATTATTACCTTTGAAAGTGATCCAGAAAATGATGAATACTTATTTTCAGTGCGAGATTACAGACTGGGGCAGCAGTCGAGACAGCGTCACCTGCAGAGAACTTGACGATACCGCCTCCATCCACTGCAGAGAAACCTGTGTCACCAAAGATAGAGAAACTGGTCAGTGAAATAAGCCAATTGAACTTAATTGAAGTCTCTGAACTTAGTGGCTTGCTGAAAACCAGGTTAAATTTACCAGATGCCCCTGTTATGGCAATGGGTGGCTTTGCAGCAGCCCCAGCAGAGGAGGAAGATGAAGTTGTGCCGCAGAAGGTTCAATCTTCTTTCACAGTGAAACTCATGAAGTTTGATGATACAAAGAAGGTGGCTCTTATTAAGGAGATCAAAGCCTTACTCGAAGGCATGAACTTGGTGCAAGCAAAGAAATTTGTTGAAAGTGCCCCCACAGTGGTTAAGGCAGACATTGCCAAGGATGAGGCTGAGAAACTGAAGGAAGCGCTCACAAAGGTTGGAGCAGAGATAGAAATTGAATAGGTTCTGGACAGTAGTTGCATATATTATTAATAGCTTTGTATTTACTTCTAATTAAATAAATTTAGAGAAGACTGTTGTATTAATTGATGTTTTAAACACCTAGATGTTTGCAATACAATTTACACCATATTAATTTTCAGTCTAAATAGATTATTGCAAATTCATTGCTATATCTGGACACCATAAAGAACTCATTTAACGTCCAATTGAAACTGGACTAATCGAGAACTTTTAAATCACATAAAAAGAGACTTGACTGGGGAGAGTAGGGTTGGTTCAAGCGTCGATCGCCAACAGTTGAGAAAATTGATTATTTCCAAAAAAAACTTTCAAGAGATCAAAATAATTTTGTGTACTATTTTTTTATAATTTATATACTCAAAAAAAATAACATAATATAACAAGAAAATCAAATTGATCTTCTACAAAGGGCTATTGACCATAGGTCTTTCTGCTTTTTATATTATTGAATCAAAATTTAGTTTACTTTAAAATTTTCAAACCGTACTATTGTGAATCCTCATTCATAGAATTTACACATATGTAACCCAACATACATCCATTTGATAAATTTTATATTGGAAATCATCCATACATATTCTAAGCCAGTGTTCTTCAACCAGAACCTGTCCGCAGCTTCTTAATTTGGCATAAAGACCTGGGTCGATAATACTTTAACCCAAATGGTGACTGATAATTATGTTTAAATAATAGAACAATTAATAATTTGCCAAAAAAAAACGTTATGATTTTCTTAGTAGGGTCAATTGGGGACCTCCAAATCAGGTTGCATCTACGTCTTCACAAAGTCATGATGCGCTACTGTTGGTCAGCGAAATATTTCTCATAAATGTTAAAGAACGTTTTTCTAAGCCTAGAGATCTGTTCAAATACATCAAAAAATTATTGATTGAGAAAAAACAAATCTGTTTTACTGAACCTAATAAAATTAGACGACGACAATCGTTTTTATATGACAAACAAAGACCGAATCTAAAATTAATATTCAGATTCTGCTGAGGTGACTGCTGTGCTTGCACATCTGTTCTCAGTCAGCAGTGACTGCAATTATACTCCCGATATCCGGTGCCATAGCCGGCGCTTCAAGTTGGCCTTCACTTCTTGGCACCACTGCAAACGACAACAATGTTCATTTCTTTCTATATAAGCAATTTATCGGTGAAGATATTCTTTCATAGTTTCTGGAGTCTGATTACTAGCAGAATACCAGGGAGATTACAGGAAACGTTCAATAATTGACCACTTTGGTCGTTCTTGAGAATGACGCTCAGGATGCAATCCTTGTCAAGAATCATCTTGTAGTCTTTTTCGACTAGAAAAAGGTTTCATCGTGACTTTGCGATATTATATTCTAGAGAAATTGGACAAATGGAACATTAGAAGTAACATTTCTTGAGTCTTTCATTCTCTCTAATCTACACATACGTTACCCTGTAGGCACAACGGTGCTTATATTTCAACGATATGGTAATATACGTGACGGATAGCTATTCTAGCTATTACTGAAATTTGTAGAAAGCCATTGACTGTGTTAACTGCCTCTGCAAAACCAGTGACTCGTGAAGGATTCATGAGTCTGGAAAACTTTGGCCTGATATCACTTCAGTGGCAATGGTATCGGGGTCCCAGCGATCCTACAATTATGGAATGGAGGAACCTCGGAATGGTGTATTAGTTGCTGCTCAATGTTGAGAAGTTGGAGTTAGCGATGATTACAGAGTCATATGTGATGCTTTTATATAATTTAGAGGGATTTTGAGCACACTATTATTGTCATTAGCCAAGAGTGTACATTCGTAGGCAGAAATATATTTAGGGACATGAGTTCTCTGTTCCTCTATCGGTTCTTCAGTTTGTTCAGGCTCGATTACGGGTGCATAGTCCATTTGTCATAAACCCACACTAGTAAACAGTAAACTAACCATTTCAAGACCGCAGATAAACTTTGTTAGATTCTCCACGTATCCACCGTATCTCTTTCATCCCGGACTATGTTTGGACTAGATGTTGACAACTCCGGACGTATTTCGGTCAATTTTTACGGGTATTACCAATCATCATAGTGGAGTAATTAGGGTGTCTATGGTGCAGTTGTTAAGAATGGAGAAATCCAGTATTGAGAAAATTGTTCCCGATTCGGAAGGCTAATCTAAAGCGACAGTCGACAACCATTTGGGTTTCACGAACCATTAAGATCATCCCGAGGACCACTACCATGTTTTCTTCTATAAATGCAAAATTCTAAATATGAAATGGTACATTATTTTTGCACTCCAAATTATTTGCAAAGTAATTGAAAGTAAATAATAATAAATAATAAGGCAAAAATTGTAAAAAGTAGTTAAATTAAAAAAAAATATTTAAAAAAAAACGAAAATTGCAAATATATTCAAATTAGTGTGTGAACCACCAAAATTCTCACTGGTGGTCCGCAGAACCACTGATGTGTGTGTGTAGGATATTAATGTTTGTTTATTTTATCAATTTTAACTTGTATCCATTTATTGCCATAATATGACATATATTTGTACATACATATTTTATCTATTTGTTTGTATCAGTTTATTTTATATTTTTATACATATATTAAGTGCACATTATTGACAAATTTTAATAAATGTTCTATTATTTCTTAATTATATATACTTTAGAAATCGATGCCAAAAATAATGTTATAAATTAAATATATCGTCGTATCTTTTATTTAATATTTAGTGAAGTGATTTTATATAATTGATTTCAACATAATTAATATTCTTTGTTTAAGACAAATACATACTTTTTATATACTTTTATAAGACTATTAATGTCTCAATTGGTGTTTATCACACTTTTGAGTATCTTATTAAATTTTGGTTTCCGGTGAGATTAGTACGCACGCCAACAAAGTAGTTAGTATTTGATAAATAAAATAATTTACTATTCGAATTTTAAGTGTGTACTCAAAAAGTTTCGTTATTATTTGGAAGAAAAATATAAATAAAAACACAAATAATAGAAAGTTGAAGGACTACTACTGTTTTATTGGTGAACAAGTAAATCACTTTTATGTTTACATACATTCCATTTTAAATTTATGATAGTTGGTCAAATTTTCTCAAAATGTAATAAAAAAAAGTTCTTTTTTTTTTACGTTAAAATTTTGCAACGCAGAAATTCAATCCGGTGGAACGGAAAGAACGATATCGAATAAAGATTGGAATTCGGTAGATCAAAATCGGAAATATTTCATCAGCGATAACAACCTGTAGATACATATCACTTTCTCTACTGACAAGTTACGTTTTGATAACAAGTGTAAGGAAAAAATAAAGAGCTTGATAACCGGTTCATCGCGATATCCGAGTTTTAAAAGCGGTGATCGCAATCGGACCTTGCGTTTCTGTGCACCGCCGACCAAATATGTACTTTCAATAAGCGATCCAATACGAAAAGAGAAAATTCAAATAAAATGTTCTTAGGGTTAAACTTTCGGTGATTGCGACAGATGAGCAGGTGCCTCGCGGTGCGTTACCATTCTTGTGAAGCGGCAGCGAACGTTTTGCAGACGTTATCGCTGATTAGCATATATCCGCGGATGTGTTATTGTCGAGGAAAAAAATGTAACGCATCTCGTCCGAATAGAGAAAGAGAACGAAAAGGTGGAGGAGGAGCCGCGCCGTCGTAATCAATTGCGACAGAAGGCCCAAACTAAAATGAATAAAAAAAATGAAAAAATATTTTATTTATGCACTGATAAAGACCCGGGAGCTGTCCGTTAATATAAGAGTGAGACGAGACGGGAGAACGATCAAATCGCTGGTGCTTGGTTTTCTGTTTTGATAGGGATACTCTATGGATTCACAACTCTCGATGGACGAGCCAACCAGAAGCCGGAAGAACAAGTCCAACGGTGAGGATGATTTAATTTTTCGTTTTGTATTGGTATTTTTTTTCAACATTCGTTCATTCATTCTTTCGTTTTATAGATATAAAGTGCTAAGTCGCGTGTGTGTTCTGTTTTTGTTTATGTTATATTAATCTTGAAGTTGTTGAAGTAACGAATTACAACTTGTCGATAAATTCACTTTTCGACATTCTAATTCGAAATCAAATATTCATTAATTTAATTGTAAAGCACTGTTTCCGAATCACATAATTATTTTCAGTAAAAACCAAACAGAAATGCGCTCGGAAATGGTCAATTATCTCTTGATATACATTTTGTGTGTAAACTTTTATCGACTTTAATCTTTATGTTTTCAAAACAAAACATTCATTACTTAAACAAATATTGCATACTTAGCATGACTTTATTGGGATCAGCTCAATTGTTATTATGATTATTATACAATAATATTATTTATATATCGTTATCCCTTTCTGTCAATAATTAAGTTGTCTTGCAATCCTATTTTGAAATATAAATGAATAAAATATAAATTTCTAATTGAAAATATTTACATTCATTTGTTTACTTCTTATATTGTATTACGTTTGCAATAAACGTTAAAATTATTATTACTAATTGACGAATTTTCAAAAACACTTATACATTAAACATTGATATTATTTTCTTGTATCATTTTTTCATATTTTCGGGTAGATTATACGTGTAAATAACTAGAATAACAATAATTATTTAAATAAAAATAAATAAACAATATATTTATTAGAACATATTGGCTGAAAAGATATTTATCTATAATTATACAAATAAATATCAAAATAATAATTAAGAACTACATCAGAAAAATATAATTTATTGCACATATAAATATTTGTATATATAATTTGGTATTTTTTTAATTGGATGAAGAATTCCCACTTTGGGAATATAATAATTTACGAGTAATTAATAAAATATTATTTATGAATTATTGTTTATATATTTATATTTCCTTAAATTATCTGCTTGCTTCTATTTCTAAGTTTACGAACTGATCATTATTTAGATATTTAATGTCTGTATTACATATACATGTATTAATTTTTGTTCATAGGACTCGATATAAGATTTGAATGTTTTTATTTATTTTACATAAATTATAATTGCAAAATCGATATAATTGAAATAAATAATATATATACTACAAATAAGTAAGCATGAAAGAGTTACTACTGAGTATAAAATATTTAATTACATTATTATGGTTATCGCATTTTTGTCAATTTTTTTTTATCAAATCAGTTTTTTTTTTAAATTTCAGATTCAATCTTTTCATTTATCATGTTTGATGTGAATCCGGTTAAATTTGTTATCTTTGTAGATAATATTCATAAGATTTATTGTTTTTTTTTTTTGGAAGAGTGCATTGACAATTAGTAAATAAAAACAACGTGTCGATGCACGCTTGATAGTTATTAAATATACACGATCAAAGACGGCTATGCAACTAAACCTGTGTGTTCGGGGCGTGTACATTAGTCGGTAAATGAATTGTGTTGAGTTGAGCTGGTCAGACGAAAACATCAAATTTATTTGAAGATTTCTAGTGCATTTCACAGCGTTAACCACAAATAAAATGTATTCTGCATTGGGCGGGTCTTCCTTGTCGAACAACTCTTCGGGTATGTGACTAACATAGCATCAAGCGTTGCGTAACATTCCGAAGGCCTCTTTCCATGGGAATAGAAAAAATATTTCACCTTCATAGAGTACAGTTAATACGAGCGAAACAAAAAATAATAATTAGGAATAGTAAAGAAATAATTGCAATCTCCAATTATGCGTAATTTGTTTATTGTAGTGAAGTGGATTTTAGATGGAACACGCAATTATATGTCAGACTCGGAGCCAGAACCGCTTGATCTCAATAGGAGCAAAATACAATGTATATGTTGTTTTAGAACAATTGACTATTGATTTGTATTGCACTATCTAAGTATAATCTGTACGTGTAAAGATCGACTTGATTTGATTTTCACTATCGCTTGGCAAATAGATAGACTTCTAAAAGTAATAAGCGACAACAGCTAAAACTAAGACTTATTTGAATAGAGCGCAGTCTTTTAATCCGACCCTGTGTTGATGATAGAAAACGATTATATATTTCTTTTATATTGTTGACACAAAATTAAAATGCAGAGCGTCGTTCCCGCATGTAATTTCGATAAGGTTTTTCCTTGCCTTATTTTGATGTTGTTTGAATTATGGCTTTGTAGAAAGGCGACCAGTACGAATTCGTCCTTTTAACTACCAACAGTAATAGCATTTTACTTAGACTTTGATTTATTATTTACTTTATTTTATTATCTATTACAGTGAGGCTTAAACGGATTGAGGCGAAGGATTGCAAGAGGTTCACTAAGAAACGTATCCCAATCATCGATTGGTTACCGAAATATTCTATATCCAAGTGTCTTCACGATATTCTCGCCGGATTCACGGTAGGATTAACCGAAGTACCTCAAGGGATCGCTTACGCAACAGTCGCTGGTAAATTAAATTAACGAATTTTTGTATTTTTGTATTTATTCTGTTGTACTATAGGTTTGCCACCAGAATATGGACTATATAGTGGATTTATGGGTTGTTTCATGTACACTGTGTTCGGTAGTTGCAAGGATATCAATATTGGACCTACGGCGATTATGGCGTTAATGTCACAAGCTTACATAGCGAAAATGGGACCAGACGTCGCAGTCCTTCTAACATTTCTCTCTGGCTGTATTATCTTTATCCTGGGACTCCTTCATCTAGGTTTCGTAGTCGAGTTCTTTTCGTATCCCGTGGTAGCTGGATTTACGTGTGCAGCAGCTCTGCAAATTGCTTTCTCCCAGTTGAAGAGTCTTTTAGGCATCAGCGGAAAAGCGAACGAATTCCTGGAGTCCATAATAACTGTGATAGAGCATATAAAAGAAACCAAAAAGTGGGACGTTATCCTGGGAGTTATCTGTATCATAATTTTGATGGTCATGCGGGTATGTTGATTTCCTGGTGTAGGGAAAAGTATTAATTTTAATTTCTTAGGAGTTAAAGCGATTATCTAATACGAACGAGAGCAGCAGTCGCATTAGGAAATATTTTGGCAAGTGCATGTGGTTTTTGTCGCTGGCCAGAAATGCTCTGATAGTGATCATTACGACGGTCATAGCTTACTATTTAGAAGAGGAAGGTCGCAATCCATTTACGTTGATTGGAGAAATTGGATCAGGTTTGCCGAACTTCGAACCTCCGCCATTTAGTAGTACTGTTAACGGAACTCACTACAACTTTGGGGAGATCATAAAAGAATTTGGAGGTGGCGTTGCGTTTGTACCGTTGGTTGCTATCTTAGAGACCGTGGCCATAGCCAAAGCTTTCTGTGAGTATACCATTTTATTTTTAGATTAAATGTCATTTTTTTACAAAATATTTGTAGCTAAGGGAAAGACTCTGGATGCTACTCAAGAGATGATAGCGCTGGGTATATGCAACATCATGGGCTCCTTCGTGCGATCCATGCCCGTTACCGGTTCCTTCACCAGAACAGCAGTCAACAACTCTTCTGGTGTTAAAACACAATTAGGAGGTATTATAACTGCAGCCATGGTACTTCTGGCTTTGGCCTTTCTCACAAAAACCTTCACGTATATCCCGAAGACAACTTTAGCAGCGGTCGTTATTACTTCAATGTTTTACCTTTTCGAATTTGAAGCTTTCATTTTGCTCTGGAGAAGCAAAAGTATGATCCGTTCTATATTCTTATACGAAAAAATAATAATCTTCATAAATTATTACAGAATTAGATTTGATCCCATTCGGGGTAACTCTTATCGCTTCCCTGTTTTTGGGACTCGAGTACGGAATAATTCTGGGAATAGTTTTACATTTAATTTACGTACTATATCCTGTGGCTAGGCCAAAAATGGATATAATTAATGTAAAGATTCCACAGGGCGATGTCCTTGTGGTTATTCCCAATACAAATATGCAGTTTCCAGTGGCGGAGTTCTTCAAGGAGAAGATTATTTCGGAGGCGAACATCGCCCAATGCACAGTGGTCATCGATGGCAGCAAGATCACTTACATAGATAGTACCGTAGCCAAAGTAAATATGCAAACAAAATATTAATACTAATTATTTTTTTTTATAATAAGAAAATTTTCGTACAAGTATAAAAACTAATACCTGCTTACAGAATATCGACAGTCTCATCAGCGACATGCAACTGCGCGATCAAGATATAATCCTTTGGAATTTCAAGTCTGAAATTATGGACATATGTATTGGTGTCAATAAGAAGATGCAACCGTACTTCCGATCGGGCACAATTGAGGAAGTAGTGGACGGTAAATATACATATATAGAACCGTCGTAGTTAATATAATCCTAGTTCCTTTATAGATCCGACGATGCAGTGTGTTCAAACCGACAAAAATTACTCCATCCAATAGAAAATAGCTAATGTTATATATTAAGTAGAAATTAATTTCAGTTTAAAACACTGAGAAATTATGTGCGTCTTCATTCACTCTTAAATTCAATTTTTCGAATCCCTAAGAGCAAACTTTTTTTATAACAAAAAAAACTATACTTAATTATTTTATTTTTAGTATTATTTTTTTTAATAAAACCGAAACCATTCAATTTGCAATTGAATCGAAATAATTTTAAAATTTCTCAAACGATATACAATAATTGTGTATTTATAAACTTATTAAATAAAATTTATATATCATAAAATAAATATAAAACCTGAATAAACTATGGTTTTGGAAGAAATGTAACGAAAACGTGTTTATAAAATTGTTTAATAAAATATAAAAACTAAATAATATAATAAACATATTGCAGCACTTCGGCATTTGGAAGACATAACATTATAGAGAAAATGTCCCAAAGACTTGGGTCCTCCATAGTAATGTTACCAATCCAAAATATAAGTGGGCTGAGATTAAACTAGTCTAAAATAGCGAGAAGATTATTGTAATTAATACTAAAACCCAAGACAATGATCATGTTCCTAAAACAGACTAAATGATTTTAGATACAAAGTATAAATGCGACGATTATTATCATAAACCAGTATCATACACACTAATATTATGGAACACCCATGATATGAATATAAAAGGTAGGTCAAGGCACACTTTCTGAGCACCAATTCCTGAAGGTGAGACGAGTGAGATGTAAACAAAGCATGGATGTGCATGTTAAGTAAATTACTTTTAGACAACAGAGATTTTACTTTTTATTAATTCAAATAATAGTTATGCCCTTTCATTTTTGGCAATAGGAATAGGCAATACCGAATAGAAATTGCCAATGGCAAGGGGAAAGCAATTTGCATAAATGTATAAAAAATAATTTAATCAAGTGCAGATAAAAGGCGGCAAATGCAATTCTTGTCCAGCACGGTATAAACTCTAGTGCCAATCCTGTTATCACGTTACCTGTGATAACGAAGTATGCAATTTGAAGCTCCACTTAACAAACAAATATTTCAAAAAGACTTTTGAAGAAAAAGTTGGTGTTGCTAGACAATGTTGCGAAACATCTTACTGATTCAAATATTAATATCAAATATTGATATCAAAATTGTGTTTCTTCCGGCAAACTCAACTTTCCTGATTCATTAGGATGGATTAGGAAGCAGTAATAGCATAATTTTAAGTTTACCTGCAACGAACATTATGCCATTTAATTGAACTATATGATAAAGAGGAAATGTGAGTTAAAACTTTTTAGCAAAACTACTTCATTAAAAACGAAATTGAAAACATTGATAGTTCTAGGAATAAAGTAATAACATCCAATAAATTATAAATTAAGTTTTCAGTGGAAGATTTAGAAAACCTAGTTAGCACAGAAAACTAAGATGAAATTAGAGGGGTTCTTGCTGAAAAAATAATAACAAATATTTAAGAAGGTGCTTAATTATAGATAATGAAAACGTTTTATTTGTTTTTATTAAAATATGGATATTAACGAAGATAATCGGGTTATGACTATAATCCAGTGGCGTAGCAAGAATTGAATTTGACAGAATGCAAGTAAATTTAAAATTTACAAAGAATCCCAATTTAAAGGAGTGAAATATTTTAAAATTTTGATAAAAATTTGAGGAAATAAATACATACGCGCTCAAAAAGAGAGTTGAATGTTTAAACAAACGATCATTTAAGGAATTAAAAATATTTTTGTACTATTTATTTGAAACTTATTTTTATTTTGCTCAATTAAAATTTAGTGAACTGACTTATCGAAGCCTTTACTTATACTTCGACGTATGCACATAAAAATACAAAATAGAGAACACTAATATAAATGTAATTTAAAACTAGATTTTTTTAAAGGATAAACTTTTTATTTAAGAAACGAACATTTCATATTTTTTAATAGGAAATTGTCCGAAATACTTTGATCGTGAATATCAATATAATGTATAAAGATAAGCAATTGATTGCAATTACGGTGGAACTACAATATTTGTCATTAATTCGTTCCTGAGGGGAAGACGAATATTAAAGAAGGACGAATATCAAACATTTTTTTCCTATAAGAATTAACACACACCGATCGAGACTGAGCCGGTCAACAGACGAATATTGACTTTTCAGATGAATATGAAAAAGGCAAAAGAGTTTCACGGTATATACTATATAGAAATATTTTTTTATATTTTTAGCCGAATATCAATCATACAATTTAATCTGCTGGATTTTGATTAATTTTCAAGGCTGCGGTGTCCGAGTGGTTAAGGAGATGGACTTGAAATCCATTGGGTTCTACCCGCGCAGGTTCGAATCCTGTCCGCAGCGAATATTTTTTGCCGCTCAAGAGGTTCCATTATTTTCGAGGAACCAGTTACTTTTTTTTTGCTATTCCAAGCCGGTTGAACATCATCATCAACATTGCGTGTTTGTTTTGCAAATTACGGTCACCTAACGTCCCCGTTGATTCTAATATTTTTTTCACCGCGGCAAATATTCAATTGCTTCGATCTGTAAAAAAAATGCCGTTATATAAATGAAACAATAATAAAGAAAAAAATGGGGAAGGAGTGAGAAGAGTAGTGAAAATGGTAATGACAAATTACACATCGAGGCTCTGATATCAAACCCAGTGTTCAATTGTTCGTGAAGCGGAATGTTGGAGCGATCGTGTGAAAACAAAATTTGAAAAATTTCCCGATAACAATATCACATATTCGATTGTGTTTTCTTCGTACATTCCTATTTATTTTTTTCTACAATCGACATTTTTTTATTTAATATTTCTAAGAATTGCATTTATGACGTTCCGTTTTAAGCATTACAAAAAAACAGTAAGTAAACAGAAAATTTCTTAGAATGTTTGACGTTAATTATTTCACATATATTGTTCATCCTTTCACATTTTCATTTATATAATAATGTTTTATAAATTTAAAAGTATTCAGACAAATACTTATTGTATTAATGATTAGAATCACACATTTTCTATTGGGCTCATTTCAGTTTATATATAAATCAAAAAATGTACCACGTACTTTGATTTATTTTATATAAGTTGCAAAACTATGTTTTGTCCATTATTATATTTTTTAATAATAACATTTATTTACATATATAATAATATTATGTGCAAAACAAAGTATTTTTAGATGTACATTACTTATAGTAATATTATTTTTTAATATAGAATATTAAAGTATAAAAACAATTGGAAATGCAAACAATTAAATAGAAAGCCTACTATAATTAGAAATAATTAATTGAATCAATAAACCTAATGAAGCGATCACTTTGTCTCTCGTTAACAAGAACAAAAAAAAGTTCGACACATTTATTTACCATTTTTTGTCGCGTACTGATACCCTTACATAACACACATTTAATTTGTTTACACTCTTGCTGATCTTTACAAGGTTACCACAATAATTGCTACATTAAGGATATTATATTTTTGTTACTTGTTCGCGTACTAATTTTGTTTTGCGTTTTCTTAGAAATGCTGAAACAACCGATTAAATTGCTGAGCGGTGCTTTTCCGATCGTACAGTGGCTGCCCAAGTATACGATCCAGAAGGCTGTTTGCGACTTGATAGCTGGTATTACGGTAGGACTGACTCTCATTCCTCAATCAATAGCCTACGCAGCCCTTGCAGGTCTTGGTCCAGAGGTAAACAAAAATACTAACAACACCAAGAAAGGTATATATTATGTTGAAGTCTCTCGATAGTATGGCCTGTACTCTTCGCTCTGCGGAGGATTCATCTACACAATCTTCGGCACAGTTAAAGATCTGAATGTGGCACCCACTGCTCTGATATCGTTGTTAACGTTCACGTACACTCACGACAGCAGCTTCGGACAGCCTCAATCCGCTATACTGCTGTGCTTCTTGTCCGGAATCATCGAAACGGGATTCGGACTTCTGCATCTCGGATTCCTGGTGGATTTCGTATCGACGCCGGTCGTCGCTGGATTCACGTCAGCCGGAGCCTTGACCATCGCGGCTGCACAAATCAAGAACATGCTTGGCCTCAACTTTAAAGCAGAGACATTTGTTAAGATTATGTACAATGTTTTTTACCATATCAAGGAAACATCGCTTTGGGATGCAGCTTTAAGTATAATCTGTTGCTGCTCTCTGATTATGCTCAGAGTAAGAATTTTCTAAAAATATTAAGGTATACCAATCGACTTTATGATCATTTAAGGAGATGAAACGATTCGGAAATCCGAATACTGATAACATCTGGAAGACGAGCGTCTGGTTCCTGAGCGTATCCAGAAATGCGCTGCTAGTTATTATATGCGCCTTCACCGCTTTCCTTTTGAAAAAGCACGACCTAACACCGTTTTCACTGATAAGTAAACTTAAATACTTACATTCAGATTTTCAGTCTCAGTACTTTTAGAGAACGTACCACAAGGACTGCCGCCTATCCAATTGCCCTTTATCATATCAAATGGCACGGAAACTTTCAACTTTATAGATGTTACTAGTGATTTGGGAACTGGTATCATTGTAGTTCCACTTGTTTCGATATTGAGCAATATCGCCATTGCCAAAGCTTTTGGTAATGATGTTTAATATTATCTCAAAATCACTGTTAATTGTTTTTCTTTTCAAAAACAGCTGATGGAAAAGTATTGGATGCTTCTCAGGAAATGTTAGCCGTCGGGCTATGTAACATTTTTGGATCATTTTTTGGATCCTTTCCAATAAATGCTTCGTTCTCAAGAGCTGCCGTTAACAATGCAAGCGGTGCAAGAACTACTTTTGGAGGAATTTTCACAGGTATGATCACTGGCTTATAATTATTAATGATAGTAGCTTAGCGTTGAATCAAAAAGACAATAATGGTTGAAGTTTTTGATTTTATGACTATAAGTAAATGAAGACTTTAAATATTATTAAAGTCCAAACGAAAGTCGAGAGTTCTTATTTTGTTAATCAAGATTTTAGCGTTTCATTGGTTATGGTCCTTGTATAACAAAATTAGATTAAAATATAAAAACATAATAGGGCCGTAATTATTAAATATAAACATAATTAAATGTCAGAAGAGCATTAAAGCACCAATTGGGACAGATATAGTGGAGTTTTTTTCCTATTTCCTAACTTGTGTATGTTTATGTTTTAGGAATTCTAGTGATGTTTGCATTAACATTCCTGACTCCTTATTTTTCGTATATCCCTAAGGCCACATTATCATCGGTCATTATTTGCGCAGTGATCTACATGGTGGAATTGAAACTGTCACGCCTGATTTGGCGCATCAACAGTATTTAAACATAACAACCAATTAAAATAAACCACAATAAACAATCACCTTACAGGAATTGACTTCTTTCCGCTGCTCGTAACTCTGGTTGCCTGTCTCGTGCTCAGCATCGAAATTGGAATTGTGATTGGCATAGTGGTGGACCTCTTGCTTGTACTGTATTATACCTCCCGTCCTAAGATCGAAACGGAAATCATCAAAGTATTTAATTTTGTCACACTTACAGATAAGAAATCAATTAATGTAATGTTCGCAGCATGAAAAAAACTTCCAATACATGAAAGTAGTCCTAGTGGGAACGTTGTTCTATTCGGCGGCCGAGTTTACCAGGGATAAGGTCCTGAAGATGATCACGTCAGACAGTAAATTTTTGGTTTTCGATTGCGCCAATCTGCGTAAGATCGACTTTACTGCAGCCAAGGTATTTCCTTTTCCGGATAAATTAAAATTCTCAAAAAACAAATTCAACAGGAAAATATTCATATTTTTCTTCAGTGTATAGACGCTTTGATCAAGGACTTGAACGAGTGGAAACCATTAGTAGTCTTCCTAAGGCCGAAGACCGAGATCGACTTTATCCTTAGGAAGGCGATAACCGACGCAAATTGCTACTTCATTAAGAATGATAATGAACTAGATACTCTATTCGATGGTATAGTAATATTTAGAAGCTCACTGCAGTTATCAAGTTATTATATTTTCAGAAAAAGCGAATTCCGGTTACGAGTTAACCAGTGTTTGCGCGAACGAGGCTTATGAAAACGATGATGAGAAATTGTAGAAATGTGAGGTGAATCTGGGTGGAGACTCTATGCAATTAAGAAACACACGATTTTAGTCAAATATATTGATTTAATTATTTATTTGTGTCTTAATTTTTTTCTAAAAACTTCGAGGTCAAACAGAGTTCTCTATTTCGAAAACATATTATTTTTCGAATATTTTTCAGCTCGACGAGACAAAATTGAGACATATCATTTACTGTTTTAAATATTTTTCCATTTATAATCTTATTTAAACAAAATTATTATAATATTTTCGAGAACAAGCAATTACTTTATACTGTGAAATTTATATTTTCGGAAATAAAAGATCTCAATATTGATCGGCAGATAAGCGCATGCGTATATCGACTTATCCAGAGCCGCCCCTTTCATTTTCATCTTTAATAGCACTAAGCGGAAATTAGATAACATAAACAAAGTTCTTTCTTCGTACGTTAAAAATATAGGGTTATTTGAAAATTACTGGCATGTAATTTACAATTACCAATAGGATTCTCGGTTCATCGCTTGCAGTATAAAAAGGATGAGGTACGATTGTATTCTTGATTTATAATATTTTATTTTCTCTATATCTCCACGGTTTCGCAACAGAAACGGCCCTGATTTTGTTTTCATAATTATTCACAGGAATCGTCAGAGGAGAAGGAGGAAAGAACGAAAAAAGTATTGGAACGGACGGCGCACATTATAAATAAATAAATGATTAAACGGCCGCCAATTCAACGCATGATCAGGCAACAACAGTGTGTGGATACGCGGCATGATCAGGTAGATATCCTTTTTTCTCCTCACCTCTCGAATGCAGAAAATTGCTCAATTTAGGTCAAATTCTAATGCAACTATTTATATTCTCCAATAGTTTATTTTTTTATTATCACATCACAATCATTTCCTAATTATAGAATTTAGTCTATTCAAATATAAATCTAAATATATTGGACAACATTATTGAAGAAATAATAAAAATAAATATATATAAACGCCTAAACCATTTCTGCAGATTGCCATTGTATAAAATAACGAAATTTACAATTTAGTACTTACATGTAACTGCAGCGACATTGTATAAAAAGTAAATTAGGTTATAAATCCAGGATTTATTACACAAATCTAATATGTTTGCTTGTGTTAATCGGAATTAATTCAATTAGGAATCAAACGAAAAAAAACAACAAATGAAACAAAACTAATATATAAACAAGGGATTAGGATTTTGGGAATTCAGTAAAAACATTGACGTGTCTCTGGATGATTAATGTCTGAATATAATAGATTGCAGTAAAGTTCTATTAGTAAAAGCTAGATAGTCGCTAAAGACGACTACGTCGTTTTACGACAAAATATTGTTTAAATAAATACATATTAATTTCATTTGCATATTTTTACATACATGTTTTTAACAAAAAGTGATCATTTTAGTGAACGATATATATCTCTGGATAGATGATAATAGTCAATGAGGCTAAAATATATTACCATTGCAAATCATGTCTGTTTAAAACAAAGGTGCGCTGATTTTAATTGTTATTCGTGAAGCTATTATCTAACGTATTCATGATTATTATTAAGTTTATCGTCGCTTTAAAAGTGTTAATTTGGCTACTTTCGCTTACATTTAAGAGGTAGTGGCGAAAGAGGAGGAGGAACTGAAGTTTATGCAAAGAAAAAGTGGGCGCTCGGAGATTTTATAAAGCGGAAGGAGAGCAGCCGCGGATCCGCAGTCCGTGTTCTCGCCTATAGACTGTCTTACTCAATCCGATCCAATTGATCCCAATTTGAGTTGTGCGCAAACGATTTAAACTGCCGTATTTTAACAGTGATAGAAGTGTTTGGAATTGGTAGGCATGGATGCGAAGATGCAGATAGGTCGCGTCATTCAGAAGAGGATACCTATCATCGGATGGGCGAAGAACTACAACTCGGAGAAGGCCCTCAGCGACCTGATTGCAGGGATCACGGTTGGCTTGACGGTTATGCCGCAGGCCTTGGCATACGCCACTCTAGCAGGTCTTGAGCCTCAGGTATATTTTTTTATTATCTAATCTAAAGTTACTTAATTTTATTGTTTTTAACTTCAGTACGGTCTATACTCAGCGTTCGCAGGAACTTTTGTCTACGCGATCTTCGGATCCTGCAAGGACATTGCCATTGGACCGACAGCGTTGATGGCGCTCATGACCTACCAGCAGATCGTTAATAAGAACACCGATTACGCCATACTATTGTGTTTCTTGTCGGGTATCGTCCAATTATTTATGGCCGTTTTGAACTTGGGTACGTCAGGCATATTGAAATTACAGACAGTAAATAACACTTTTTGAATCTAAGGCGTCCTTATCGATTTTATCTCCATTCCCGTCACCGTTGGCTTCACGTCAGCCACCTCCGTGATCATAGCAGCATCCCAGTTTAAGGGTATGCTCGGTCTGAAATTTACCTCATCTGGATTTCTTGACACTATGTCCAAAGTCTACAAGAACATCCACGAGACTAGATATCAAGATCTCACCATGTCGTTGATCTGTATAACTGTCCTGTTGGCACTCAGGGTAATTATTGAGCCGAACGAACTACCGAAAGAAGCAAATATTAATATTGCGTTATTTTTAGAAACTCAAAGATGTGCGAGTCAGTCCTATTGGCGTGAAACAAACGAAAAACCAACGGTACATATCGAAAGCATTATGGTTAATCTCGACAGCACGCAATGCCTTAATAGTCATCGTATGTTCTGTGGTTGCATACCTGTATGAAGCTTCAGGCTCCGCGTCACCATTTATTTTAACTGGTAATGTGAAGCAAGGGCTTCCTCCATTGGGTCTACCTCCGTTCAGCACCAATATGAACAATAGGACTATCGGTTTCACTGAGATGGTCGCAGATTTAGGTGGCTCCGTCGTGATGGTGCCAGTAATTGCTGTTCTTGGGAACGTTGCAATTGCAAAAGCATTCGGTAATTATTTAATTATTTTAATTTGACAAATTCGACAAAATATTAGTATGATTTGCACCAATTTACCGCCAAACTAATTTTAACAATCTAATTGGAAAAAAATCAACTATTTTCTGAAGATAAGATTTTTTCAAATTAATATACATGTATTATTTCTTACAGCTAGCGGAAACTGTGTAGACGCTACGCAGGAGCTGTTCACATTAGCTCTATGCAATATATTCGGATCGTTCTTTTGCTCGATGCCAATAACCGGATCTTTCTCTAGATCGGCCGTGAATCATGCAAGTGGCGTTCGCACCCCCATCGGCGGCCTTTATACAGGTTTTATGGTCCTTCTTGCCCTATCCTTCCTTACACCATATTTTGCCTTCATACCAAAGGCTGCTTTAGCTGCGGTCATCATATGCGCAGTCATCTTTATGATCGAATACGAAGTGATCAGACCCATGTGGCGTTCCAGTCGAAAAGAGCTCATCCCAACTTTTGCCACTTTCATACTCTGTCTGACAATGGGCGTGGAACTTGGAATAGTCATCGGCGTGGGCATAAATATTGTCTTGCTGCTTTATCCATCCGCTCGACCATCGATCATCGTTGAGAAAATGAACGTAAGTAAAAGTCAAATTTATACCCAGTTCCCACATTATTTTTGTAATTGCAGACGAGAAACGGAATAGAGTATATTTTGGTTACTCCTGGCAACAGTTTATATTTTCCTGCAGTGGATTTTATTAAGACTAATATCGATAAAGTTGCACTCGATTCCAAACATCAGACCGTTGTCGTCGATTGCAAGTTCATCCTAGGAGCGGATTTCACCGCTGCCAAGGGTATTGCTGCAATGATCCAGGAGTTCTCCTCTCGCAAACAACTTCTTTACTTCTTGAACCCACGGGAAGAGGTATTGAATGTCTTTCGGGGTGCCAGTCTGGAGGATTTCAGACATATCAATTCCATTACAGATCTTGAGAAGTTGATTGGAGGTAAAATTATTCATACTTTACTTACAATGCTAATTTAAATCTGGTAATCTGCATAATAAATTAAAAAAAAACTTTTTTTTATCTAGCAGGAAATTAAGAAACCAATTTTAAAAAATAACTATTTATTAATAAAAATTCTTCAAATTTTATGATATGTTTTTAAACATTTTGCAAATTCAACATATATTTTTACAGAATAATAATTTATTTTATGCAGTAATTATTTACATATGTTATTCATTTATGATTTCAGATGAATTTTCTAGCGAACAAATACGATTGCTGCCGGAGAATGAGTTACCCGAGCTGAGGGAAATTTCTTATTGCGATCTGAATCACAGGAAAAAGTCTGTCGCATAATGAAGAATGTGTATATTTATAATTTAACAATAATTGCATATAACTATGTACTTTGTATCAAAGCGAATTTATACTAAAATCTTGTGATTGTTTCTTTGGGTTTACCTTTCAAATCTTGTTGGATCTGTTCGAGCGTTTTCCCGCTTGTTTCGGGCATGCAGAAAACAGCAAAAATGGTGCTGAATAAACAGCAACACGCAAAGAGCAGGAAAGGTGCATGCATACCGTAATTGGAGTAAAGGAGCTGGAATACTTTTGTGGATAAACTCGAGTAAATAGCAAAGCATATGTTGAGCACGCACAGGGCCTTACCCTTGATGTTGGACGAGAATAGCTCACCAAGTGTTAAATTTGGAATGATTCCCAAACCTAGGGAGTAAATAGGTACGTAGATGAGCATCCCAACTATTGGAAAGTAGGGAAGACTCACGCCTTGCTCGGTCAGCATATCTTTGAAGTAGAAGTAGAAGCTCTCTGAGATTAGGATAAGACCACAACCAGCGCAGGATATAATCATTGACCATCGCCTGCCAAGTTTATCCAAGAAATAGGAGCCAGAGCAGGCACATACGGTTAATGCAGATGAGAAGATAATTGCAGATGTATTGGCAGATATTTTACTGCCTGCTTCCAAGAAGAGATAAGGGGCGTAAACTGCAAATGCAGAAATTCCAGCGAATTGCTGAGCTCCACGCACAGCGATAGCCACGAGCAGACCTTTCAGATTACTCCGAACTCTAAACAGATCCAATATACTTCCAGATTCTCCCACTTGTCGATCCACGGCTTCCTTGATCTCCAAAAATTCCTTTTCCACATTCTTGTTTCTTCTTAGTTTGTTCAAGCTTATTTTGGCCTTCTCCAATTCGTTGCGCATGATGTAATAATAGGGCGTCTCTGGCATAAACACGAAGCAAATGAAGAATAACACGGGAAGAGTTGCAAAAATGTATGCAGTTGTAGGTATACTAAAGTACGCTCCTATTATGTTCATCAGACATAATCCTAGGTAGGCGCAACACGACATGGCGTTGCCCCATAATCCACGAACTTCAGGGGAGGCGACTTCTCCGATGTAGACAGGGAGAGTAGCATATACGGAACTATGAGAAAATCCGCTCAGAAAACGCGAGACGTATATAACGTAGATATTGGTTGTTTGTGCAACAAGTAGCCAAGAAATTAACTGCGGAACGGCCACTGATAGCAGGGTCATTTTACGCCCCAATCGATCCATGAGGAATGGATAAATTGGGCTGGAGATGCTCGATGAAATAGACGGTATCACTGTTATATACGAGGCTTGTTCCATAGTTATATTACCTGGATATTCGTCAGATACTAAAATTGGTATAGACGGAGAAGGCCATGCAAATAGTAGCGCCGTATTTAATGACACAAGTGCAGCTGAAAGCAATACAAAACAATATTAGTTAACACAACATAAAAGATAAACAAATATAGTCTACATGAATTATAGAATTTTTAGATCTTTCAGGGCCAACGCAAGACGGCCGCCTGTGCACCGCACTTAAAAATTATTTATTATTTACAGGGTGCTTAAGGTAACTGAGGACATCTTTTTTCCTTGGCTGTACTACTATTTGAATGATACTTTTCATGTTAACAATTTAAAATGATGATTACCCATGAAATGAAAAGGCATGCTCTAATTATTGCTTTAAAAGCTGATTATGGAGATTTGAAAATTAATAATAATTCAATAAATATTATTCAATATTATCACACATCAACTTATATTTTATTAAATAATATTTTATTAAAATTACCGTTAATAAATATTATAAAACATTGCAGAAATAGCCCTTTATATGTATTATAATAAAATATAATTAGTGAACTTACAAAACAATTGTTGAGATTTTAAAACTCGTGTTGAAATATGATAAATACCAATATTAAATAATTGAAGTAAATTACTTTTCGGAATATTTTTATGTGAAATTACCGACACGATATGTGCACATGCCGATAAACAGCCTTCCATTGTTTTGATTTTATCGACAAAAAAAAAGTACAGGCACTTTGATTCATTGCAATATTTCTCACATGAATCAGCCCAATTGTTAGCTATGCAATTTAATTTCATCGACTTCTGTATGCTTCAATTATTTTATTCAAAGTGATTCAGTAATTTATTAAATATCCACAAACTAATTTATAAGGTAAATTGAATTTGATACAAAATAATATACTAAAATTATAATTGGTCACCTGTTAAGATTGCGAAGATCTGCTTCCATTCCTGATTAAAGAAATTCGAAAAGGGTGTGAATTTCATGATAATCGATGCTGCGATGCGACTATCCACTGTTTATTTCAAATGTTTTATTTTTTATTTCCGGTTGTTGTTATTTCATTTCCGTGGCGCGAGTTTGCCAGGCACACACACTGAAAATGATCTGACTCGAAACAAAAAAAGTATGTTCACTAGAAACAAAACTGTTTCGTTTACTTTCGGCCGAGCGAAAAGTCAATCCACGTGCGGCAATGATAATATAAATGAATGTTTAACTGTTGGTTTGAAAAATGACTGTACTTAAACAATGACAATAACCGCACTAAGTGAGAAACAAACAAAAGTTTAATCATATTTTTTTTATTATTCATACAAAAAAACATACGCATATTGAGAAGAGATCAATTATATAAAATACACTAAAAGATAAAATATAAAACATTCCCATTTTGCTTTTTTTTGTTTCCCTATTTAAAGATATATATGGAGTGTCTCAAATAAAAATTTCTAAATTTTAATTATTCTTCAATGATAGTTAAATAAGAAGTTTAATTCTAAAACTAGCAATATTTAGAGACATTCTGCACGAAAAGTGTTTCACTAGCAGTTAGATAACTGTTTTTATTTTCGTTTCTTTTGCAAAATAAAACATATCTGAAATAAATATACAAAACTTATAAAATAAACTTAATGCTATTTGATTAATCAGTATAATATTGCACATATAAATTGAATACCTTTATGTATATCTTTTTTTTTTAATATGTATACACACATTTTTTTTGTATATTACTACTTCAGTATAAACCAGATGGAAAATCTGTGAGCTTACTGGATGAGTTGCGACTACCAGTCGTAGTGAAATAGTCGTTTTTGGGCTGATCGTAATTTTTCCCGGAATACATACCAGCATTTCCGTGGCCTCGCTTGACGAGGAAGCTATTGCTGCTAGTAGCGGATGCTCTCTTTTCCTGGACACGTGGGAAATAGTACCTGTTTTCCTCGTGCTTCTGCAACGGTAAAAACATTTTCGGATTTACGTATTTCCCCTTGCTGCTTTCAGGTTTCTGATCGTTCACCGTAACGATGTCCACCATCGCGTCCAATCCGTCATCGATCCTATCCAAACTCTTGCTTTTCGTTTTTATATCAGTTGGACGACTTTCTGCTTGTTTGCTCTCATATTTAGTTGCGCTTAATAATGAATCCGAGCTCTCGTCGCTGGTAGTATACTCGTGTTCAAAAAAAATCTCCTTGTTGTAGTAATCATCTGTGGGTATATAGAGATGCACCAGGCTTCTAGTCTTTTGCGGTGGCTGCGGATGCAGGTTTGAAGGTACGATCTCTTCATCACCGTCGTCGCCGACCACGAACATCTCTTCTTCCACCCGCATTTGAATCTTACTCTGCACCTGCGCCTCCTCTATTTTCGCCTTTTCGAAATCCTCCGTTTCTGCATCGTTAATGATGTTCCTAAGCTCTTCAATTACTTCATCAATGGTAGTCTCGTCCTCGTCGTCTTCATTTAAAAGGGAATTAGTTTTGAACTGAAGCTTCGTCGATGAATCCTCATTTTGCACGGTGTACATTTCGTAAATCGTTGGTTCTTCCTGTAGATTGTCTGAACTGCTACTACGCTGCGATGACGAAATTCCTTCATCATCAGGACTTGAATCTAAAATTTAAAAAGAGAACATTAATGAAATACCAATCACATTGAATTGAACTTACTTGAGTTTATATTTTGTGATTTCAATGATATGACCTCGTCCTGAAGTTCGCTGCATCTTTCTTTCAAGCACTTCTCCAAAGACATTAAAATACCCTTTTCCTCTTGCAAAATCTAGGCAAATTTAGTTAAGTTTTATTGGATTAATTTAACATTCAATCTTACTTGTATACGTCTCTCCAGAAGAAGGACTTTGTCCCTTAGCGAGTCGTTTTCTCTTTCCGTATCGTCTAAACGAATCTTCAAAGATTCTGCGTCGATGAAGTTTTTCTCCCACCGGTCCAGCTCGGTAATTGTTGCATCGGCCGATGGTGAATTTAGCGTTATATTCTGAATTTATCATCAAAAATATTAAAATAAATCTTTATTTAACATTTTTAGTTACTATTTTTCTGTTTGAGACAACTGTATTAAAAACAAATATGATCATTGTTTCTTATAATTGTGTCTGATTTTTTTAATCAACTAAAATTTAACTTTGAAATAGCAAGTATATGGAAGTATTTTTATCATATTAATAAAATTACTTATATTCAGTTTATATATAAATTATACCTTTTTGATATTAACCAGATCGAAGCCAGCCTGCTCTAGTTCCGCCTGTACGTAGAGCTTCTTTTGTACGGAACCAGCGCTCTCCATGAAGGTGTTGATAAATTTCATGCCAGATACGATAAGTTCGCTCTGACCTCCAGCTGAAGTCAGCATTCCTACGAGGAACCGAAACCTCACAGGCTCACCAAAGCGAAGTCGCAGCGTGCTGAGCGCCTCAGACACTGTGCTGTTCCCATTACTGGTAGACTCACAAGCCTTTGTGAGTAACTGAAATTCATCGTTTTGTATTACATAAGATATGTTTCCGAATAATTTATAATTACCTGTAATGCGATTATGCGTGATTTATTAACGTTGCTCATAATACAAACTGATAAAGTAAAGAGACCAGCAGATGAAGACGTCAGCTTTCGGACGCTCTCGGAATAGCGAAGGCAGCATGATAGCAGACACTGGAGACAAGCCAACTCATCTAAAAGAGATCTCCTCTGAATCGTCAAAGATATCTTCTGGCTCGAAGGAACGTTTCCCGCATTGGATTGGCTTAGCTGGATTGCACGTAGTAGATCCAAGAGCAGTGTTATACCATCCAGGGGATCGGAAATAAATTCTTGAACGAAGCTTCATAAAAACAGAAACAAAATAAATGTAAATCCAGTGGGTATTATTCAATAAATGTTGTTTTTTTGATTATTTTTTTGTCACTCGATGTGATATGAAAGTCAAAATCACATTTTGAAATTTTCCTATTTTCGATTCTTTACTTTCTTTTAAAAACAATCAAAACAAGAAATATGGCGTGCCCAGGACAATGTAATCCGTGTCCTATGCCGATGATGCCTGCATGCTGTGCATCCCCTAGTCCGCAGCAGCATCAGCAAAGTGGCGGAGGAGGACATCAGCAGCAAAGAAGAAGGTGCAGATATATCCAGCCGGAGAGGCCGATGTCGTATAAGCCAAATGCGGAATTCCGTCCGCCAGTCTTGAAAATGGATGATGACACCATCTACAGGCGGTCTTATTTGCCAGTCGAGGGAGAGAAGCCTGATCCAATTCCGCCCAGGAATCATATCTGCATCGGGGAAGGCAAAATATCCGATTATACTATAAACAAGCTCTCATACCAAGGCCATAACTGTCAGCCGCCTTGTCCAATAATACCATGTGAACACAAGCTGATTGGAGAGGGTCCGATGCAGGACATTACAACCCAGAAGCATGATTACGTCCCAAAACCGTATTCGAAGCCGATGGCCACTAGACCTGGCAAACACCTATTCACTAGTGATTGCCCTCTCAGTGATTTAACCACCAACAGGCTGAGCTATTTACCAGTAGATGTGTGCAAATACCATGTGGGCCCGATAGTGCCCTCTGACATGATGGACAGGCCGTGTGGTAGGATGGAGGATAATACCATCCAGAAGCTGTCCTATCTTCCATGGCAGCCACAACAACCTGAAGATATGCCGTGGAAGAGGAGGCAGATGTTCGCACCACCTGAACTTCCCATGGAGGATAATACGGTGCAAAAGTTGAGCTACATGCCGCCGGGTCGCTATGAGGAGTGTCCTGATGGTTGCATGGATTGTGGCGATTGCCCTCCAGAACCTTGTGCTAACTACACTCAAGGGAACAATTCCTCCAATCAGCAATCCTTTCACCAGCCAGCAGCCTGCAGCGCCCCATGTTGCTGCCCAAAGGCTGCTTGCTGAACCCGGATGTCCTCTTCAAACTCATCTCAAACAAATTCCTTGTATCTCCTTTTGTAAAGATTTCGATTGACAATGCAACTATGTCTTTTTAAATGATGGAAAATAAACGTCTAATACTTAAATGTCCATTAATTAATAATTATTTATTAATTCAAAATATTTAAATAACTCTAAATATCATATACTAGATTTAAAAGATAGTACTAGTTAAAGTCTTATGACTATTAAATCATTATTGAGTTATAAGAAAAAATGCATTAACATAAAAATAAGAGATATTGTTCTATAATTGTGGTTCCTTTTGTCACTTTGACAGTATAAGTTGTTTGAACAATTGTAATACCTTATAATAAACTAAAATTAACGAAAGAATCTATAGCTTGTCACATGTATATATTTATAGTGATAACATAATGTACAATGGCTATTTTTTTAAAAATGCGGTTGGTTTACTGCATGAACATCATCATAATATAGACTTCAAATTCAATGAAAATGTCAACGACAATGGTCGTCGCGGCAAAATTATCCGTGTAAAAGTCACGCATGACGCAGAAAGCTAAGCCGAAAATGTTTTAAAATGCAATGTCAATGCCTGAGGTGCCGTAAAACCAATAATAACAGCAACAGTAAGGTCAACCAGTGCTTGGACGATGTAGTAAAGTTGATAGTGGACAAAGAATGTAGGGACAGCAATCATGATAATGGAAATGTACCCGAGCTCATCATGTTTCTACCGCTGGACGGTAAATTCACGCAAACGACTAACCAGGACGGAGCCATCAACATCGAGGCTGACGGTATTTTCGTGGTGACCAAATTCGATAGCAACAAGAAAGATCAAGACCGAGCAAGCAGTTCGGCGAAATATGGCCCAATTGATAGTGAAATATTCAACATCAAGACATCATCGGAAACAACGCAACCATCGACAAGAAATATTGCTTTCGATATGTACCAGCCGAGCGATTGCAAACACGGCGGAGCATGTGTTAGCAAGCCTTCAAAATCAGAACCAAAGTTCAGTAGTCCGAATATCGCGCTTGCAAAAAGCGTGCGATCAATTGATAGCATACAGACAACTAGCACATTTAAAAGTATCGTGACTGGAGAGGATCCCAAAGGCAAGAGTAAGATTCCGGTCCGCGTAGAACCTGGCACTAAAAAACCATGTCAGCTTAGGCCGTGCACGTTCACCACTTGCAATGTTAAAGCCCAGATGCTACACGCCGAAATATCTTGTCAGACAGAACTGCCCAGAGATGTATCTAGCATGTCCAAGGCGACCTCAGTGGGACAATTTAATAGTGATCCATCAAGAGTCGATGAGAAACAAAAACATAGTTCCCAGGATCATTGCATTTGTTCTAATTGCAATGCAATGTCTGAGCAAAATCACAAATCTATAGAGGATACCGTATCGAAATCTACCATGAGCAGCAGACAATCTGCTGATACCAGAAGCAGACAATCGGCTGATACCAGAAGCAAACAGTCTGCTGATACCAGAAGCACACAATCTGCTGAGACCAACAGCGACAATGATGTTGAAACAATATACACGCAGCAACGCGAGAGGTGCTGTATGTGTCATAACTCGTCGCAAACGGAAGACACCAGCAGAATAATTTGTGCCGCAATGCCGCGTATGAACTTCTGCCCTAACTTCAATCCCTGGAGCGGAGGAGGAGCAGGAGGATCAATAGGTTCTGGTAGCGGCTTCCCTGGATTCAATCCGAATATGCAACGTTGCTTTGCACCCAATATGAACTCGAACTTTAACAACAACTGGTTCCAGCAGAGGCGATAAGTTTTCTCAAGTAGTCGCACTTACCTAGGGTAAGCCATCCGCAGATCATTGCGCAGCTTCGACAACAACTCGGTAACGGTACCAAACTGACGCAAAGTCATCTCGCAACCACCGTTTGAAGTCAGCATTGGATTCCTATAGTCCCTGATACCAGTCGCCCCCTGACCCTTAGTCGCCGTGTCCACCTCATCAACGCTCATCTTCGAATATAATCCAGGTCCATTGGCTGGCGGTCGCCGTCCCCATTTCTTCAACGACAGGGCATAATCTTCCGGATTATAGATCGGCGGTCGCTGCTTTTCCTGACCGAATTATAAATTATTAATTAACTCTCTCTATAGCGAATTCCTTACATCGGGAAAGTTGGCTCAATAAAAATAAAAGTTTTCTCTTTCATTTTACCTTCGTTATCATATCGTCAAACCATTTGAAGGAGTCCATCCTCCTGGTATCCTCTGAATTGGGTGGCATACCACTGTTGTCGTTGCGCTGCGACCACTAGTCGATTCGTCAAATGTTGCTGCAATCAAAAAAATAGTTGCATATCTTATTCTGAACGATTTACTAATTTGTTTGTTCGTTTCTTTTATTTTCTTTAATTTTTGTTTAATTCAAAAATGAATTTTTCAATTTAAAATATTAAATTGTGAAATCTAAAAATTTCAAAATAAAGTAAATTTGAATTGTGCAAAATAAAAATAAATTAGAAAAATTACTTCACAAAATGTTATTTTTTTTATGTATTTAGTTCCTTTAACCCGCACTCTTGCTATATAATATATTATAATATAATTATATCCTGTTTCAACATTTTTAATATTCGACACTAGACAAATGGTCAGAGCTCGATATCCCATTCTCACGATTAACAGGATGTTTCATTACTTTTTATACCTATGACATAATATTATTTTTAATCACAAAAAAATACATAAGTGAATTGCAAACAGCATTATATATTGATAATATATAACATAATACATATTGTTCTTTATTTCGATTAAGTTCAGTGGGTCAACGGGTTGTTTTGCCTTTTAAAATATAATATGACTAATTTATTTATTCCTGAATGTACGCAATATATTATTACTATTTACTTTTATATATAAATGAAGGAATGTTTAGAGCACATCTCCATTGCTTCAATTCACATAATTTACGATTTGATCAGAACCGAAGAATAATTGCGGGTTTTAGTGTGTGCACGCTCTGCAGCATCGTGTCGTGTTTTCTTCGTGAGCTCGAGAACGGTAAAAAGACGTCATCTGGTCGGCGTCAACTCCTCCGGCCTCTTTCTAAATAGCCTGAGGTGGCAAGCGGTCCAATAACAACTAAAATTAACTGCATCGGGTCCAAACCGGATGAAGAGGTCGTCATTTTAGAATTTCATTATAAATCTGTTTCCACAATATAGAAAATCTATTTGAATGATGCAATTATTGAATTACTATAATTATTGAGAAATTATGATTTTTTATTATACAGAGTGTTACCAGATTTTGGAAAACCGGAACAGGAGGAAAAGGTCTTTATTTTTTTCTATAAGTAATAACATTTTCTTTTTGTAGAAACAGTAAATTTACCGCATATTAAAAAAAATGCTTTTCTCATTATTTGACTTAACTCTTGCTGTTTTTAATTAACAAAGAATCGCGCAATTCATAACAATTTAAATTGTAATTGTCTAACCATTGCAGAATACTTTCTACTATTTTAGTAAACTGACGATTTCTTTCGTGTGACCACCATATCATTAAATAATATATTGAAAACTTGTTGATACACAAATCCATTAATAGCTCAAAAAATTCAGCTTATAATTTACTAAAGAATATATCATTTTTAAAACAAGAAAATACTATTTTTTAAAAACAACAAAATAAACACAACTATAATTAATTATGAATATAATATAAACTCGCAATTTGCATGATTTAAACTTCTTATTATTTGGTACTGTAATTGTTAGGTAAAGCAATGTCATGTGAGATCATTTACTAGAATTTTTATGCCGATGTTAGACAAACATAGATATTACTATTTCCTTTCGTTTCCGTGTTATTATTACAATTGAGAAGATTTTAATTGGTTCGCTTCGTCATAGGAGGAAATTCCGTGAGAACTCCTTGGCATTGAATTGAATGGCAATGACCAGGCGTAGTTTATTAGCATTTATTTGTTTAGGATATGCTACAGATTTTCGAATAGAAGCAACAAAATTTCTTTCTTTTTCTTCATATATAATGTATAATATGTTTTCGTTTAAATTATTGTATCAAACCGATACATACCGCTATTAATTATAATATAAAAATAGTTGAAAAAATATCTGGCCAAACAAAAATGATCGTAATTGTGTAACATCAATGTTATGTTACAAAATCTTTGTCGCATTCAGTACATAATTGCAATTTACATTAGATTTTTCTCGCGTTTGCTTAAGGTTGGTAATGTTCTGCAAAATCCTAAAGGAAAGCATACTACAATTCACAAGTAAGTAGCGGGATCAAAGACAAAAAGAAGAATGTTTCGTTAATTGCACTTAACGGCTCTCCATTATTTATTGTTTCTAACTACATTGCTGTTACTTCAATTAGCCTGTGAATATTTAAACGGAGTTACTTTAGAAAGCTGTTTATCTCTTGTTTCCGCTTCTGTCAATGTTGATTTGTTTTTCTCTCTTTTTTTTCAACCCATCTTATTTTTCACTCCGCAATAAACAAATCCATCAAGAAAATATATCAATATATAGTGGTAAGTAGGTAATCGTGCCAATATTTGTAGACTAATCGCGTTAAGCGTATTCAGTGCATAACTGATTTCAAAAATGCAATTTCAAGTTTGCCATTTCCTCTTTTTTTTTTATAAAATCGTAATACTACCTGAATCAAATACAAAATGACGAGTATGTTCTTAGTAATTGGTGCATGAATGCATTTTAGGTTATTGTTATTGTTTTCCACGTTCGCGGTCATTATTTTTTTCAAAGACTCTAGCTTCAAAAATATGAATGCATTGAATTGCATTCATGCTTGATTTGAATCGCTGATAACCCAGTTGCAATGTAATGGCATTTGACAGTTTCTTTTACAGTTACACCATGAAAGCCATAGCATATTCTCGAGCTACTCAATCAAAACGCATCATTGATATTATTAATCCACTTCTTTGTATCTGCAATCCTTGGAAACAGTAAATTAGATGAGTCTGTGTCAAACGGTCGTTCGGTTAATTAAAAACATTAACAGAACAGCGAATCTAAACGAACATCAAATTGCGACACAAGTTTCTGTGAATTCGTCAACAGTTGAAAACAATTGTATATGAAGAAATTTTCTTTTCTCATTTATATATATATTAAGTGCGCTGAAGAGAAACAACATTTACGACGCCATGCAAAGAAGAGCAGAACCAGTGTTTCTGGACTTCTCTTATACAGTTATTTGCGGACATCTAGTATAATTTGGTAACATAAATTTAGTTGAATTTATAAGATATAAAATGAAGAACTGTTATTTTAGTACACAATTGTTGTTGTTTCTTTAATATACATTAAACGATAATGACAATGTCGTGACTACACAATTTTGTAAAGAATTATCTCTCACCGAATGTTCTTCCGATATACTATATGTGTATGTTCCTTTGGAGTATCCAAAAAGTTCACTTATTCTCCAACGAAGGTCACTCGTGTCCAAGTGCGTTCTTACGTAACAACCGGAATGCTCATATCCATCCACGTATGCCACTAACTACATAGTACCTGCTTACTTGCGCTATACGTTCCTCGATATGCACCGGAGGCGAGTGGTGGCCAAAGAAGTAGCGGTCGAATGAACGACAAGAAGTGAACAGCGGCTCATCCGATGTGCGTGCTCTCCGTACGTTCTTCGCGACTTGAATGAGTGCGTAGACTTTTAAACTCTTGTAGAAACCGTTGCAATATTCTCCATTCCAATGATAAATACATTTTTGTTTATTTTCTTTTATATATTATTATAATAATAATGTTTATTTCAACAATCAAATAAACAAAAATAAATAATAATTTAAAAAAATTAACAATAAAAATAATACGTAAATAATTAGAGATAAAATTATAAAATAAAAACCACATAAATTTAAATTTTGAACTGCAATTTACTTGTACAGAATTGTTTTATATTTTATACATTCTATATTTTATATTTATTTAAATAAGTCACTAATAATAAGTGTTTAAAAGCCCTTTGTATCAGTTAACTTGTTTGAAATTATATATATATTTATTTTGTTCTTTTTATTTCTGTATATGTTTTTTTGTACGATTGATGCAATAAACATTATTATTATTTTAAGTGTTTAAATCAAGTTTAATTTTAGAAAATAATATAAGGAAATTGATAAATCATTTATCCAAATGGTTCAATAACATGCCAAAAAAATGTTAGCAACCAAAGTTATAAATGTTTTAACCATCGAAAACTTTTTAACCTTTCGTTACACGCGTGGCGTCTGTGTGACGCCAGTATAAATAGTATAGTATAAAAATAATAAGAAGATATCAGGTAATTATTACATGAAAGAAAAAAAACAACTAATTTTAGACTCTTATTTAAAAATTTTGAATTTACTTTACAAAATAACAGTTTATTTAATAAAGTTTTCTTTGTTTGAAAGAAATGCTTTCAATTTTCTTTACACAAGAACATTTTACTTCTGAAAACAAAGTTTCGCTTATCGAAGTAATTTCTTAGAACTGGAAGCGTTCTAAGAAATTACTTCGATGTATGATTGAATTGTTAAATTTTATTTTAAATATATAAAAATATATGTGAATGTATACAAAAATATTGTTATTATTGCAATATATATTTAAATAATAATATATATATATATATGTATACAAAAAAAAATCATTAATAAAACATTTCTAATGCTTTCTCTCTTGTTAAATTATTACAAAATGATAATTGTTGAAAGTAAAATTTCTCTGATTTACTTTATTATGTACGTTCTTGCTCGTGTATATGTATACTTAATAATAGTTAAGTCTATTTATTGGTGCAGTGGATTGAATCCTCGTTTAAGACTAGTCGGGCCTCGCGGTATTTCTTCTCTAGAAAGCGAATAATATAAAACTGAAAGAAAGAAAAAAACGTTTGTTTCGCGTGTGGTTTATTCAAAATTAGGTTTTGAGATGTAAAAGCAAAACTTTTCTGCTATTATTTCTACTGCCGATATATATGTATTAACAGCGGCACACGATAAAATAAAAATACTTGCACATTTTACCGCAACCATTTATAGCTTACACTAATTACGGGAAATGAACTAAGATTTCTCTTCAACTTTGGTTTTCCTTCACCATAAAAAGAAACTCGGGGAGTAAATTGCGCGGAAAATTCGGATTTACAAAATTTACATGCCACTGCAATCTAGGAAAATGGGTCAAGATCCATACGTCAACTCTCTAAAAAAAATACGAATAATGTATTTCCTGCAGTCTAACGGACTTTCACACAAGGTGCACGTCAGATCCCATTATTTCCCGCTTCCATATAACTATATATGCATATTATTACTTTTATTAAACGCATTTAATTGCAGTGAAACTTCGGTTGTTGGACAAATCGCTTGTCTAACAAAAACTAAAACAAAATGCATAAATTACAACCAAGTCATGAGATTTACGACGAGTATATTGGATTCGGTTTTCGAATAACCTTTACGAGCAAATTAAGTCTTACTATTCAATTTGCCATAATTGATATATTTTGGTAGTCGTGGATGTCATCGTTGTGAATAAACCAGATATTAATTATTTTCTTACCCCGCAATATGTTTAAATAACAAAACATTACCAGAAGCGGATAACATACAATATTTTGGCATGCATATGAAAGCTACACACTTGGATAAAACGAAAACAATTATAAATAAATAGACAAATTACATTACCTGCTTGGAAAATAACTATTATTTAAGTTAATTAGTTGGTGGGAAAATTGTCTTGTACATTGAAAATTCAATAGTAATTCCCATGTTTAAAACACTATATATATTATCAAAAATAATTAACTAGAATGGACATAATACTAAATATATTTGTGAACTTATTTAATCAATTATTATTAAATTATATGATTAACATTCTTATTTATAAAAGCTCGTTAGGCTTAATTACAGCTATACAACTGATATTTTCTGCCCGAAGAATATGTATACAATTTTAATTTCCAAAAATTAAACACTGAAATTAGAGTTAAAGTGTCAAGTAGATATACCAAAAAATATATTCTAAAAACATATTTGATTAATTTTCTTCTACTTCAAACGAAACATAAAGGAAAACAAGAACAAGAGAAATAGAGGAAAGGATACTTAAAGGAAAGTTAAGTATTGGAAAAAAAAGATGTTTCCTTAATGTTGGATATTAAGATTTGGAGGAATACATAAATGTGAAAGTATGTAGTTCTTCTTATATAAATTTAAGAGATAGCTTACTAAATCTTTGGAGGAGAGAAACTATCTTGGTTTTAGAATACCTTTTGGTCCGAAATTATTTCACAGACCAAAATTATTTTTTTTTTATCATCCCAAATATAATAACCAAGCACGTTTTTATTTCTGTTTCTACTATTTTATTAATTTTGCGGTGAATAATACCTTTTTAATATTCTCATTTATACTTAACATTAGAATATTCCATTGATCATTTAAGAAATACTTGATGGTAGTAAATTGTTTATAAATGCTGAGCGTTGAAAATATGAATATGAAGAAGTTATTAGTCATTGTGAGGAAATGTCTTCGATTCGGACATTCACATCACTAACTATGTCATACCTTGGAAGATTTTGATGTACGGCAATGTACATCGATCACTGGCCCGAATATTTTTTGTGCGCAATTTCCTGAGTGTTAGGAAGGAATATAGTCGTTACATTGGTCTTCTTTACACCGCAAACACGGTGTATAACTTCTTTGTGTATTTTTTGCTTATAGCTGAGTACTGATTCATTCCCACTCCACTCATCAACTACGTTATTGGCGAACCAATGCCACCGAAAAAGGAAGATTAGTATACTGGTATAATAGAAAAGATGAGTTTTTACTGTAATTAGGGTCGCAGCAAGGAAATATTGCGTCTGAGGCCAAATATCTAATTGCGTTCCCGGCTAAAGAAATTGAAGAGGCCCACAAATTAATATGAACAAAAACCATTTCAAGAATACATATTTTGTTGATAAGTTAACCCCAGGTATTATAACCCTTCAATGTCAGAGTTTGCACACGCATTTGTGTGAATAATTGAATAATTTGTGTGAACATTGAATAATAGTTACCTTGTAGATTAGTATATACATTATTAAATTTTAAAAATATTTTTTGTCATAAAATATATTAATGAAATAATAACATTTCTTGCAATAAATCATATTACATACTTTTTTTTTGTATATATTTCAAAAATTCACAACCTGCCAATTCTTAGCAATAAGTAGAATATTTTTTGCCCATAGACAGAAAAAAGAAAACAAAAACAGAAAAACAAAATAACACGCATGGAGCGGAACGATTTCCCATCTTATATTTCCTTCCTATAATATTACATACTTAAAAAAATCATAATATAAAAAGAAAATAAAAAAGGGCTATCGACTATAGGTCTTTCTGCCCCAATGAAATATTAATTGAATTTGTGATGAATATGAAATAAATTAATATTTGTTTATTGTTAAAGTTTATGCCACCCTTAATACACGTATCGAATCTTTGCACTTTTAGCTATATAGAATTTTACATTTTGATTCTAAATTAACTTCGGTGGTGATTTAATTGAATAAAATAACATTACTAGTTTTTTATTAAATGTAGTCATGTGATTATGTGTCTAATTTTGAGAAATTTGTATAATAATTATATTATTTATGTTTTCATTTCTTTAATTTATGAGACAATGGAACTCACAATGATTTAATATAAATCCGTCGAAAAAAGATAATCATGAAATATTTAATATATCATAGATATTTAACTGTTATTAGCCACTAACTGCAACAGGTTGTATTCTTCGTCATCTTCGTCAAAGTAATTTCGCACAAGAAAATACATTTACTTTTACCCTGCGCATCCACCATTTACGCTCCATCATTTACCCATTGAAACACTTCTAAATCAGTTAATGGATTAAAAAAATAAATATTCGCATGAATCAAGTTTGTATCCAGAGTAATTTAGAACATTCAAATAAAAATACCCCTAATAATTGAAGTTCGGAACCTCGCATAACGTGTATAATCCGTTTCAAAATTTCCGGATTTTTACTCATATAGTGAAACATATTCAAGAATACACATAATATGTGTACACAAGTTTTAAATCGTTACTTTATCTGCGAAACGTTACACGTTAAGTGAGTCATTTTTCTTACAATTCATTTTGCTCGTTAGGCAAAATGCTCGTTAAGCGAGGTTTCACTATAAATGTATTTTTTTTTAGCAATTTAAAATAACATATTTTTATTTTATCCAAAACATTAATATTTCAAAACAACTTAATAAATTTAAAAAGAAATAAGATAATACGCGTTTACTCAGATTTTCTAATGTATGAAACAATGGTAATCCTTTACTAACTGTTATTTAATTTATTTTTTGTTCCTATCAAAATTGATTATATAAATTACGCACATAATGAGCAGTTAAGAAAATCACATAGTGGTTGAGTGTTCGCATCTTAGTAATATTTTTAATTTAATTTAAATATTTTTTATGCATTCCAATTAAATTCACCTATCGTGGAACCCAAAAAGTCTCATGCACCCCAAAAAAAAACTAGAATGTCCTAAGCTCTGTGCCTAATCAATTCTTCTTTGCACTGCTCGAGTAAAAGTTCTTAACGCTGGCTTGTGCATATTACTTCAATTAGATAATTAATTCAATTATTTTCCAATGAAGTCCGAAGTACAATAAGTGTGTTGCAGAGTCTCTAGTATGCCGTGAGACAAAAAAAAAGTTTGAAAAACACACCTTTACATACTTGAAAACTAGAATTGTCAATTTATCAAATTTTCTTCTAATATTGAGTACTTCATATACAACACAAGAAATCAACATACAACAAACGTTAAATTGAGTTGTGTTTGTCAGACTAGACATATCAATTGCATACGTCGGGGCATTGTAAACTTACAGATAACATTAGATCGTATTATTTAATCCATTAAATAATTTAAACACAGGTACAAATATTTAACTATGTAAAAATAAAATAAAAAACATTTTAATTTATATTCGTTAAGGCACTATTTCACTGATTAACTGAAAAAGTAAACTGATTCCAGCACTTCTTTAATATTAAATGAGCCAGTCCTGGGCAATTTCCTCAGTACACGATTTAGTTTTTTCTTTGTCAACTCAGCAACTGAACCATCTTCGTTAATTTCCCTGAAACATTAACAACATTAAAAATAAGGATATACTCAAGACTAATATAACAAAACTTACGTTGCTTGATAACTAAATTTCTCACTAAGGAACGCAGACAGATCTTCTAAAATCGGTTCAGAATGCAAGGAAACGAACTGCTCTCGACAAACCTGCATTTAATATAAATATTTAAAATTATGTTGGGATCATAAAATCAATGTATATAATACCTTATTCATAATGTGCACAGTCGAGGGGTGTGTCCAGTAGCAATCGTGGACGGAGACGAAAGTAATGCCGGCCCTCTCACAATGCAGAGAGGTTAACATCATGTGACTAGAATCCAACGAGTGGATAAAGTTTGGCGGAAAAGCATTTTTCTGCTTCATCACGTTCGGTTTCCTGTAATTTGACTATATTTAAAGAACGAAATACAATTATTTAGTAAATAATTACTCGTATTGATCTAAATGGAAAATCTCGTAAGAACCATTGGTTTGAGGTTTTTTGTAACGAAAGTAAGGCTGAACCACTGGCAATCCCATAGGTGTCACCCATTCTACGTTCTGTCCGCAAACCGACGAAATCAGTCGCGCGCATTCAGTAAACCAATCTTGGATTTCACGGGTAGATGTGAACATTGATCCTAGGGACTCAAAAGTTCTGCCTGTCAAATACGAAGATCCTGACCAAACACTTTCTTTAGGGAATTGATCTATGTCCTTGAGCTGACGTGCAATCTGCAAGCGAGCACCAAATCTCGTTACGCCGTACACTGTGGTCATCACCGTCTGCTTGATAACCTTTCTTCGAACAAAACCTTCCAATATTTTGGCAATCTAGAAACAATAAATATGACTCATTGATTTCATAGAAAAATGTCTCACAGTTCAAACCTCGATGCCATTCTGAGCATCCTGCGACCTCTTTTCTTCAACCAATGTTGCAACAGCGCTGTAAACATCCTGTGGAACCGGCGCTGGACACAAATTTACACTAAACGCTCCAGCACTGTCTCTTCCCAAAGCTGCGTAGTGCTGTAAACCATTACAGCTTCCATCTTGGTGAATTGGAAAATGACAAAGATACTTTTCCGGATCAGGTGATCTATTTCAATTCCATTAATAAACAATATTTTACTTATGCAATTATATAAATATTACCGAATTGCCTTCGCTATCTCCATGCAACAGGCCAGAGTTTGCCAAGGTTCGTCGGACTCGGCCCACCAGCGTTTACCAGTCAATGGCTTATCAGCTGAATCCAATATCAAGTTCATTATATCATCCGCGTACGCTAGACGATCTTCCACTTTGTCGCGTTTCTTAAGGCCGGTCAAGTTAATAAGATGTAGCTTAAGCCACTTTAGACCATCTGGCCCAAGAGGGCGAGACTCAGCGAAAACAAGCATCGACCTTGCCAAATCAGACCCCAGGTGATTCAAATGGGGAGGAACTGGATAAACACGACCCCTGAAATCCATGTTATGCGGTAACCAAAATATATCATCCCGAAACTAAAAACAATGTAACAAAATTATAATTCTACATACTAATAAGTATGCATACATGATTTGCCAGAGAAAGCCTGTAGAGGCAATCGCACCATAACGAATACATCTCAGCTTTTTTTCTCCTATATTGCAATTTTTGTCTAAAGTTTAAGTATTTTTGTGTTTTGTCCATATCATTGGTAACAGGGGCTGGAGGTTCTAGTGAACTCGGAGCCTCAGGAACATCTAGTTTTGCGGAACCACCAGACTTAAAAACTTCTAGTATAACGTCAAGCACCATTTGATTCACTTTCCATGGAACTGAAGCTAATTGGTTAAGAGCATCAAGAGATGGATATAATTTGTTCATGTCTGATTCCATTAAGCGTTTCTTCTGAAGTGTTGCTTGTGGTGGAAGTCGGATTACTTCGCATGGAGCTACCAGATATCCTCCAGTCTTAACGTCCACCCAGGGTATTGGAGGGCAAAGCATAGGCAACTCGTAAGATGGAAAATTGAGAGTTTCCGGCACAGAAGCTCTGTACAATTTCGATAATATGGGATGTGGTTTCACCTCTTCTTTGACTAGCCTTCCCTGGTTCCTAAATATGGTGTAGAACGCAGGCAAATAATTTTTGTGTTTGTTGTTATTCCTCATCACATTAACATCGATTTTTAAATCGTGCATAATAATGTTATATAGAAATTTTCCAATAGTTTGCAATGCAGTTGGAACCCATTCCTGATGATCCATATGCATAGTCGCCCCTTCGTGCTTGTATGCATATTCAGCCCATTGCCATTTTTGTCTTGTATTCATATAGTCCACGTCCGTGGGCAAAATTCCCAAATTTCCATGATTGGCAGCATAATGTTCGCAGTACTTTTTATGGATCATATGCATCTAAAAAAACAATAACATTAATTTAAATAAAATTAATAAATACCAATACTTACTTTGTCAAGGACTCCAGATTTCTGCTTCTTCAAAACTTTATATCTAGCATACACTTTGGCACCTAAATCCCTATACAACATATTTACTGTGGGACTATAAGTTTCTGATCCTTGAGCAATCTTCTGAGCCTCATCCACAATAATCGTGATGTAGTCTCTTATAGGAATGGCTCGCATATAAGGCTCCATGTTCAAAGCGCTCCTGTGCGCACTCATAGCTGATAAATCTCGGTTGAAAGCTTTTAAGGCAGCTTCTTCCCACAACTTCAAATGCTCACCCCATGCTTTCCTATACTTCAGAATTTCTTCTGTTGGCTTAGGTTTGGCCTCAATACTTTTTACCTATAAATCAAATTAATTTTACATGATGTATAATCAAAAGTATTAGTTTTTACTCACAGTAACCAAAACATTATTCTCAATTTCTATCTGATGTTTTATGCAATACTCCAATTTATCTTTACTAAATATCCCAGATTCAGTTGCATTATTAGATTCATCTGGAAATCCTTTAGTTTGCTGTTCGTGATTTAAATGATTGAGTAAATGATTCTTGAATTGAACACTGGGCTCCTCGTAATTAGGAACATAATCAGGCCGAAAATATTGCAACGCATCCAAAACACGGTCTCTTTGGTCGAAAAGAAAGGTGGCTTCGTTCATAATTTTATCGAAGCTAATGCCTTTCTCTTCTGATAAATTTACATAAGTTGCAATGTACTTAGAGTGACTGCCATTGCTATTGACTCGCCCCAAACATTCGAAGATTGCTGAAAAACTTTGCACGTTCAAAGCTACCTCTTCCTCTTCGATGAACTTGACGACTTCACGTATTTTGTGAAAATCTCCTTTGGCTGCAAAACCTTTCAATAACGCATTGTAAACCGCTATATTCTTAAGTGGCGGAAATCGATCAGGAGTTTTGGAAGCACGGAATCTATGAAAGTATAAGGCATTTAAGCCCCTCTTTGGCGTTCTCAGGCTCACGCACACCTCAATATATGATGCTAAAGTCTTGCTAATAACCTCTTCTCTTGCCTTCTTATCATATATCTTAAATTTCTTTTTTGGAACCTCTTCAACTACATTATCAGGGGTTTCTTCAACTATATCCTCTTCAAGCGCTTCAGGTTGGAATTGATGGTTTGGTTTTATACTATTTTATACAAGAACATAGATTATTTGGATAGTCTCTACAATACTAATAACTTGCCTTTGCAAAATGTCCAGATCCATTGGATACGAAGTTATGGATGGTATGTTTGGAGTAATCAGTTCATTATTAATTTTACTATTTATCACAGAGCTAATTGAACTGGTAAATGTAGTTTCCAGAAAAGGTTTTTCGCTTATAAGGATATGCGGAAAATTATGAACATCAGTCAGGTTGTTGTAGCTATACTCATATACAATCCTATTGACATCCTTCTTGTAATCCTTAAGTTTATGAAACTCGTTTAAATTTAAATCTGCCAATGCCATCATTTTAACATCGTTTGGGTGAAGACTGCGCACTGTGGCTTTGCACTCCGAACTTGATGTATTTGTCACTAAATTTAAATGTATTGCCAACTGATTTAAAAGTTTTGACGTTTAATTTAAAGGTTATGTTGAGATTAACAATGCGTTCCAATTGGAATAATAACACTACTTATTGCATATAATTATTTGAACAAATAACTCACCTACTAGCATTTCTGCATACTTTTTCATTGTTTTTGTTCGTTTTTTTCTCGTCTTTTTGGTTGCTAAACTAGGACTTGTATGTGTTGACTGCTTTCTAATAAAACCTACAAACATTCAAGAACAATTGCCAGACTCGTTTAATAATGATAGAATAAAGTACTTACGATTGTGAATATCATTAAAGACATTGTTGCGTTTGCACAGGGAACAACCCCTTTGGGTAACACCAATAGTACCGGCATTTCGTTGACCATTTCCAAACGACACCATATGCAAACTATTTAAACTGGAGTTTCGTAACTTCAGCAATCGATACATCGCTAGCACTTAATTTAAAACTAATTCTGTTTTGAACAATTTCCGATATTTCACATCAATCTTCACGTGCCGCGAGCGCCATTTTTATTATGTAATTAAGTACGAAAAGACACCGCTTGGTGGCATTATTTTATTTCCTTTATTTACCAAATTCCTTTTGAAAAGGGTTAACTTTATTGGAATACGTTTGGACATCTCAGATATATGGGATTGAGCGAGCATATTTCTACTTAAGTAGTAACCAATGTTCACAAAAAAGCCATTGTTTTCCATATTGTCGGCTGGCTAGATGCACCCTCAGCGAGCAAAATACAATACTTCCATTCAATTTATCATAGCGGAAGAAATATAAGAATCTAATAATTTAGATGAAATATCACACGATTAGACAAGACTGAAAATCAATATTTGATGCTGAAGAAATCTAAAATATTTTTTTGTCTCCAATTTTATATATCTAGCGCTTATTGTCTAGTACTTGGTTGTATAGATTAGAATAATGTTTTTTTTAAGTGTATTTAAGCCAACAAATATAATAAATATTAAAAATAATCATTAATCATAAAAAATAAATGCTCGATAAAATATATGTTTTTGTTGTTGTTTGAATGTTCTCGTATATAATGTTACACAGCATATTTCGTGTGCGCATTTCATTGGTTTCAAGCTTTGAAGAATAATGAGTCGTAATAGTGGTTCATCTGCTCAAGGAAGATAAACGTTAATACTGTGTGTGGACCAAGACGTGCGTAGTATGGCGTGAAGCCCTTCCATAAGGCAAACACGCCTTCGTTCCTGATGACTTTCGACAAAACATCGACGGCACCAGTGAACTCTGGTTTGCCGTCGACCACCTTCATATTTTGTATCCTGGTTTTGGCTATGTCGACCGGCATGGAAGCGGCCGTCGTCACAAGGCCGGAAATCATCGAAGCAACGAAGTGGCATCCGATGTTATCGCCGAAATAACCGGAAGAGAGAAGATACTCCTTAGCCTGCGTGTAACTAGCCAATTGCGCTGCGTTCACAACCATTGCTCTACCCATCGTTGGAACCGCCCCACGCCACAGATTTATCACTCCCTCTTCCTTTGAAATTCGCATCAGCGCGTCTGCAACGTTCTTGTAGTTGCGTCTTTCTGCTAATGGTAACCTTCCGTCCGCTGTCATTCTAATCAATGCAACCTCGGCCGGAGTACCTGTAAAACATTAGATGTAAATAACTCAAAATATGTTGAGATAGTTTGAAGAACCCATGATCGTTCCAATTTCGTAATCGTCGACTTATTTATATCCATCGCGCTTGAACGTCGTTAACAGTTACATAATCAATCATAAATGTCTAATCAGCTGATAGCAATTTTAATGATTTTCCAATGTAAATATAAACAATATAACTCTGATAAAAAATGCAATTAATATCTCGCCAGTCTGGTGCCATGGAATATTCCAATTGGTCTGTTGTTTTGCCAATTTAAAAATAATAGTATCCAGCGCCAACTCGTTAATATACTAAGTAAATATATATATATATAATAAAAAAACAATAGTAGAGTGCTAAATCTCGTTAGTTACGTAATTAGCAGATTAAATCAGTAAACTAATCAAGGCTAATCTATGATTCATTTGATTATAATTATATAAGGTCCAGTCCATAGGGCATGATAATAAAAATTATGATTATCTCACCAACAAAAGCTCCAGCAACTCCTGCAGACATTCCAATTAATGCTTTCATACCAAAGTTGGGAGGATGACCACCCTCTGAGGCCAAATCAAACAACCAAGAAAACACCCCCAATCTTGTGGTGGTGTAGGTAGCCTGCCTCAATAAACCAGCAGAGAGACCACTGTACATGGCAAAAAATCCTTCCTTTGCAATAATACCACGGATTGCATGCAAAGAAGTAGGATACTCCTTGGCCTTGCCACCCATTCCGCTCAATTGCATTCTGTTTTTCACAAGATCCAATGGTTGTACAAAACATGTTGCCCCCATCCTAAAATAAAAATCAGAAACTGTATAAACTCACCCTACTCAAAACTATTAATTAATACCCAGCCAATCCACCAAACACAAATTTAAGATATTTTGGTTTTTCTTGAGTCATCTTGTGGATTTCTTAATATTTTTCTTCAAGAGTTAGTTATGATTATATGATGACTCCGTGATATTCAATACTAAAATGACGAATTGAATGCAAGGAGCTACCGAGTATCGCGAAAGGTCATTTTATACAATCTAAATTGTAAATAATATAAACTTATGCATTGGGTGGGAGACCCAATTTATCCTTGATCAGCAAACCACCTTCCACGCACCGTACGCTAAAAACGGTTGCATAATACAAGTTGAATGTATAACCTGGATTAATGTAATAACGTTTTTAAATTAATAAAATTAGTTTATTGCACAATCTTAGTGTGAAATTGATTATTTTACAATAATATCATAATTGTATATTAACTGTTATAATTAATTTGTTTAATAATAATTTGTACTATATCTATGCATTTTAATTAAGATTTTGATTACAAATATTCTTAAAATATTAACACATTTATTACATAAATTATATTTGATTAACAATGTTTCGTATGTTGGGTTGCCTATTCCGTCCAGAACATATGTTTGTTGTTTTTATTTTTGACAGGAGCTGTCATGAATACAATAGGTTGTTAGTTACATGGGAGTTGTTTTTGTTCTACAAATCTGATTAAAACGCTGGAAAAAATGAATATTTTAGATCAATTTGAGGTTCCCTCACAAAATTCTAAAATAAATAGCTATAATAATGCTGAAATGGTAAGACTAACTATTTATTTTTATTATCAAATGCTATGAAAACAGTCAAATTTAACTGGATTCATATTTTTTCCTATAATTGTTTCATTTTTGTAAAGAATACATTGTAAATTTTGTTACAGAGCACTTCTGGATACATTCAAATGAGCATGGAACAAGAAATGCCCATCTTCACAAAAGCAAAGAAAGATTTCACGCCAGCAGATAGTATAACACATGTCGCTATCTCCAATAAGTATCTTGTTGTGGCGATGTCCAATTGCGTACTGTTTCGCATGAATCTCAACAATCCGTCACAGCAGGACGGTTAGTACACAGCGTGAATCGTTCCATGAAACTAATCAATTAGTTTATGCATTTCAGAGATTTCGATATCAAAATACACTAAAGCGAGCCGATTGACTAATCTCTTTCTGGATCCGCAGGGTAATCACCTGCTGATGACTTTCGCGCCGATAAATCCGGATGGACCCTCCGAATTGGTCTATTTGGCGAGGAAATCAAACAAGTTAAAATCCAGCTCGAAGTTTCGTACTCATACTTTTACATCTGTGGCTTGGAACTACAACAACCAATCAGAAATATCCACTGGGACAATTCTCTTGGGTTAGATTGATTATAGTAACATATTAATTTTCAATTAAAAATATGTAATTTTAAGGTACAACAAAGGGATTGATTATTGAAACGGAAATAGTTATGGAAGGCGAGAAATATTTCATCACTTCTGGTTTGGAACAATATTGGAAACAGGTAAAATAAAATTGATTGATAATATCTTTCTGTAAATTATATGCTCTTATCACAAAGCTGCCAAATTATTTACCCTTATATGGTGTTCGGGAGGTGGAAGGATTAGTATGTGTTTTTTGTGTTAAACGCTTGCTTTGTTAAACTCTGTAATTCTTTTCTTAGCTATTTGATATTGGTAAAGACAACGAAGTACCAATTACCGGACTTGAGTTTTTTAATTTACCTGGTACCGATAAGCATTTCGTTTTTGCTTCTACGCCAAGAAGATTGTATATGTTCACGGGACCAGCAAATCCGGACGATAAGCCGCTCTTGCAACAGGTCTTCAATAAATATCTGAACATTCCAGAAAAGGATTCTTATATAGAGGAAGAAAGCTCCCTCAAGTATTCACAATTGAAGTTTTGGTCCGAGAATTTGGTCGTACCAAATTATTTGGCTTGGATGACTCAGTACAGTGTTTCTTATGCAAAAGTTAGTATTTTTTAATAATTCTTTTTTATCATAAACCAATGTTTCCATTTTTTTGCAGATAGACTTGTATAATCTACAAAGTATTAAAGATATTAAGGATAAGATAGAATTAATAAAATACCAAAGGCCTAATTACGGAAGCGAGCAGTTTTCGACTAAGGCACCATTTGCTCTGGCTCTCACTGAATTTCATGTTTTAATTGCGTACACTGATATGATTAAAGGGATGTCTCTGCTTAATGCAGATTTGGTATACGAAGACAATTACAACGAGGCTTTCGGTAGCTTGGTCAATTTAGTAAAGGATCAGATAACTGGCACCATTTGGGCTGTGACGCAGAATGCTATATTTCGCTTCAAGGTGACCAAAGAGGAGCGACATGTCTGGAGGATCTACTGCGATAAGCAAGAGTTTGAGCTTGCCAAAAAGTATTCAAAAGATAACGAAGCATACTATGACCAGGTGCTCATCAAGGAGGCAAACATGCTGTTCGAAAGTGGTAATTATGTACAGAGCGCTCTCTGCTATGCTCAAACGCAGTCTTCCTTTGAAGGCATCTGCCTGAAATTTATTCAGATCGATCAGCAAACCGCATTAAAAGTATTCTTAAGAAAAAAATTGCAAAACTTAAAGCAGCAAGACAAGACGCAGATAACAATGATAGTGCTTTGGTTAATAGAGCTATATCTGAATCAGTTCGAAGAAATGCGTCTGAAAGATCAAGATCGAACCAAAGAGTTTTCTGATTTGGAAAAGGAATTCGAGCAGTTTCTAACGATGAAACAAATATGCGGCACTGTGGAAAAGAATCGTCGGAGCATCTACGAAATCATGGCCAGTCATGGCGATAAAGCAAATGCTATCAGGTTGACTATAGTTCATAAAGATTTTGAGCAACTGATCAGGCAACACATTTATAAAAGCAGTTTCCCTGAGGCGTTAGATGTCCTTAAAAGCCAAAATAACCGTGAGCTCTTCTATCAGTTTGCACCTATTTTGATCCAGGAAATCCCGAAACTAGTTGTGAAGGCATTGATTGATCAAGGTCGAAACCTTATGCCGGTCAAATTGTTGCCCGCTTTGGTCAGCTGCAATGGCAATGCCCATTCATTGGAGATCATTAAATACTTGGAGCATTGCGTAAACATTTTGAAATGTAATGAGAAAGCAGTACACAATCTGCTTCTATCGCTTTACGCCAAATATAACCAAACCCAAGTGATGGAGTATTTAAACTCGCAAGGACTGAATATCTCAATGGTAAATGTATAAACATCATTCTCTAAGTAAACTAACTGATTGGTTCAAGGTAAACTATGATGTGTACTTCGCATTACGCTTGTGTCAAGAGAAAAAGTTAACGAGAGCTTGCGTACAATTATCCAGCCTACTAGGACTCTGGGAAAGCGCCGTTGATATGGCTCTAACAATTGACAAGAATTTAGCTATTCAGATCGCAAATCAGCCGCCACAAAGTGAAATCGAACTACGCAAAAAGTTATGGCTGAAGATTGCGAAGCACGTTGTAAGCGGCAAAGCAGATATCCAAACTGCCATGGAGTTTTTGAAACAGTGCGATCTAATTCGAATTGAAGATATTCTTCCGTTCTTCTCAGACTTCGTTACCATGGATCATTTCAAAGACGCAATCTGTAATTCGTTAATGGTTTGTATTCATCTTTTATTTCATATTTCACGCAAGTCAATAATTATCGTTGTTAAACAGGAGTACAATCAGCACATCGAGGATCTGAAGGAGGAAATGGAGGAGGCCACAAAATCGGCGGAGTTGGTCCGCAAGGAAATCCAGTCCTTCCGAAACAAGTACACTTTCATCAGGAACTCGGACGTTTGCGAGATCTGCGAAATGACTCTGATCATGAGACAATTCTATATGTTTCCATGCAGACACAGATTCCACTCTGATTGTCTACTGAAGGAGTTGAATCCATTGCTGGGTAATTAACTGTGAGTGAAAGAGTAACAAAGATTGAATCGTTATATTTTAGGTCCTGCTAGAAGGAACAAACTGAACGACTTACAAAGGCAATTCAACTTTTTGAATACACAGACTATTGATAATATAAGCACAGGATCGTCAGGAATGTCCACAAAGGACATTGTTAAAGCTGAAATTGATAACATCGTCGCCTCTGAATGCCTCTACTGTGGCGAGAACATGATTAGGAATATAGATATTCCATTTTTCGATGAGAATGAATATGAAAGTATCCTCAAAGAGTGGGAATAATATTTAAAATTTACATATATATATATAACATATATTAATATGCATAAGTTGTATTGTATATAAAAATAAAATATCTGTAAGACATTTACAATTATTTTTTTAAGAATTTTTAAACAATTGGAAAATCAGGACCGGATTGCCGAATTTATATATAACAATATTTTGTGTGAGGTTTAAAAATATAGAAAAAAAAGAACTAAAAAATATGCAGCAAATTTAGAAATTGCTATAAAAGATTCTAAGATCAATGATATTGTGAAAGAAGCAGACTTAGACGGTAATATGTTAGTCAAAGAAATGGAAGCTCTAAAACCTATTCTTTCATTAAAATAATTCCAACATCCATTTCTAACTAATATCTAATCCTATTTATTGCCCTTCGAATATACTTAATAATTCCAGTAAGGTTTTTTTAATGTAGTAATTTGGCTACCTTATGGTTCATGAATTTTATTTTTTATAATTGGATTTTGTGTTAAATATATATTTAAAATTATTTTGTGGTATCTATTGAAAAGTATTCTTGTTTTCACTATTGAATCGAGAGACGGGATCTCTGCAAACTTCGTGGCTGTTAGACCAGAGAAGTAATAAGATATAAAAGATAATTAATGTTCGTCATATCCGAAATATAACGAAAATGAACTACCTTGTGGACTTCTTTGAAGTTTTATTGATAAAATATTTAGTTATATTAATGATATTAATATGGCTCAATAATATTTATGCTTTGTAGAACCATAAATCAATAAATCACCTAAATAATTCACTTATAAAATTACAAATTATTGCACAATAATTGCAAATTAAAGTGCGGGTATATAAAGTCGCATACATTAAACTCCACCTTTTCATTTTGTATACAACTTTTGTAGTGGTAAAACGGGTAAAACCACTGAAAATCAGGCTGTAATATAAATATTACTGCAACTGTAGGTTAGTACAGGGAGGTCTAAGGGGGTTAGTATTAATTTGGGGCTGAAACCAAACTGAACTCCTATTTGACAGTTAAAGAATAAAATATTGCGAGTATTAGACTTTTAAATTTGGCGCGAATTTTTCCCGACGCCAACCTGCTGTTGACGTATTTTTTTGGTTAGCCCATCCGCCAGGTAAAGTTTATTTTTAATTAAATCTTACAAACAATTGAATAAAATTTTTCGTCGAATCTGTACGATTGCGAATTACGACAAGAAATAGAAATGTATAGAAAATCTTTTACGAATATTCCTTCGGAGGAACAAATCGTGGCGGAAAAAGTGAGGAAAAGTGAGTGGAAGCTGGCGATATGTGGCTTAGTATTCTCCGCATCTGTAATTACAGCCAAATTGATATGCAATAATGGTAAGTTATCCATCATTTATTCATTGCTATATACTAAATACTAGGTTAGTGCTTATGGCGTAATGTTTATAATTCACTTGTCTTTGGCAACCATATGTACAGGTAAGTATTCATTTTGAAGTAATAATTTTTTGCTTTTAATCGTGATATAGGTCTTTTGATATTTTTGTTTTGTTTTAGTGCAAAACCTACATGATCTAGTATATGAAAGGAACCTGGTCACTTACGAGCATGTGACTGAAAGTGGTCAGATTATGATGAGACATGTATGGGAGGAATCCATCAGACACAGTGGTCTTTGGCTTCCTTTAGTATGTGGCTTCATTGCAACATACATTACATGGGTAATGGTTTATCTTGATTCTGATGTACCAGGTGTACAGCCTCCAAGTCCTCTTTCACCTACAACAATTAAGTAAGTCTTCTATTATGTACTATTTAAATTTAAAAGTATTTTATTTTAGGATGCAATCTGGACACACATTTCATTTAAATTACGTTTTTGCTGTTTTAATTGGCATATTTGTCACTAGTTATATGTATATGAAAGGAATCAATTTAGGGTACTAATCAAAATTTGCAGTATTATAACATGGGATTAATCTTTCTTTTTTTTTGTATAAGATCTGAACTATTTAAATGTATTTATTAAAATAAATAATTTTCAATATAAGTTTTAAATTTATTTTAAATTAAAGCGAAAAATCAATGAATATAGTGACAATATTAAATATTATCTTTTCTTCAAGGTTTCCAAAGAAATGGATCAAATAAAAGTGTTTGACGATAAATTCAAAGATCTGACATCCGAGAAAGTGTCGCCTGTGGCACTCGATGGTAATGAAGATGACGATTTGACCGATTGCAATAAAAAGAGAGAATGGCAAGCTGCGAATCCAAATCATCACTCGTGTTCCTTCTGTAGGGTAGAATTTCCTGATATAGCGGCACAGAGAGAACATTATAAGCTAGATTGGCACAGATATAATTTAAAACAAAATTTATTAAATCGTGAACCCGTAAATGAGGAAGAATTTAACGTGAAACTTGCAGATGACCTCTCGAGTATTTCTGGTTCGGATTCGGAAAAAGAGGATGTGACCATCGAAAGTCTGGCAACAGCACAAGGAAAAATCTTCTTACGGGGTGGTCCAAATGGTGTTATATTCTCGTTATATAGATGCTTATTGGCTGAAAAGAAGGTGGAGATTGAAGAAGGTAATTTGCAAAAGCAATTGCATGGATTGAGGGAATCTAAAAAATGGACTATATTAATGTTGGGTGGCGGACATTTTGCGGGGGCCATCTTCGATGGGGAGGTCGCAAGGATTCACAAAACTTTTCACTGCTATACGGTAAGAGCAGGCCAGGGTGGTTCGCAAAGCTCGAGGGATAATAAAAACGCGAGTTCCGCTCCGAAGAGCGCGGGCGCTTCTTTGAGGAGGTACAATGAAACAGCCCTAATTCAACACGTGGGTGATATAATTGAAACCTGGAAAGAAGACTTAGAAGCCAGCAGTTTGATTTTTATACGAGCAGCTGGTCCTTATAATAAATCAGTGTTGTTTGGCGGAAAAAATCCGTTACTTGAAAGGAGTAATCCACGGATAAGGACAATTCCCTTCTCGACTAGAAGAGCAACGTTCACTGAAGTAAAGCGAGTACATTCTATACTATCTACAATATACTGTTACAGTAAGTTAAATGATTATTACATAAGCATAAGCTCAAATCATATTTTCTTTCAGATTCAACAGAGGATGCGACCAAACAATTCATCAAACAGAAATCGCCTAATCACCATAGGAGTAAAGGAAAGAATACTTCAATAAATAGAGCGAAATCGCGCGAGAACATTCAGCGTCCATTACCCACGGAAATCATATACTCAGAGGAAGAGAAGATCGGTGGTTTAATAGCTGAGGACGTAGAAATTTCTTTTACAGATATTTTACAGCCTTTCGAAGAAACGGAAAGGAGAAAGAAGCGATTGCCGAAGAAGAAAGAACCAGAAAAGAAGAAAGGCAAAACAAAAGCAGAGAAACTTCAAGAGCAAGAGATTCAGCGTAAGCGAGAAGTACGGGAAACTATTAGAGATGGAAACTTGGATAAACTTAAAAATATTTACAAAAGCTATGAAGATTTCGATGTCAAGTTGCACGAAGCACTTGACGAACTGGGAAACTGCGCTCTTCATGTCTCCGCTATGCACGATCGTCTTGAAATACTAAGTTATTTGCTTGAAAATGGCGCTAACTTGTGCTCAAAGAACAACAAACAGCAAACACCCTACAGCTGTTCTCAAATAAAAAATGTTCGAGATTACTTCAAATTATACGCCATCGAACATCCAGATAAGTTTAATTATAACAAAGCGCAGATTCCAACACCACAACCGAGCGATTTGAGTCCTGAAGAGTTGGCAGAGAAGAAGAGATTGCAGCGGAAATGTAAACGCGATAAGGAGAAAGAAAAGAAAAAGGAGAAGATTGTTGTCATGAAAGAGCGGGTCGAGCAGGATAGATTTGCGAATTTGAGTGATCGCGAAAAGGTAAGAAACGAATGTTCACATCTAATTATTGTTATATTATTTTAATTTTTGCTGTCGCAGAGAGCGCTGGCTGCCGAACGTCGAATCCTCAGTCAGTCTGGTGAAGTCATCTCGCGTTGTTTTCTGTGCGGCTCCAACATCGCTGGAAAGGTGCCCTTCGAGTATATGGCTAACAGATTTTGTACTATCGATTGTCTGAAAGCGCACAGAATGAAGAGCCCCCTTACACTTTCGTAATAAAAACGTTAAAATAAATTGCTGTTTGCGCTAAACTATGGTTGATAGCTTCTTTTGTTTTCGGGCACTGTATTTGTCCGGATGTCTGTACGACATGTGCTTCCTCAAGGCGTCCCGACTCCTAGACACGTGCGGACAGGAAGAGCAAGCGTGGTATGTCTCCTCGTGCGTCTCGATGTGAACGCGCAGATTGTACTGATTGCTCAAATACTTTCCACAGACAAAACATTTGCAGGTCTCCGGTACATCTCTGTGTTTTGGCAGAGCCACATTTTCGAAACCTGAAACATTTTAACCATGACTTATCATTCAATCTTTTTATCCCATTTTCGTAATAACTATGCTTTGAACATTGACCAACACGAAATTTAACATTAGTTGCATTTTATAAGCTAAGATAAATTATTTGTTGAAAAATAAGGATTAATGTTTTAGTTATAGTAGTTATTTTAAAGTTTAATGCAAGATGCAACTGTCATGAGGGCGACGCAGATACGTTCCCTGTGATGGATATTAAAAATAATCAACGAAAGTGGGTAGATAAGCAAATAAACTACAATTAATTAAATAAATAATCATTATAATTTATAATATTGACGCTTGTATATCCTGAGATGTACAACAATTTTGAAATAATATCTACGCTGTCATCAGAACTAGGAATGTTTAAATTTAGTAAAAAGTACACCTTTACTGACCGTGCGCAGAGGGAGCGGCGATCGCCGTTGGCGGTGATTCGCGCGCGTTCAAAATGCTATTATTCGAACTCAGGACGAGAATCTTCTCATTATCCATGTACTCGTTGAACTGCAATTGGAGAAAATAGTAATACCAGTTATTAACGGTGATGTTATTATACCTCCATGTCAGAGAGACCGCAGACTTTCAAATTCTTGGCGGTCGCGATTAACTCTGGGATGCGCTCGCGATATACGCAACATTCACCCTTGTACATAAAGGAAAGTATGGCCCGGATGTCTTCGATGTGAGCATTGACGAGGACCACATGGGGATGCTCCACTTGTGTGCGATCCGCCTCCTGGAAGCAAACGAGGGATAGGTCATAGTGGATGGTTCTATTTTTGGACGGGACAGACGCGTGGGCGCGGACTTACTTGAAATATTTGAAGGAAGTAGGTGCTGCACGAGGCCAAAATCAATCGGTGCGCCCGCAGCTGTTGTCCGCTTACCGACAGCGTGACGTCGGAGAAGAGGCCCTCCTCAAACATCGCTGGAAGCTGATCGGTGAGAGTGGGAGCGTGCCGATGCCATCTCAGCAGGAATCTTTGGTGATTGCCGCTGGCACCGCCGATGTTGTTATTGTCGTCGAACTGTTGTTGCGTCATCTCTTGCACGACCCGGAGGAGAAGAGGTCGTCGAGTGTGCTGTGGTGCGGGCGACGTCGGTCCCCCAATGCCCTGCCGATGTTTATTGTCCAGCCAAAAGCCTTATCTATAAATATTATAAACACCGGCTCTGTCCAGCTGGAGAAAAAATAAAACTGTGCTAAAAATGTCCAGGCTCGAAATAATTGATGCCAAAGCCGCATTTTATTCCTAGGAGACAAACACAAGCGACGTCCAAAAAATATTACCACACAGACGCTCAGCTACGTCGGCTCATTTATACACATTACAAAACTTAATTTTAACTTTTCCGCGCCAATTAAACTCCTACGCAAATTAATAATTATTATAGTAACGGCAGATAGGAAACAACTAAAGAAAAACATTAAACCGTTATTTTTATTATTAGAATTATTGAACTTTCGTTAACACTATATTATTGTTTAAGAAACCATCTGGTCCTCCATGACTTTAGCAATCCACTCCGGTTCCGACTTTGTGATCAACTCGATAACCGAATTCACCTGGTAACAAACAGATTGTATTTGCTTGTCCCATTGCGGCAATGTTTCCCTTGCTAAAACAATTACATATAGATTAATGATCCTTTATATCTGGATTATCTTACTCTCGAAATGTACGATCGAGTCGATTTGATCTATGTAGCCGTGCATTCTGCCCTCAGTAATCATCTGACTAGCAATTTTTTCTGCCTTGCTTGCATTGATTTCCAGTAAAGCGCCTAGCTCTTCGAATGTTATATTGTTGTACAGTTTGCTAGCCGAGAGTAGGTTATGCTCGATTACAGCCCGATCCAGTATGGTCGACCCATCCACTGTGGTTGCCTTCTGATGTGGCTGAAGTAACGCTTCGAATTCCTGCAGTTCCGACCTACGGATAATCCTGTCCAAGTACATCTTTTCCAGAATTGCGACAGCCGGCAGCTGCTGGCATCTCTCGTCCTTAAAGAGTGTTGCCAACATTCTCGACCTCTGTTGACCCGCCGAAGCTAGTACGGTGCAGATAAGAGCGCTTCTCAAAGATGTCATCCGCTCATCATCGTGGATTATCGAGCGGTATGAGAGCTCGTTGTACCTCTGAGCGGCCTCTATAAATTTCCTTCTATAATCTAAAACCCTAGCATAGCAGACTTTGTAGTAAATCTGCAATTGTTCATTTTTTGTTTCCGCCTGCAGTAAAGATGCCCTATTTATGAACGCCTCTGCCTGAACTGGATCATCATCCTCCAGAAAGAGTCGAGCAATTTTCAAATATGTATCCAATTTGTAATCTACAGAATACTGCTTTTGACCAGTTTCTAAGGGAATGCCAACAAGAACAGCAGCAGCCTCCCTCCAGTTCTGGTTTCTCTCATATATATCAGATAAATGTTGCCTTATGCTTGCAACCTGTTCTTCAAATGATATTACCCTTGGTTGTACTTTCTCCAGAGTGTAATGAGACACAACTTGAGAAATCTCATCTGGCAGGCTCATCAGATGTGTACTCAAATCAGTCAAGATTTGCCTTGAAATCACTAAACTCACATTCTCATTAACAACTGAAAAGAAAAACAAATGAAAAACTAGGAATAAGCTTGTAAGAACATTTTACTCACTTGCATCAATAAATAAGTGTAAACACTCTATCAACTCAATACCAGTCCAAGACAGGATGGTCTCTGAAATCTGTCTGTACCTAAAGCAAACTGTACAGAAACTGTCTTAAAGGAGCAATTAAAACGTTACCTTTCCGCTTGATCTTTGTGTGTGCCCCCAGAACTAATTATATTGGCCAATTGTTGGCGTACAAGGGCAGCTTTACTAGACATATTCAATATTTATTTCTGAAACCGGCACAAAAATAACAAGATAACAATAAATATCACGCAGCAACTTTGACAGTTTCTTACTTATTTTTTTTCTAACAGAACACCAGTTGATAGACAACCAACAATACTTCCTGGCATTAAAAAACAAACTATCTCATAACCTTAAATGATTATTATAGTTTAGTTTTTCTTGTGTGCGGTTCATTTTTAGGATTTATAAAATTAACGAATTGGTATCAGGTCTAGACTGCAAATTGCTGCAAATCTAGGAATCCAGTCTGAAGTGAGAAAACACGCTCGACCTTCAAAAGCCTCGACCTGTTGTCACAAGATGTCCAAAGATGTCTCTTTAGTATGTGGCCCAAAATGTTACACAAACACTTCAAACCCCGGTGTATGCTTAACAAATACACATTCTTGCCAGATCTAGCGAAATTTGGACGAGACTTAGTGCCAGCTATTGATGAAAAACTGAATTAGTATATGACCATCTGAAAAAAGTAAACATCTTACGTTCGTTAATCGTAAATCAATTGTAAATAATTGATTAGATCAAACAGCTGACGTACAAATTGCAATTGCAATTTATAGTCGATTTCTCCTATGAAAGTAATCTGTTGAGGTAGAATAAAATCGAGACTATATAAGATAATTTAATATCGTTTTATGCATTTTTATTATATATTTTTTCATATATATTTTTTATTTCGTAATGACCTTACTTTGATAATAATCTAAACATGTAGAGTTCTCTCAATATCGTAGTTAGTTGGGATATTAACTCCATCCACGTTATTCGGCGCTGAAACATTGCTTTATTACTATAACTATAATTTCTTTAAAATACAGACTATTAACAAAAATAAATTCATATTTTAGATGACTGTAGGATGGAACAGATCAGTAAATAAGTGAGCATTAGTTATTGTCAAAGTGAAAAATGGACAGTTATATGAAAGCATTGATGCCCAAGGTGGAGAAGTTGTTCAAAGCCCTTCTTCAACCTGAATTCCAAGTAAAAAGTGAATATTATTTAAGTAACTTATTGTCACATCTCTCTGGAAAAGAAAATCCTGGTAAGAAAATATCATTACTATTCATAATGTTAACTATTAATTAATTATTATGCTTGTTTTAGATTTGGGTATAGCTTTACTAAAATTGCCTATTGTTAAGACATGGGTATCACGAGCAGTGTCACACTGGCAATTTAGTGATAAACCATCATCAGCATTATTGTCCTTCACTCTAAATCTAACAGCCCTGCTATCAAAGCAAGAAAGTGATTTCATTGATTTAAAGTTAAACAATACATATGAGAGGTTATTTAAACTGTGTGAATTAAGTCATCGTAATAACAGCATAACACCTTCCATGAAATTGGCTTATATTAAGGTCATAAACTCATGTCTGGATCACAGGTCAGGTATTGATTGGGTTCTGGCCACTGAATGTTGGATGCACTGCCTGACAATCTCATTGGCCACTGACACAATATACATTGTTAGGGAGGGCCAAGAGTTTATCTACAAGTTATTAAAGGCGACTATATCTGTAGATGAGCAAATCGTCCATTCAATAGTGGACGCGATTTTATCGAGACTGCAAAAAGCCCTTACTAAGGAATGCGCAACATTTGTCCAAGTGGAGGATGAATTGCTTGTTGCCAATTTGAGGCCGATAGTGAAGTTACTAGTGCGTCTTCAGCAACTAATCATTGATGATGCCTTATTCAAATGCGGCGACTTCAGAATACCAAGAATTTTTATCAGTAAAAACTTGGAGAACGCTATTAGCGGTATAATTATCTTGGCTAGGAACAGGGACTTCTTATATGAATTGTACAACATTATCTTTCACATCTACTTTTTTGAGCTATACATTAAGACGACTACCGAGAAGTTTGCTCAGCAGGACGTAACCGAATTGAAGCAAAAGATACTCAATATTATGAGTAGCTTGATTAATCAGTCTGAGATACCTAATGTTGTGAGATTAAGCCATTTAGGACATGAACGATGGAATTTGCTAAGGGATCGTTTGCCTCCAATGGAGAAACGCACCAACAACAGAGCCCCATTTAACTTCCAAAACGAATTGGTCATTTTTCAAACACTACCCATCTTCAGTGTTTGTTTTGTACACTACAAGTTCACCTATTCGGATTTGGAAAACGATGATATCAGAGACGACTTTTTCAACAAAATCGTCAGTATGATGAGCGAGCCGTCATTGCGTCTGGCTTATAATTGGAGGAATAAAGTAACGTCGCAAGTGGAAGCATTCGACAATGGCAAGTTGGCGATAATGTTGTCGCTGCAGTCTTTACCTTACTTCACCAAAGAAGGTGCGATCGCGACATTCCAGATTCTTGTGTATAATGCAAACGATCTCGTGAAGGCGATAAACAAGAACTTCATCAGTGGTGAAACAATTAACAAAAATGTGGGCTATTTTATCGCACTCCTGGATGCAATGGGAACGTTCATAAACAAATTCGACATCACGTGGCGCGACAGCGTTGAGACCATTTGCGTCACGAGTTGCATTTTGGAATTGCTCAAATGTAATTGTTTGTCACCAAGGGTAAGAAAGCTGGTCTAAATTATAGCTAAATACATATTGTGTAGAGGTATCCTTTTAGGTGGTGGTGGAAGCTTTGAAGTTAGTCAAACTATCTATTGCTAGATTCCTGTCGCCCAATTTGGTATTGTTGGTTGAAATTAAAGATGACACAACGATGACCGCTCTTGGTACAATGATATGCGCTAAACTATACGATATTGAATGGGAAGTCCGCGATTCTGCACTGGAACTCGTGCACACTATAGCAAACATTTCAAATACTAGTAAGTCAATTTGAATATAATTAAATAAAAATGTTAAAAATATTATGTAATTGATGCACACAGAATATCCTTCATATCAGGGCATGTTGATAAATATGGAAATTGTTCAACTAACACTTACTATGTCCTGTTCGGATAGCGAGGCCTTTGTTAGAGCATCAGCAATCAAATGTCTACAAGAGATGATCCAAGTGAAAGCAATTTGGACTAATATCTTAGTTAACGAAGATCTACCTGTATGTAAACATTAATGTTTTGTAAATTGTTTTCATTTGTATATAAATAACTTTATGTTTTATATTTAGAATAAGATGATATATATATTGAGAAACGAGTCTGAGGGCATTGTAAGAACACAGGCCTCTGCATTGATGCGTTATATCTTCGAATACCAATCGTTTCCATCCGAACAGATGGACGACATTTACGAAGCTATGTGCGCCGCCGTCACCAAAGACCTTCATTGGGAAGTCAAGACGAACGCGCTCGACTTCTGGGCTAAGGTAATCCTGAACCACCTGCAGGATCAAGGTTTTATAGATGGCAAATTTCCGACTGTGACATTCTCCAAGGAAAACCGGAAAATAGTTACACTCACTGACAAAGAAGTTAAAACTAGACTGCAGAAAGTTTTGCACAAACTTAGCCTAAATGGATGCTTGGGCGCGTTCGTAAGTGCATTTAACGATGACTGTGATTTGGAAGTAGTAAAGAAATCTCTGGCGAAGACGAAGAAGGTGGCCACGATCCTCAATATGTACAATTTGAAGTCAGACAATTTCGACGAAGTGGCACCTACAATGGCTCCTATTTCTCAACAGGGTAGGCACAATTTGTCAGAGGCAACGTCCACTTCGTCCACTTTCGATTTTACTGATGAAATTTTGAATGCAATCGTAGAGTCAGATGACTTGAGTTTACTTCAGGATGTGTTTAACTCAAAGATAAATACACCGTCTAGTAACATCGACGCTAGCACATCTAAAGTTATCGTCACGCCTAAAGAATATGTCGATTTCGTTCAGCAAGACTTGGATCAGATTCTGCAACAAAAGATCATTTGGCGGAATAATATGAATAACATCGACTCACTAGTAAATGATATGCTGAAATCATATCTTGATCATGAATCTGGGACTAACCAATTTAATAATTACATGGATTGCTATTAGGCTAGACTTAACTAAACACCAAATAATTAGATTCTTGTTGCTATACAAATTAGGCAGGTGATAAAATTTGTAACAGTACAATATTTACAGTAAGTTTTTATTTTATTGGTTTTTACTTTTGTATATAAACTTATACTCATATATAAATACATGTATCAAGTTGATTTTTTATGCAATAAAAATATATATTCATACAATTCATTTCAGAATATTTTAATAATAATTAAAATTGGGTTCATAGCTGCACGTACCGCTCCTGGTACCTACTTAATTTTATTATTACGGACTTTGATCTTTATCATGAGTCTCATCTCGATCACGTAGCTATACTGTCGTACTTTGGAATGCGTAAAGTTGCAGCTATCGTAAAAGTGGAAAAGCTTTTGAGTAATTTCCTAACACCTCCTAGCTCCCTCCGCTTCGTTCGGCTCAAATCGTCATACCTTTATTTTACAGAACCTGTCCAATTTTAAAGTGTATCACGGAAAATGAAAACCAAGAAGAACAACATTAAATTCAGAAATTGTTTTACCTTGCAAAATTAATTGTCTATTCGAGGTTCCTCCACTCTTCTTGTCATCAGAGTAGATGGAAAAGCCTCAAATAAGAAGAAAAAGAACTTCCAGTCAAAGTAGAAACAAAAATAATAGTCATATAATAATAATTTTCTTTAAATTCGAAACAAAGAAATCTCTTCCCTTGAAGAAAATCATAACAAGTTATCGTGTTGAGTAATATCCGAGATATTCATTATTTAAAAATGCAGTTTGTTGCGAGAAGGTGGATTAACTAATATTATCCATATATTGCTCAGGAAATTCTGTTTCAAGAAATTACCAATATCGTAAATGATAGGTTATTTTTTGTGAGCCCTTAGCATGTTACAAATATAAAAGGTACTCAAAGAACTTAAACAAACCTAAGGAAATAACACAAATTTTCTCCGCTTTTTCAGGACAATATTCCGTTTAAATTCAGGTAGTAAACGTGTGTGAATACCCGTGGCGCCGTCCATAGAGGTTTTGCATGCCGCACATGGATACATATTTATTGTTCCAGAATTTATATCATTTTATATTATGTACTACGTATACAATTTTTTAATATAGTTTTGTGACTTGTTTTATTTTGTGCAATTTATTAAATAAAATATTAAAATACACTAATCCTGTATTTTGTGTCCCGATGTGTCTCGGAATCGACTATTTCTCAATCTGACAATACGGTCGCCAAAAATATCATGCGCATCATTTTTCACCAGTCGTGGTCCTGAATAGACACCAACAAAATGTAAACTTCTTGCATTCACGTTTCGCTTCTCAATATACTAGTACAGTGAAACCTCGCACAACAAGCAAAACAAATTGGAACAAAAATGACTTTCCACTGCCATACAAGGAATACATTTTTAGAAATAATAAATAATCTCATAAACTTTCTCAATATTGAGACTCAAAATCCATTTTCGAACAATTTGGTTCTTGAACATAAATACAAAATATCAAATGCCTCGATTTCCAAATACAATTTCGGTATAACAAATAGTCTTGCAACAACATATACGATGGGAAACCGCAAGTTATTCCTCCACCGCCTTTCACTTAGACTGAAAAAAATGATAAAGTACAATAATAAACTCGTCATGATTTTGTAATTTACGAATCTGAAAAATAAACATGACACAGTTTATGGAAATAATAAACAAATAATTTTTGGTCTCAATTTTTACTTAACAAAACTGAAACTAATGCTAAATTAAATGGTAAAATGGAAACCAGTTAATTCCTTCTGTTATTGTTCCAGATTTTTGCTCGTATAGTGAAATACTCGTAAAGTGAAACAGTTTTTCCATATAAACGATGTAAAATACGATAATGCGTTCCATGCTGGAATAAAAGTATAACTTGGATTTTTCATGATTTTTCTTTTGATATCTATGGTTCTTTTATTTTATTTATATTATAATATTTGGCTTTTTATTCGGAGATATGCAAGTGTTATTAAATTTTGTAATTATATTTATTTATATAAAAAAAAATACATAGTGTGCTTATATGTTATAATAATGGTTGGAAAAAATACATTTGTGTTTTGCATTAACAGCAAACCAAATTATATAATTTGCAAAGTATAGTCCGCTTTCAAGAAAGAAAATCAAAGATGGTTAAGCGAGTCATTTTTCTTACAATTTTGCTCGTTAAGCGAAATACTCGTTACGTGAGGTGCTCCTTAAGCGAGGTTCCACTGTATATTATATAAGATGATATTTCTTATATAAATGCTTAAAATCCTTTGAACCATACTTTATATATTAAATGTTACAAATTAAATTCATATCTATTTTTAAGTTTATTTTAGCTATGTCACCGACCTTGATATTGCCGATCGGACAAATAAAAAAGTTTTCGAAACATTTACATGCAATACTTTCAACAAAGGTAAATATGATGTAGTTAAGGAAACTCACTGTTCAAGAAAATAATACCAAATGACTATTAACAGTTCTTTATATGCTATGTTGCTGAAATTACCTCGAAAAATATTACTCCTTTTGTCCGAAAATATGGTATGCATTTGAACAAAAATCTTAGATTATCTAGAGTTTCGAAAGCAACTGGTAATAATCACCATATTGTTATTCTTTACATTAATAGCTAAATAACGTAACATATTTCACAGTCACAGCTTTTAAGTTAAGTTGGAATTTGAAGACCAAAAATTAGTTTTTTAAAGAAAAATTTTCTACTGATGGTTGGAATATTAAATTTAAATTACAACCACCACCGATTTAAACGTTCTGGATTTAGTTTTTTTTAACTCTATTCAATCACTACAACATGAAACTTCGCCAAACACAATTGATTGAATGGGTTCAAGTTGCATTGAATAAATTAGAGACAAATACTCTTGATAAAATTTTAGAACATTACAAACGTGTAAATTATGTTATCAGGAGTGCGAAAATTCCTATAAATTTTCTCATATAAATAAGGTAAACCTTCGCCGTGAGAGTCGATTAACTGAAATGTATACAAAATGTATATGTTCAAAAGAAGCGTACAACAAGGCTAAATCTCACTTTAACTAAATTTCGATTATACTAAAATTATTTGTATTTAGTCATATTGCGATAATAAAATGAATTTAATATTTTTTTATATTTAATTTTAGTTACATTTCAAATTTTTTTCGCAAGTGTATACCATATTTTCGGACAGAGGGAGTATATTCTATTTTTATTTTTTTTACATTTTTAGTTACTGGTTTATCTAAAGATATCTTAATACATTGTTACTAATGATAATAATGTCTAAGTAATTATTATGCAATGCTTTCGAGAGCTTTGGTCGCCAGATGTCGCGGGTCGTTTCAAAAATATCGCCTTCTGCATGTATCTGATGGAGGGAGGGTTTCCTTTTTTCTTGTGCTTTTCTCGGTGGTTATTTCTGGTGAGTGTTCTCCAGTCGTTTTCCGAGAGCAGATACAGGAACCAGATTGATAGCCAGTGCAAAGAAGCGAGCGACCACTGAAAGAAAAGAACGAAAGCCAGAAGACAGGACACAAGTGAGTTTGTTCAAATATTTAATTACGCGAATGCGGCTAGATTAATTAAGCCGTTCTGCAGCAGGCGGTTTTTGCTAATTAAGCACACAAGTGGTGCAATTAAGATGTCCATGCGAAGATACTGATATAAATGCATGTTTTTGAATTTGCATCATTCGCGTTTGTGCGGAAGGGTAATGTTAGCAGGAGAGAGCTAAATGGGGTTCAAAAGTTCATCGTGATTAACGTTATCTGGCTGTAATTGAAATAATTTCGACCGTATTTACATATTTGTGTTTTGCTTTCAGCGGAGCGCGCAGAAACGCAAGAAGATGACTCCGTGGCTAGGACCTTTGTGTGTGTTCTCCTTGCTGGTGATCGGCTCGTCTGCCGCTCCTCCGAACCAGAAAGTTACGTAAGTCGAAGAAAATTTATATCTTCTCTCTGAAAAAAGAGATCTTCTATTTGAGTTTTTACTGATCACTTCCTAGAAATTCATTCGTCATACTTATTATTAATTATATTCAGATAATTACAAACGAATATGCGATCGTTACTTTACAGTGTTAAAATCTGCTAATAACATGCATTCTGTTTTGTTTGTTTTATTCTCGGAAATCGCATAGTTTAGGGTAGGGAAGTTCTGGTCGTCACGTGTTTATTATTTTACCGCCCGAGATGCGAGAGGGATAAAAACAGGGGCTTTTTTTCCTACAGTTTTCCGAGACATAAATACAGGCAACAGAGGCGTTCTGAATGTGTGCTCCACATGTCTAAAAATACTTGGGCGCCAGTTCGTTTACCCTCCCCAGATCGTCTGAATGTTTCCGGCTAATTTAGGTGTATTATTTTTTTCTTTTTGGAATTTGAAGGAATGAGGACATCAGGGATGCAATTCTATCGGTGGTGCACATGTTGCGTGCAGTTGAAGATAAGCTGGAGAGACACGAATTTCGTGATAGGATGTCCGACGATACCCTTCGCAAAAGCATTCTTCTGTTGGATAAGCGAGTGAAGCAATTGGATCCGGTCAAGGGGGTGGTTAGCAGACTGGACGAGCGGTTGGCCAACGTTGAAACCATCCTGATGCAACGTGATGAACGCGAAAAAGCGCAGCTTCAGAAAACGTTTGCAGCTGTAGAAGATATTCAGAAGAACTTACCCACAGTTATGGAAAAGCTGAAGAGCGACATCATCGAAAAGCTTCCCGTTGTTCCGGATTTTACCTTACCGGATATTACCGTATTACCAGATAAAAACGATCTGAAGGCGGCGCAGAAAGCCATCGTAGATAAAGTGGAGGGTGTGGTCGAGGCGCACCAAAAGCTCGGAAAGGAATTCGAGAAAATAAAGAAAGACAGTGAAGGCTTCATGAACGAGAGCCGCAAATCTGCCGAGAATTTCGATAGAGTCAAGAAGCAGCTGGGCAGCAGCGAGATGCTTTTGCAAAAATACGAACATACTTTATCTGAACTTAATGACAAGATTCCCACCGATATAGTACAGCTGGAGGATCAGAAGGACTGGCAGGCCAATTTCATGCAAGGTTAATGAACTTGTACTCCTAATAACATGCAATTAATAATAGTTTTTTTTCACTCAATTACAGCTTTCAATAATCAGAGCGATAATGTAAAGTTAATACTATCGGACGTTAAGATGCTGGTCGGTCAAGTGGAGCTGTTGCCCCAGAAAGGGGACCTGGAAGATGTCAAGAACTCCACTCAGAGCGGTCTGGATGAGTTGAAGTACCAAGCAAGTAGCGTCGCAGATAAATCGGAAAGTACACTCGACGCCAAATTGAAGGAATTAAAAACGGGAATCGACAAGGACAATGAAATTGTGATCAAAAACATTAACGATCTCTCCGAGATGACCGGGTCATTAATGGGGACAATTAGCGCAAGTTACGATCAATTGAAGAACGAGATTGCGGCACTCTCTAAAGTAGAGCAGGTAATGGTACAAACGGCCGACGGTGTCCTGGATACTAAAAGGCGCGTTGACTACGGCGTCCAGCAGATCCTCCTTGAGGTCACAAATTTAATTAAAGAAAGTGGTGACAAAATCAACGCCACCATCATCGATAGGTAATTGAAATTTAAAATTAATTCAAGCAAAGAATATTTTAGAACATTTAATTTCGCAGATTCGATACTTTCGAGCAAACCGTGCTAGACGAAGAGAACGGCGCACTTGCGAATCTCACGTATAAAATAGGGCAAGACATTGACCAGGTTTGGAGGCAAATTGGTATTATGCATCAACAAATGAGCTCCAGTTCGGACACCTTGAACAAGCTCCAGAACCAAACGGACATCTATGTAACCGGATCCCTCGACGCCATGGACAGTATGAAGAGCAAGGTATGTAGTAGCTAGATTATCTTTTTTTTCATTTGTAACCTCCATATTAAAACTACAGGTCGGCCAGATCACAAACCGCATGAATGAAGTCGATGATAATCTCAATCATTTGATGGGACGACTGTCGCTTGTTAGTCAGGAGTTCAACAGAATTAAGGATGGACTTAGCGGTGCAATGGACCAAATCCGAAAGAGTTTCGCTGCAGTCCAGGACGAGATCAAAGATATTGGACCTGGACCACACCAAATCGCGGATAGTGTCGAAGCCAATTAAAAATTGTAATTTCTTTTTTTTTATACTACTCTTTTTATAACACACAACCAAACAACTTTTCCGTAGTTGCACATTTGTATTCATTAATTGTAACTTTTATATTTATATAAATATATATAGTTTTATTTATATAGAAAATTTATTTTCATTAAAATAAAATCTTTCGCATTACCGTTTTCAGAAATATTGTCAACGAAAAGTAAATGATAATAATCATTGTATTACAAAGTAATGCGTCATTCGCATAACAAATTGTAAAAAAATGACTCGCTTAACGAGTAACAAGTTTGTGCGCTTATTACATCATTTTCCAAACTTGTGTTCAGACATATTTATGATTTGTTTTGTGTAAAGTTTTGTTCCGGTTTCGGTTTTTAAATTGAGCAATTTTACGTGGCATCATCTTTTGCGCATGACGTAGATATTCTAGGTGTGCCGCGAAAAATTTAAAAATGAACTCGAAAACTTGTGGGCCTTACAACCCGATAAAAGTACGGACATCAAGAATGACCAAAGGTGTTAAATTTATAAGCCAGTTTTTCTTTTGTTGTGAATTGAAGGAGAGAACAACAGGAGATATCTTTAACAAACTTGTGTTAGTGTTTGCTTTCTCGAAAGGAAAAGTACTCGCACAATTTATTTGTAATATCTTTCTTCATTACCAAAACTTCTAAAATTTAATTTATAAAAAGAGATAATTGGTGGCTACAGAAGACAATATCATTTTCTAGGTATTTTTCATCACTTCCTTATCAAATGTACAAGTGGGTCATCAATCCATTTGCAAAATAAGCATTTGTCATTAATGGAGGAAGAAAATTTAATTGATTTTTAAAATGATCCTATATGCTAATATTTATTTTCTATGCTCAAATTATCATAATTTTGGATTTCTTTTTGGTGCACATATCTTCAACTACTACATCTATTAAATATGTGTTGCCCTTTGGATCGTCGTACCTTTGCGAATTATTTTTCTTCGCATTATCAGAAATTAAATCGAAAAACGAGAACAGTTATAAATGGTAGATGAGAATTTACGTGTTTATCAAATTTAAGTCCGCGTTTTGACTTAATTCTTTCTCAAAATCAATTGCATCCTTGTCACTAATAAAAGTATTATCTATATTGTATGTTTGAAAGAATAATGGTTTTTAAGAATTTATTTATATTTATTGATAAATTCTCCTTGCCTAATGTGCCGTGAGTTAAAAAAAGTTTAACAGACACTGACATCCATGTACTATGCTTTCTGTGATTCCAGGCAATCTAAAAAAACTGCATAATATCCTACCTTGTATCCAGACTACTTCGATTCATAACATAATACAAAATAAACACAAAACTGCACCAATAAACAGATTAATATCATAATATAAACTTCCTTAACGGGCTAAATAGTCTTCGTCGCAAATAACAGATGCAAAGTTGCACTAAAAGCAAAATTTACAATCCACAAGACAAGGAAGTCCTTGCGTTGTTCTTGAATCATATTTAAAAAATGGTAGTGGCTGATAGGGGTAGTGGATATAAAAACTTCTTCAATCAATATTCATTATTTACAAATCTATTTGCACTAATTTAGGCTAATAACAAAAGTCTTTCCGCAAATTTATTTAAGACGTTTCCAGAAAAAAGCGAAAAAAATGCAATGCAGTGTTGAAAATAATGATTATTTTATGAATAGTTATTTAAATGTGATTGCAAAATTTAAAAATTATGAAAAGTAATTTTGAATAAAAAATAATATTTGTATTTTTTTGATTGGGTGAAATGAAACGCGCTTTCAAATATATTTAATATTTATTTTTATTTATGCAAATAATGCGCCTAGGTACAGTATAGATGGGATTACGTCCGCGAACCGGACGGGGGCGTTCCACTCTCTCAATATTATCATCCTTTTTTGTAGTTGTTAATTATCAGGTGGTTTTAGTCGTCACATTATAGTCTCTATTATCATTGGTACTCAGTACTTACTTATGAATCAGTTATCATGATTTACTCACAAATTTGGTTAAAACCACCGAGAAGGTATATGCGGAATTTTCATGAAAGAACGGAATAAAAATCAAGTCGAATTCATGAGTAAGCAGTAGAAACCAATGGGAAAATCGAAACGAATAGCAAACAACAGGGAGAAATAAAATTAGGGAAATTCAATAGTATTATATTTTAATATGTACATATTCTCTTCACTCTTCTCTCACTCTCTTTCTCTCTCGCTCTCATTCATATTATTAATATATACAATCTGATGAGGGTGGCAGTGAGACTGTTTTCTTTTATTTGTTTAAAATTAATTGTTCGTTCCATGGATTGAGTAACCGCAGGCAAAAATACAGCGGACAACAAAACCGCTTCCGTTTCCGGAAATTAAAACTTGACAGGACGGATTGCCGCGAAAAAAATGCGAGAAAAAAATAAGAAAACAATGATTTGATTTAAAAAAAATATATACATATGTTATATAAATATTTTCTGCCTAGACTGATTGCCGGCAACAAACAGGCAACCTATGAAACCGGTTATTTGGGATTTCTTACTCAACCTCTAAAAGCCGTATTTTTGCCGAAACTGTTATACCATAATTACATGTACGATGATAATAATTAGTTGCTTAATTATTTATTATTATATACATATATTTTTTTCTTGGTTGGCAACTTTTGGGGATTTTCGTGGCCTGTTGCCAACCCGCAATATTTCTCCCTACAGTTGTTTCTTCCTTTTTTTACACAAATAACAAATCCGAATTGTGATTCTACCTAGATGCTAGTGCTACGCCACTTTCGCAATTCTATTGGCGATCAATTAGAAAACAAACAAAATTGATTTTAAATTAATTTAATTTTTATTAGGGATGGATTCTCTCTCTTTCTTTTCTTATTAAAATTTCTCGTCCTAAAAATTAGAAGGAAACGATATCTCTTAAATTAACGTAATTAATTATAGTTATACAACGAACTAAGGTTTCGACTTTTCCCGCTCTTTTTGTGCTTTTCGTTCAACAGCTACTTTGATATCTTCCTATAACGCTTCTTTGTTTCGTGTAAATTATAAATTGAACAATGTGTGTACATAACAATGTGCAAACATTCAAAAAGTAGGTGTAATTCATAACAGAAGTACGAACAGAACAAAATCCCTTCCTTTACACGTTTCTCATATATCATATAATATTTTCTATATATTTTTGTTCTCTCTCTTTAATTTATTTATAAATAGGAAAATGGTACGACGCAAAAGTACCCTGTTATATATATATAATTTAAATATTTGTGTTTGTTTGTCTCTTCTTGTTTCATTTATATATTTATATAAATGCATATAAAACGGATTCCATCTTTCTCATTCGCAAACTATCGACCAACCAATCGTGCACCTCTATCTCTCTTTCTCTTAAAAGAAAAAACAAACAGAATTAAAAATAAACAATCTCGTTGTATATTTGTGGGAGGATCTATGCACGGAGGCGTGGCGTGTTGCTAGGAGGGGATGGGTCGAAAGGGTTCGCCGATTGGTTCGGACGGTTGGGGGGATAACGCACAGGAAGACAGACCGAGTCAGTCCACACAACTATTTACAACCCGTATATTATTTCTATTTACACTCAATTCAAAATAATTCCCTCAACCTTCAACTTAACACTCTCTACATTCAAATGAAAGAAGGAAACAAAATTAAATACAAATAAAAAAATAAAATAAACAAAAAATGAAAAACGAACAATAAACTTTAGAGCCGATACTTATTCGTTATTGTCAGTGATGACAACGGAATTAATGGGGGGCTCCCGAGAAATAATTGGTACTCAGTCGGTTTCGTCAGTAACTCGAAAACAATTAAATCAATATACACATTGCATCACCAAACTAAATCGAAAACGAACAGAAACAAAATGAAAATAAACATCAACATCCACTGAAATAAATTATTCTAAACTTTCTCCATTCATCTTATTTTTTTACTCTCCTCCTCTCTCGACATTTCTTTCTGCCTAAAACGTATTATCATTATTTTGACACTAACACTTTTACGATTTAGTTTGATAATTCTAAAATGAACCGAAATTTTGTTATATATATATTTGTGTGTGTATATATATTTGTATAAACAGAAACTAAAATATAAGAACAAAAGAAAATTAAACTCAACTTAAAAAAAGCAAATAAAACTTACAATATTTATTTGAAATAATATTGATAATAAAAAAATATAAAATAATCCATTTCAGGAAAAGATAAAAAGCGCTTTACATAAAAGATATGTATTTGGCCCGGCTTCGAAATTGAACACACAAAAATCAAAACCGAAGAAAAAATATAACTAAATAAAAAAAAATCCGCTCCATTCATATTTGGAATGATTCAAAGTTAAAAAAAAAAGATAATTCTGAAATGCGAAGTGGCATGAACGATATATTTCGTATATCATCGGTTGATCGACTTTAACTGTATATCAATGGTAACTTGTTGTATTTGTTGCTCACTTCGCTGTTGTTTAAGAATAAAAGTAAATAATAAAAAAAAGTATAACAGAAGTAAATGAAATGTATGATAAAGTAGAACGAAAGAAAAACAAAAAAAAATGTACAACATATATGTACATATTGTCATAGATTTTTTTAAGTCTGTAGGTGACACTAACAAAAGTTAACCACAATGTTGAAGAGTTTAGACTCGAGGCCATTCAGTGCTTGGACAGCGAATGCCCCGAGTTCCTTCCCTAACTGGACGTACTGGCCATAGGACTGACTGGAGACAAGGGCGTGCAACTGGAATCCCTCAGGCATCCGTTCAACGTTAGCAGCAGCTTCCTGGAGCCGGCGTGGTTTCTATGCTCGCATAACCAAACGCCCTGCCACGTGCCCAGGTTAAGTTTGCCCTCTGTTATAGGAATGGTCAGCGATGAGCCCAAGAAGCAGGCCTTCACGTGTGCAGGCTGCAAGCCAAATACATAACCAGATTTTGCAACGCAATCCTCCCTCGCGAACATTCGAAGGAATATCGTCTACTCACCATATCGTCGGGGCCCTCGCACGAGTGTCTGTACGACAAACCCTCCGGCACAATTTTGTTAAGCATCATTTCCATGTCATCTCTCACATCCGGATCCCAACTTTCGTTCAGCGCCAAACTCGCAGACGTGTGCAATACTGAAAAGCAATAAACAATTACATTAATATTTTATAAACCAGAGCGAACACATGATCTAAGCAACTAGACAAACAATCACCAAAATAAATATAAACATATAACTAGTAACTTTGGTTTGTTTCAAATATAAATTTCATCCAATTTTTGCAGGAACAGTAGTATGGTAATACATGTATTATACAAATTAAATACAGTAATTTTCATTTGTAAATCAATAAGAACAAAACACAGAACTTTAAAATGTAACTACGAATCATATACCATATACCATCATATTTATAATTGGTGACATTTATGTGTCACGTGAATAACGTCAATAACATAAATCAATCATGTATGTATGTGATTAATACATAACTGAAATAGATTCATCCTTTAGTACATATGTTGCAAAATTCATTAATTAGATTATACAATTATGTCATTCTATGTAAATATACATTATTGTGTAATAAAAAAGCTTATTGAATCCGACCCCCAGGATTCATCCTGTTTTTACTATCATTTACATTAGTTTTTTTTATTTATACGAACCGGCAAATGAAATAAGAAACAATTATTTTGTCTGAAAACTTTAACAATTCAGTATTACTTAAAATTAAAAAGGAAACTAAACTTGGCAATTGAAATAAATCAATAAATTACTTTAATTATTTTGAGCAGTTTAACTGCACATATCTAATGATTCGGATTTTTATATATATATATCTTTCAATAAAGAAATTAAGTCATACATATAAATCATTGATTCGTACTAACATGTACTTATTCATTTATTATTCAATCAACATTCAATATTGTGACATTTCCATTTTAGGAACACTATTCGTTATATGTCGCATTGAAACAATAACAACAAAACTCGATTTTGGAATGTTTACAAAACGAATTAACTATACAATAGCAATAAAAATGAATTACAGATAAATGGAATTATTGATTTCGTCATTCGTAGCAAATAAAAATTTATCTAAATAAATATAAAGACCAACCATAATCATCAATATTGTTATGACATCTTAAAGAAAAATGATATTTACAAACTTTGACATTTCAGCTTAAAAACGCATAATAGATCTTGTAGGCTTCATTAACATGAAAATACTTGTTTAAATTATTTATGATAATTAATAGACCAAATTGCATTTATTAATAATTTATAAAAGAATTGAACACATTTATTTGAGATTTTTCAAAGTTATTATATTTCGTGATTATTTTCTGGTCTGATAAAACGACTTTCTAATAGAATGAAGTGAGTTAGAAATATTAACATAAGAAAGTTGAAAGTCAAATATCTTAAATAGTATTCTCTTCTTAAGCTTTATAAACGGAGAAAAATAATTGAAATAAAATTCTTGAAATTGTTGATACCAACAATGTTTAATATTGTTATTGTTATTTATCCAAATAATTCCTATCCAAACTTGCATATATTGTGTAGCTTACTATTACAGTTTAATTAATTGATGGATATATTACCTCTTGGTTTATTGAACAGAAACGAGTAAAAATAAATATCTATTAGTAATCAAATATTCGCCACTGTACATATATCCAAATACATCATGTGCTGTCAATTAGTTTGACATACAAATGTCATTAGGACTTTGATTAATTGATGGCACAAAACACATCAATGTCAAGGAATTAATTATGGCATGACACTATGTCTCCTAGTAAATAAATTTTGAAAGAATATCCTAAATTGGATATTAAGGCAAGTTCAATCAATGTTGAACAACATGCTATGGACTTTATGAATTAATGATTGTATCAATGAGTTCAAAATCAACTGATCGTGATCTGGTAAATCAGAAGAGGGCTAATTATTGATTGAAGATTTGTTGTGGGTGCTGGTAATTGAGTGAAGCATGTGCGCTAGTGCTTGATGGGAAAGGATATTTGGGGCAGTAGGGTAAAAAAGCGGAGCAGTTGAAGTGGCGGCGAATGTCAAATAAGTTTGACAACTCCGGTGTGTGAGTGTGTACTGTCATACTTTGGATGTGACACAATCCCATTGCGAATTGTGACATTTCGGGGACATTTCTGAGGATCTCCTCTGTGACGAGATGGACGCCCCGGTGCTGCGGCCTCAGATTGATCTTCTTCTGAAACCACGCCGAGTTCGTCTGTAAAATCTTGGCCGAAGAAGCCATATTTGATTTACTATCACTGTTGTTGGTCGCCAGCTTGATTGTTTTTCTGCCACCCCTTTCACAAGAAACAAAACGCACTTTCGCACCCGCCGCCGTCGTCACACGCACCGCTCCACGAACGAACGTGCCGTCACTCTCCGATACCGATACGTGCGATTCCCGACTGGCTGCTCATTATCATGAACGAGACATAGCAGTAACGCATGTATATTTGCATGTACCCACCAAATTTTCGTACAGTTTTATCAAATGAAAAAGGTTACACGGACTTGCCGCAGTACTGCCGCTCTCCCGTGTGCCGCGTTGCCAGAGCGCGCACACCCCCGCGCATCAACTTTGACACCTGTCAAAATTTCAAAACGTCAAGCGGCTCGACAATCCCGTTCACAACTGCATTCGATAAAATCACTTTACTTTTGATAAGAAAATCCTCAAGCCCGGCCTATAACTATTTTACGAACTCATATTATAATTAGACTATAACTTGCATCATTTTCACCACACGAAGTGAGCAACATAACGAATGCAGGCAGAATTGTTTATAATAAATACTTAGCTGTACTGCATTCCCTCAACGAGAAGCTGGCAACGCTGTACATGACATGTCATTCACGAACACGGGCGCGGACTCGAAGACGCGGGAATTTCAAAAGCTGTAAGCCGAAATCGTTTTGCCGATATCGATTATTCCGATTGTATACACATTTTTAGTGCATGATATATTAATGATAATTACACTGCTCGGGGGAAGTGGAAATGAAGCTAATCCGAATAACATTGGCTTATTGACTATTTTTGCTTCATTAATATTGACTTCACTCTAAAGAGAATATAATATAATTTGAAAACAAAAAAATATTTGAACTTGAAGATTTCAATTTTAAAGACTTGAAATAAAAATAATTTTGTATTGTTATTACTCGTCATTATACTTAACAATATATTATAAATATTATTAACGAAAAGTGTCAAAAAAACTATATTACACCAGTAAATTTAGCTAATATTTGTTTTAATTAAAATTTAAATTCAATTTCAAACAATAACAATTAACGAAAAAATAAACTACGTAAACAATACAGCTTTGATGTAAATTAATCTTTTATGATGTCTTTTATGATTTGTCAGCTAGTGTTTTCTATAAATCCTAATGCCGGAATCTGACAAAATTACAAGTTAAGTGAAGTTCTTGTTACGAAAAAGAAGTATTTGACAGCCTACCATTGTGAACATCATGCGCGAAAATGGATCAGCTACATAGTCTTGCCTTAGCGAATTTTAACCAAGGCACCGCGACTCACTGGAGTGACGTAAAATTTTAAAAGATTAATAATTTAATTAATTTTCAGTGTTCTTCGGAAGTTTAACTACAGATTCAAGAGTGAGACAAAAATAGTTTAAAAACTCTTACCTTATATTTTATAACATAAACACATGATGAAATTTAGGAAAAATAACATTTTACTGTTGTAATAATTTATTTAAAATATTTTTAATGTTTGTCTGTATGTTTTATATGGTTTAAATATTCAAATTATTTATTATATACATAAAAATACATACACAATGGGCTTGACCGAATACTTCACGTATTTGTTAATATTTTATTGATTTTCATAAATCATTTCACTATTATCAGGAATAAATTTTCAATGAATAGATCTTATTGTTAAATTTAATATATTTTTCTTTATTTTTGTTATTTTGAATTAGAGTTGAGTATATGACGTCATACTACTTGAAATAAAACTTTGCTTTGTGATTGATGGATTCGTGTGCGATCGGCCTCGTACCTAGCGCGCCAATTCTAGCATTAGAATGTACGAAATTTAAAAGAGTGAACTAAGTCTAACATTGATTGTCGAGTTGATTGTTATTTCGGTGTTTTGTGAATGTGATGAGTCTTTGGAGAGTGCGGATCTTAGATTGCGGCCGTTTCGGGTTCTTGGTAAGATCACACAAATCGTCAATACGTTTGGATTCGGTCTTGTAATCCTCCTGGATGATCTCCAACGCTAGACATTGAATAATGAAAATGATCGAATCAAACGTACAAGAAGTGTTACCTCGTTTCAAGTCCATCTCGTCCATTTCCTGATTGCGAATCAGCCGAATGCGAGCCCTGAACTTCTCCACCAGTTTTTTCCGGCGATAGTTGGCCTCGATTTCCTGTTTTGTCCGTGGTATTCGAATTTTCACGCAACAGCACACCAAAATGACTATGGAATGGAAAGAAGCACGGTGAATTGTAAATTTGCCAAAATTACTAATAGTTAGATTACCTAGAGTCAGAAATCCGGAGAAGGAGATGAGAATCAAATGCCAATTGCGGAAACCGGAACCGTCGAGTGCGGATTTTTCAATCCAGGGCTCGGCCGCCTCGTTGGGATTCGGATGGAATGTCGCCATTCTGTTTGTTCCGCCGCCGCCGACCCCAGACTGGGGCTGCAGCCGCTCCCAGAAAACCGTTCCCTCCCCATTTACACATATTACTTTGATTAATCTAAATTACGAGCAAGTCTAACTAGGATAACATCGATTCACGGTAAAACGAACTCGCCCTCGCAAAAATCTACATAAACAAAACAATCTACAAAAATAATTAAATATGCATCATTCTTATTAATTTATTCTGTCGGATGTTGTTTTGCGATGAACGTACTTGGTTTTACCCAAAAATGAATGCTCGTGGAAATACATCTTGTAAAAAGTGAAAGTCAATTAACTCCGTAATTTCCACAGATTACTACCAATTAAATTAAAAAGAATCCCCTTATTTGTTACGTTCTGTTGTAAGAAAGTAATCAGAGGTATATAGTTTTGCATGCGCGCAAAATATAAATAGCTCGCGAACCATTCCGAATGAGAACAGGTTTTCCTGTCCGGGGGAATCTCGAAGAGGTTTTAACATTAATTTCTTCGGTATTTCCAATTCAAGCGTCGCGACCACAAGACTGCCAAAAGACAATTAACACGAGCCAATGAGTAAGTTTTCATAGATTTTCAGTATGTCATTGATTCTATTCGTAAATTTAAATTCTAGTGCATCTGCAAATGGTCCTGGCTTTGGGGCTCCTGAGTGTTGGACACTCGAGATCACTTTACACTAGGGGAGTTGACCACCTTGTGGCGCAGATCGTACCCGATGGAGAGCCGTGGCCCGCAAATGCTGAAGACTATTTTATGTTCAGTCAAATCGTCCCCAATTACACGCCAGCGTGGGCAACAACGGCGAGGGTGCCCATAAAGCAGACAACCGAAGACATGCACTGGGGCAGACCGGCTATTGTCCTGCACCAAAGCAAAGACGAAACGCAGAAGGTAATAATCAAAGACAAGACCGGTCCCAGCACGTCGATAAAGGCTCCGGTGCGGCCCTTGACTTCTCTAGACAAAGACGAGTTGTTTACATCAGCTCCTATGGATGCAGGAAAAGCGGAGATTTCGGTGGCAAACCTTATCCCCGAGCATCAAGCTGTTACTATTAAGAAGCCGCAGATCACCCGCTTTCAGAGGATGATGAACCCCGAGGACTTGGTCATTGCATTATGAGAAAAAGAAATTAATTCAGATCATCCTTCTCCCATTTCCGTTTTACTATCTAACTTTTACTAGTTTATAATAAATAATCATTATTTTTCGTAATGTTATTCAAATTGATTTAAATTTTCATATTTATTAGGCATTTGGCAAGCCTGCTTCCCGTTGCGGTTGGCATCGCCACCCGAACGGCAGTTTCACTCAGTTTTTACGTTGGCAGGATTGGCGATAAAATGTACACCTCCCAATGAGCTGTTATTTATTAACTCACTCTCGCATATAAAATTGAAGTTTAGTTTCGTAACAAAAAAGCGCTAGTGCAGTTGTAGAGGAGTTGGTGAAATATGATTTTACTGGAAATTAATAACAGGGTGGTGGAAGAGACGTTAACGTTAAAGATTAAAAACGCACAAGCCGGGTGAGTTTTCTTTCACACCTTTTTTCCTCTTGTTCTCCAACATTCTCTGTCTCGCGTCCCCTACATTGCGTATATCCAATTAATAATCCTATTTGTTTAATATGAACATAAAAAATCCAGTCAATGATTTGTTTCCTGGGGATGGGCCATCTTATCAAAGGAAAACAAACCGCAAAAGTTGACGTTATGAACCTAGATATAAATGTGTCACAACATATAGCGCCCCACTTTTGACACAACAAATAGTAATAATAAATATACAACGAAATACTTGACGCTCGAAATAAAATACAGAAGCATTAATCATTGTTGATTCATCATTTGATATGTTTACTTACACCTGTGTATTTCATTTTCAGTGTGAAAAATGAGTCAATAGATGTAACTGTAGCAGATTTTGATGGTGTTTTATACCACATTTCAAATGTCAATGGTGATAAAACAAAAATTAGAGTGAGTATCATTTTCAGGCAAGTGCTAGTAATCAGAAATGTTAATTACAACTTTCTTCCAGGTTAGTATATCACTTAAGTTTTACAAGGAACTACAGGAGTATGGGGCAGATGAACTCTTGAAACGAGAATATGGTTCTCTTCTTATGACCCCTGAGGACTTTTACAATGTTTCATTGCTTATAGACCTGGAAAATATACCAGAGAATTGGCAAGAGGTTGTGAAGAAGGTGAGCATGCTGAAGAGAAATTGCTTTGCTTCAGTCTTCGAAAAATATTTTGACTTTCAAGAGCAAGGCGACGATGGCCAAAAACGTGCTGTCATTCATTATAGGAACGACGAAACTTTGTAAGTTTGATGAGAAATGCTATGTTTTTACCAACTATAATGTATATTTTTTTAAATTTTAGATACGTTGAGGCGAAATCGGATCGAGTCACTGTAGTATTTTCGACGAGGTTTAGGGATGACGACGATGTTATCATTGGTAAAGTGTTCATGCAGGAACTAAAGGAGGGTTTGAGAGCATCCCACACCGCTCCACCAGTGTTGTTTAGCCACCGCGAACCACCCAGAGAGCTACAGAACACTGACGCAGTTGTCGACAATAACGTCGGTTATGTGACTTTCGTGCTGTTCCCTAGACACACTGCACGCAATACGCGCGACAACACTATCAACTTGATACATATGTTCAGGCATTATTTACACTACCACATAAAATGTTCTAAGGCGTACATTCACAGCAGGATGCGCGCTAAGACCTCAGAGTTCCTTAAAGTTCTAAACAGGGCCCGGCCAGAGAACAAGTCAACCGATAAGAAAACTATAACGTAAGTGAAATTTCCACCATCCTACCAATATGATTTTAATCTTTCTTTATTTTTAGTGGCAGAACATTTATAAGAAGAGATTGACCAGAGTAGATTAAATAAGTGTAAGAGAGTATCCAAAAAAGAAATCAATTATTATGCGATGGGCTCAACAACAAAAAAATAACATTGGATAAGTAACTAAATCTTTTTAATAATTACTTTATTGGAAGGCTATTCATTCACAAAATTACCTTTTTTTATTATGTATAGTTTGTTTTAATTGATATGAATTAGAATGAAACACCCTTGATGGATGAAGTTTTAACAAACATTCACTATTATTAATATATTTTTACAAATTTGTTTTAAACAAGAAAAAGATATATATGCAATTTAAGCGTAATAATTTAATTATGATTATTTTTATTTACTTTTCTTTTTTTAGTATTGTACAATATATATTTAAAAAACAACTTTATTTAAATATACGCCTTTAAGTTTTCTCCATTTTAATTGAATTTATTTTATTTAGGTTTTTGTTCTGGGTTGGGGGGATTGTGGTATGTCTGCTTCAATAAAAGAACTCTCCGATTAAGATTTAGTGGATATGATAGACTTGTACAAAGATTCGAAAGGCGTTGTTAAAATGCAGATTTTCTGTATTATATAGTTAGTGAGCTGATCAAAAATGCAACTTGTTTTTATTTCAGAACATCGGAAAGAAATAAACAATTACAACAAACAATCCATATAATAAGGAAAAGCTTTTATTATTTAGATTTAAATAATTATAATTTTAATTATACATTTGGTGGTCTACATAATTCATGAAACAGATTTACAAAGTAGACATTTCGCTTGTTTGTCTTCCAAAACATCGTTTAAATAAGATTAGATTGTATTATTTCTAAAAGAAAATATATAAAGAACGTATCTTCAGATAATTCAAGTTTATGTAGACTAAGTGCTTCATATTTATATTTGATAGCTCCTGCACATAATACTAGAAGAGAAAATAAAATGGTAAGTGTTATACATAAAATATTAATGCCAAGGGTCATAGTATTAGTTGATAGTTGAGCAAATTTGAGTTGATGCTCTCATAATGGTGAAACGTTATAACTAATAAAGTTTTAAAACAAATCTAGTTCAAACAATCAGAGTGACTTGCTCTTTACTAATTTTAATTTATTTTCTTAAATCAATCAATAATACAAATTAGTACTTAATAGACTACTCTATTTACACAAATTAATTGTGGCGGGAAATTATTGCAGTTTGATATGAAAAATACGAAAATAATGTAGTTTGTTATGTTAGACAGTTTTTTGAATCATTATAACAGAACGAAATATTACATTTAATGAAGTATCTTAAAATTGAAATATTACTCTAATATGGTATGATTGAAACAAAACACCCAAGAAAAATATGCCACATAGAACTGCATAGAACAGTTTAATTATGTCACGTCACGTGAATTTATTATTATTATGTTGGCAGTAGCAGTGTCATATAACCTGCAATGAGTTATACTGCAAGTTGTTGGTTGGTGAAAAGTGATTTGTTTTAATTAGATTATTATTTAATTTATGAGTCGCAGTTGTACTATTTCCTGCTGGATATTGATGAATTTAGTGAAGACAAATATCGAATCGTATTTAGGTTACTATTTTTAATATACTCAAATCCCAAATATAGATCAATAATTAAGTCATCATTTTATTGCAGTTCAAATTAGACGGAAATATGAAACTATGGATCGTATTTATGCATGTGCTGCTGGTAAGTTGCTCTGTGTGGGCTAACTATCAGGATCAGCAGGACAACGAGTTTGCCGAGTTTGAGGAATTCGAGTCGGACGATGCTTTCGTGCAGTCGACAGGCGCTGAAAATCTAATGAAGGAACCCGAACCTATTGATGCAGACAATATATTCATAACTGATGATGATGATGGCGATATCATAATAAATGATGATTCCGAATTTGAGCATTTCCAAGACACTGAAGAGTTTGAGGGTTTTGCGGAGAGCAGGGAGGAAAAAATTGAGGTAGAACCAAAAATCACCATAACTAAAGTGCCAATTCACTTCCGCGCCAATTGGGATAGCTACTGGTTGGAAATCCTAATGGTTACTGGTTTGATTGTGTATTTCATCAATTTTGCTACTGGAAAATCCAAGAATACAATGCTTGCCAACACTTGGTTCCAGAGCCATAAGCAATTATTAGAAGATAATTTCACATTAGTTGGTAAATATTGTAAAAGATGAAACATATCTTATTTTAAATTTGTGTGCATGGTTTTAGGTGATGATGGTGCTTTAGAACACATTAAAGAATCTGGTGGATTGCTGAAAGAGAGTGAAAACACTTTCACGCTTTGGTGCAGTGGGCGCACATGCTGTGAAGGGATGTTAGTGGAATTAAAGTTGATAAAGGTATATATTATTGGTAAAATTTATATAATTTTTAATTGAGTATTCTTAGAGGCAAGATTTGGTGGCTGTTATCTCTGGAATGATGCGTCCAACATTGGATCAGGTGCACATCAAAGTTACAATGGATTCGGATGCAATGGAGCCTTTTGTATTCTGTGTAGCATCAAAAAAGACTGCCACTCATGTCTCGAAGGAAACAAACGATATCAGCGTTTATTGTCCGGAAAGGAAGTCTGGTGAACGGTACAATATCCCCTCGAATTTCCAAGTTATGAGCGAGATTTTGGAAGCCACCTCGGCAATGCTCGACTCTAAAGTAACGGCCATCCTAAATAAGTACACCGATCTGGTAGATTATATTCACATCTCCGATCAATACTCTGGAGCCAAGCAGACTGAAGACACTGGCGCACTCAAATTACCTGAAGTGAAAAAAGTTTTACTATTCGGATTTAATATGCCTGTAAAGGGTATGTCGCCGACCGAGGCTGTCGAACAGCTTAAGCCGTTAATGGTACTGGTATTCTATTGCATCGAGAAAGTGAAGAGATTTAGGCTATCAAAGGAGAGTAAGACTAAGGCTGATAAGAATAGGCTCAGGGTAGAAGAGGTCTTTTTGAAATCGACGCATGCAGCACGAGCGGAGGCCGCCGCTAACCGGCGCGAGGAAAAGCGTCGTCTCGAAAAGGAGAAGGTAATGGCAGAAGAAGATCCAGAACGTCAAAGGCGTTGGGAAGAAAAGGATCAAAAGAGGCAAGCCAAAAAGAGGGCTCCAAAAATGAAGCAGCTGAAGGTGAAGGCACTTTAAAAGAACATCAATTAGTAATCCAAGATGTCAGTAGATGCCAAATTTAATTTGTCTTGTCCCAAGATGTTTATTTTTCTTTTTTTAATTATTGTAACTTAAAGTTACATTGTTGTTTGCAGATTGTATAATTTGTTTATTTAGAAGTGCGGGATAAATAAGTTGAGATAACAAAGTTATCTCATTTCCACTTTTATTTGTATTATTTAAATGATAATAAAAGATTATCACAAATTCTTTAAATGATAGAAAATAATAAACTAATTTTTCTTCTAGCCTTAAATCTAAACCTAAAACAAAGCTATATAATATATACCTGATCTTCAAAATACATTTTCCTGACTAGTATATCACAAATAATTAATTGGATGGAATTAATTAAAAGCTCCATAAAATATAAATACAGTTAAATTTTAAGTTGTTATAGGCGGCAGTTCCGTTAAATAACAGTCCGGCTCAGGTTTTGCTAGTAATTTGTTATTCAAATTAATTACGCTTCGTGAGAATTTCAAATTCTCGATGTCAACGAAATCACCAATAATGACATTCACACCATACTTGCCTGGTTTCTGAGATTCAATCCAGTTCATTTTGTCTGTATACAGTGGTTCTGCACTGAATTTCTTCAAATTACCTTAAAAACAAACGTTATTAATATTTATTATAATAACATTATGTAGATAATACCACCAAAAACATATTTTAATACTGTGGACTTTCTAGGTGTTAAAATGAATTGACTTATGTAGCCATAGTTATTATTTCGTCGTTTCAAATCGCTGGACAAAATTTGAATCAGTTCCTTTGTACTTGTAGTGTTAGGCCAAGGTGTTGGGTAACACCCAGCAGGATAAAAAGGATGTTTAAAATGTTTAAGTCTATACACAACAATTACCTGAAACATTCAAATGAAATGCAAGCAAATTAAAAAATACTTCGATAACAGACCTGAAACTTATGTTCTGCCAAATAATCCAAACTCAAATGTTTCATATAATAGTTGTCACATGTCAAAACTTTTAATCCAAAGGTATCAAAGATCATGTCAACAAAGTGAATGTGATCATCGATATCCATTTCAAAGAAGTGTTGGCAGTCCAATATGACTACCTGTAAAATACAAAAGGTAAAACAAAGATGATACAAATCCACAAACGCACCTCTTTGGAATGTGAATTTAAGAAATCATTGATTTGATGGAGGACGATAGGAACGGGAGCCGCGTACAAACCATGTACAAAATGCAGACAGTCATTCGGTTTAGTTGCAATGCGTAAATCGAAGTAACGTATTCCTGCCTGCAGTTGTCCAGAAGCATCAAATCCTTGGGTCTTTGACCACCTACTCATCACCCACTTTAAAATGCACCCTAGCCATCTCAGTCTTAAAATAGCAGTCTCCGCGTCTGGTGCGATCTTTGATCTTGAAGTAATAGGATATGTGCAGCTATCATGTGATCCTAAACAAATGGAGAACATTAATTAATTTCAAATATATCCATATGATAATCACCTGGTATGGCCAGATGGATGATAGGCACTTTCTGCAAATCGTCCGGTAGATTTCCCATCCAATTTGCCAAATCTTCAGCGAGGTCAGCCATATTCAGCGACGAATCGACGAAAAACAATAAACTGAAGGCTACTTAATCATATTATAATCACATCTTTAATGAATCAAATAAAACAAAACAGATATGAAACAATGTCATTAACGTCAGAGTGACAACTGATGACAGCTGTTTACTATGACAATGGTAGTTGACGTTTACGACGGCGGAGTGGTAGTCCCAGGTGTTCACTGTTCACTCAATTTATTTTCCATCTATACGTTTAGTTTCAACTACAAGTAAATAACAATTGTATTTAAGCAAAATTTGCTATGACAATTTATAATAATAATTTATATTATTATAATTTGACATATGTCATAGAACTTTTAAATTTCAAATATATTACCATTATTTGGGAGCAAAACAAAATGCTTATGACACTTGATATTAATCTTAATATAAGATAATTTCAAATATTAATACTGTTTCTCGTGATACAAATAAACAATATGCACATTTTTGAGTCCAGAATCACCAAATGTCGTTTCTGAGAAAAGGTAAACTTAAAAGGACACTTACTTAAATAAACATATCGATAACACGATCTATATAGAACTACTGTTGAAGTATAATCGTCCAATATTTAAATATTTATTAATTGATTATTAGCATTTTCGTTTAGAATTTAGAACTGATCAAACATAAAGTGGCATCGATCCGAGCGACGTATGACCCGCTTTTCATTGTTTCATACTGGTTTTATCAGTACTTTATCGTTGATGAGGCAACAATCATATTGCCTTACACCAGATTCTTCTACTTCTTTATTGTTGTGTGTGGTCTTTGCTATTGATAGAACAATATCTGTAGACATGACGATAACCTGATGCTTGTTTAAATGTTGTTTTATTTAACCAATGAAGGTATTTTTTATTTCAAACATTCTATGCAGAGTCGGTTCTAGATTATAATGCCACCCGGACAAAATACGTATTTAATGCTCCCTATATAAAATGAAAACAAAGTTATTTTTTAATTTATCAGTCCTGATTAAATATTCAATTTACCCATGCGGTAATCCTGCTTTACGAGCAATCTATTAAATGGAAGGAATGAGAAATGTATTATTTTTAATACTTTTTATCAGCGACTGATACCTATCAGATCATCCGATTAAGAGAATTACAAAGAAATACTGAACAAAATGGATTGAAAAATAAAAACAACGCATCTACGCAACAAAGAGCTTAATAATAGCAATTACTGATCTATTGATTGCGGATTGCCAATTCAGGAAACGGAAGTGTCATTGAGAACCTAAAAAAATGCGGAGAAGAGAATCGTAGCCGCGGGCAATAGAAGAAACATTAAATTCAGTCATTAATTGTGTATACAATTGATTCGATTCAATTGATCAAGGCCAAACAAATAAGTAGATGAAATGCTCAGAATAAAGTTGGCAACGGAGGGCGAAACGTGCAGAATTTGAAATATCAACAGTTTAAATTTTTTATTTGCACATCTTCGACTAATTGTATGTTTTGTTTATATAGTCTTATCAGGAATTAATGAGCCCCGATTTGTTCAAGATTTTTGAAACTTGGTCTGTGGTTTTTCGAGGCGTGTCTCGCCTTTATCTGGTATCGTTTCCTCCATTCTCATGGCCGCGAACAAAATAAAAGCCATTCGGTTCGCTTTCGCTGCTCAATCAGCGGCCAACAGCTGAGTAACGCGAACAGCAGAACGCGAGTGCGGGCCTAGAGAAACACCGACAAGGAAAAAGAACAATTCCGACGAGGTCGACGACAAAGAGGGCAACTGCCATCAGAAGACTACCAGAAGGTTAGAAGTTAAGGAACCACATCGCATTCGTAACACCGGCCCTGTTGGAATGCACCCTTGCCTAAAACAACGGATAATCCACACGTCCTCCGATCACTACGAAGAGACATTCCTCTAGGACAAACAACGTCGAAGCGTATTGCGTCACATTGGTTTGTCTCGCTATACCAGCGTGTGAAGAATATCGTCGTAGAAATTACTTCGAGGATCATGGATTCGTTCGGCTTCAGACAGGAAGATAGCCGTAAAGGTATATGTATATCCTATTGGTTGGTAGTCATTTCCGCGCCAATTCGAATACCTCTACAGAGCCAGCATTAAATATAAATCTTATTACGAAATCCCACGTGCGGTTATGCATTGGCCTCAATCGGAATGCATTCAATCAATGACCAGTATCAACAAACTAAAAAAAATGCAGACTGTTTGCAAATAGTTTGAAGAGTTGCCAATAAATAAAAACAAAACAATCGAAATCGATGCCCACGCGATTTCGAAAACCAGAAGACGCGGAGGCGATACTCTGTGACCCAAATATCGGTCATCGTCAATTCACAGCCTACCTTATGTAAACATAAATATAAACTCATTTTCCAGAAATATCCTAAGTTCCGCGTTATTATTCATTCTCTTTTTATTGTTATAAAAAAAGAAGTAATTAAGTGTATTCAAGGTTTGCTACAACAGTTATAGTAGTAAAAGTATTACTTCTACGTTTTGTTTGTTGTTGTTATTTATGTTATCTAATATTTATGTGTGCAAGAATTTTATTTAAATATATCGAGGCTTAAAGATTAAAAAGACTAATCATCACCAGACGAAGAATATTCTTGTTACATCATAATCTTGATGTCTCTAGACGCGTATTGACTTATTGATAAACTCCGTAGCGCTTTACGCAATCGGAATAAATAAATGTATCCGCCATCTCCTCTTGCATTCTTTTGTAAACATTTTTGAGATTTACGTTTTCAGCGCAAAATCCTCGGAATCCTACCACTCGTCATTTCGCACCTCTGCTCGTTGCAATTGTTGGCCTACCTGGTCGTGGAAAGAGTCTCCTATCCAGAAGGCTTGCCCGCTATCTGAACTACACCCATGATACCACTAAAGGTAAGTGTTATTCAATATCTTGCAGTGCTGCAAAAAAAATATTTAAAAAGTATCAACGAAACTAAAATCGCTGCTGACAAAACCAAATTCTTCTGCTAATTATATCATTCTATTTAAAGAAGTTCATCTAAAAGTAGATACGATTGTATATACAAATATAAGATTTAATATATTTGACATTCAATTAATATCTCATTAATTCAATATTTGCATTTAATGACTTGTGCTTAGGATACTCGACTGGATAATATTTACATATCTGGTTAGTTTATTTATATAAGATAGTTGTATTGATTTCTTAACTTTCATTTTACTAGCAAACAAATAATTTAGGAGATATATTTATTTGTTCTTTTCACTTTCGGTAGTTCTCAGTTGCATGAAAATCTAAATATTTATTGCATACAATTACTACTTTTTATGACAATCACTACTAACATTGAATGTACTATTGACTCATTCTTCAATTTTACCAATATTCTTTAATGAATAAAAAATAATTTTATGCACTAATTTTTTAGAACTTATTTTGAATTTAACTATTTTTAGTGTTTGATATCAGCGAATACAGGAGGAAATTATACGGTAAATATGCGTCGCACGATATGTTCCGTGCAGATAATCTGCCGGCATGGAACATCCGTCAACAGAGCTTTAAATTGGCATTGGAGGATAGTGCAATCTGGTTACAAGAGAAAGGGCACAGAGTGGCTATACTCGATGGTCCCAACGTTTCAAGAGCGCAACGTCAGATGATCTATGACCTAGTGCACGATCAGCTTAACTACCGAGTTATGTTTGTCGAATGCGTCTGCGAAGATCCCATAATATTAGAGAAGAACTTCAAGGTAATCGAATCGTAGACCCAAATAAACATATTTACATTTCTGGTGATATTGACTAGCTAATCAATCTGTAAACCAAGACGTATTATTTAAAGAACTTACATCATCGACTTATATAAATTAACAATTTTAAAAATCCTTCGTACTTTTGTTATCGGTAGCAAAGAATAATATATTTTCAATCGATTATTGACAAATAATGTGATGCAATACGCAAACGAGATTAAAAATTGTCAACAAACAGAACAATTTGTTTACTCTAACAATTGTTGTGATGAGCAGTGTAAACAAAAAAATATCTATATTAATTGTTTGATGCATATCTTTCTAGAGTTAAGTTGTTTATAAAAGAAAAGCAGACTGTAAACAAAATTAGTTGAACGAGCATAATTCGTTCCATAATCTTACGCGTTACACATAAGCGCAACATTTTTTCCCACGATATTGCGTTTCATGCTGAAAAAATACTCCAATTATTTCATAAAACAAAACAAAAATAAATCTTTCAATTAATTGCGTTATTTTTTTTTCAGGATATATTAGAATATTCCGTAGATTACAAGGATATGGCCACTGAAGAAGCCTTGAAAGATTTGAAGTTAAAAATGACACACTACCAAACCCAATATGAATCTCCTTCATTGGGCAGCCACTGGGAACTGCCCTGTCCAATAGTTAAGCTGTTGGATGGAGGATACGGAGGAGTAGTGGCACACGGTGTAACCGGTGTTACAGAGGCGAAGATTCTGGCTTACATTTCAATTCCGAGGCCTACCCAGCAGGTACTTTATTTCAGCAGAGTAAGAACATAACAATATATATATAAAAATCTTCATTTAATTGCTTAAACTTCATCAGCACGGCGAAAGTGAATTCAACGTGGTGGGAAGGATCGGCGGAGATGCAGCCCTGTCGCCTAGAGGCAGCAAGTATGCAGTAGCGTTGGCGAAGCACATCCATGCTCTCAATTTACCGTCGCTTCAAGTCTGGACCTCTACTTTGCAACGAACAAAGGCGACAAGCGAATTCATCCAAGCGCCTCAGCAACATTTGCACGAGCTTGACGAGATCTACTCGGTAAGTTCGCAGCGAAATTAGTCTATTTATCAATTATATATCTATATATTGTTATAGGGAGATTGCGAGAGCTTGACTTACGAAGAGTTGCAAGAACATTATCCAAAAGAGCTGGCTCTTAGAGATTGCGAGAAATTAAAATACAGATATCCGCAAGGAGAGTCCTACATTGACGTCATGGCCAGATTAGTCCCTGTCCTGACTCAGCTCGAATCAGAGACAAACGTGCTGACTGTTTCTCATCAGGCAGTCCTACGTTGCGTTCTAGGATATTACCTTGAAACACCCTTCGAGGAAATACCCTACTTCCACGTTCCTCTGCACACAATTATTAAGCTCACTTTACACGGATTCTCGTATTCTCTGGAAACAATCAAGATGCCAATCGAGTGTGTCAATACAAACCGTCCAAAACCTTCAGATTGTTCTGTAGGACGATCAGCTGAAGATGTTCTTGTCACCATACCAACACATTTTGATTCAGTAACAAACTTGACTTCTTGCAACTAACTATATATTTTTATATTTCATCTCTCTAGAAACAAGAGTGGCTCCAAAAGAAAGTAGAATGTAACTGTGATTTTTATACAATTAGGAAATGTGTAAGAGCAATGTTCAATAATCAGATACTTAAAACGATCAATAAAATTATAAACATATCACATTTATTCTTATACATATGAAATACAAAAGAAACTGAGTAATTTTAGTCTTTTTTATTAAAAGTTAATCTTATGAAATACAAGTCAATATTCTTTTAACGAGCAGACGGAACGCTGACTTGCCATACCCTGATGGTATTATCGGAGTAACCGGCAAACAGGGTTTGTCCGTCAGTGGACCAGGCGAGAGACAAGCACTGTGGTGGCTCAGCCTTGCTGGTTTGGGAAATAACTTCTGGTCTGAGTTCTTCAACCATTTCCTTGCTTTCCAAGTCCCAGATTTTGATGGATGGGCCAAAGGCAGCACACAACCAGTACCTTGAAACAGAATACATTAAAAATACGGTCTTGTACAGTTGAACTGATTAGGTTTCTATATATAATTGAATCAGTCCCATATCCGCAAACCTCTCATAGTTATCAAGTGGTTTAAGTTTTTTTTCATCACAAAATTATAGCATGAATTATCAATAATAAATATTTGGAATATATACCTGTTTGGTGAGAAGCACAAGGCGGTAATGATGTCGTTGTGGTCCAAAGTGTGCAAGTGCTTGCCATCATTAAGATCCCAGAGCATAGCTTTGCAGTCCTTGCCGCCGCTGGCGCAAAGGGAACCGTCCGGAGAAACGGTAACGGTGTTCAGGTAACCGGTATGTCCAGTGTGGTTGATCTTTAGACGGCAGTTGGTCAAGTTCCAAACCTTAACCATGCGGTCCCAGCCAGCGGATACGATGATTGGGTTAGCGTGGTTTGGCGAGAAACGGACGCAGGATACCCAGTCAGAGTGACCATCATCTTGGATGGTGTATTTGCACTCAGCAAGGGTATTCCACAGCTTGATGGTCTTGTCGCGGGAACCAGACACGATTTGACGATTGTCAACGGAGAAGGCAACGCTCAACACATCCTATTAGAATTGTAAATAAATTAGTAACACTTCATTTCTTCAGAAACTCCCCACATTTGAAATATTCAAACATTAAAAACAAAAAACATTGAAAATTAATAAATTTGTTACTTGGGGAGTTTCAAGTGTGATTTTTCAAATAGCACATGTTCTAAAAAAAAACATTGTTCATCAATTGAGCGTGTTACTCACGATTCAAGTCAAACACACAAATGACTTTTGGATTGAAAAATTTCTTCTAGCTGTTTTAAGTAGGGAATAATTAATTGTAAAAGAAATTACTTTAATTCATCAAACCTTGGTGTGATCTTCGAAACGACGGGTGGTCTTGCCAGCGGCCAAATCCCACAAGCGAAGGGTCTTATCCCAAGATCCGGAAAGGGCGTAGTTTCCGTCGCTGGACAACACTACGTCGGAGATGAAGTGGGAATGGCCATACAAACGCTTTTGGGGAACACCATATTGGGTCTCATCGCGGGTCAATTTCCACACGATCAAAGTTTTGTCTAGTAAAAAAAAATAATAATCGGGATCAATTGAAATTCATTTTTAAAACACGTGTTTCTTGTAATTATTGCATCTCGTCAACGAATAACAGCGATGTCCACGGATTTAAAGATAATTGTTACAGCACCACAAGTCAGGCAGACATTTTTTTTTGAACTTCAAGTAAAAAATTAAATTTGAATACTCACCACGAGAAGCCGAAATAATATTGTCGGGATATTTGGGGTTGGTCGCGATTTGAGTGACCCAACCATTATGACCCAAAAGGGTTCCTCTAAGTTGAAGAGTTTCAGACATGGTTATGTACCAGATTGAAATGCGTGCAACTTCTGCAACGTACAAAAGTTGAAAGAGAACGGAAACAGACGATATTGCTCCAAGCACAGGAAGCTAGTAGTGGGGGCTGCAAGCAGTCAACCAACATAAGAACGCCAAAGTCCCTAGGCACGCTCAGCGCACAAATTCGAATTTCAAAAGTTGGCGTTTTTGTTTTCTTAACAATGTCACTTTTGAAATGTTAACAAAATTTTACTGCATCCAATATTGTGAAGGTATTTGCAGCGAACATGAAGAATGCCACGAAATCCACCGTGCCCCCTTCGCATCCAGACGGGAGCACCACCAAAGTTAGTGAACGGCAAGTTGACAAGACCAAGAATGACGATCAATCGCCGACTGCAATTGCGTAACTTGCTCTATGTTGTTTTCTCTATTGTTTAATTACAGTCATAAAAGCGTATTGCGAAACGTAAACAAGCCAAATGCCGAATATAAACAATCTAGTCGGGCAAGGTATATTTTCGTAGAACGGAAATGCTTCCGGTCTATTTATACGGTTTGGCGAAAAAGCAAATTCATCTAAAATTAGTGTTTCGTTTATGCTTTGCGCAACGTAGGCGGCCTTTGTGTACTTTAGGGCACAAGTTCAAAATACTCGCTCACTCGATCGCTTGATTAATAATTTCATTGATGTTCGATACGCGTCGGCGCATTGCAGAAGCTGCATTGCCACGTTTACACTCAATAAATGCAGTTAAAAATTGGTATTTAGGTTTTTCATCCAACGTGACGCTTCTATGTATTCTGCCTTAAATCACAAATAAATTCTAGTACGGTAACTCCACGACGCGATTACATTAATATTACTTTTAGATTAGATATGGACCTGATAAGATCTGGAAAATAGTTGTAGTTGTTATTAACGGTGGAATTGTTATAAACTTTCTGTAAATCGACAATGGAGGGGGGTTTGTTAGAAGTGGCAACACTGCGGGCGGCCGTACAGTCAACATCAAATGACATCACTGGGGCTCTCCTCCAGTGTCGGCCATTTTGCCGAATTTGTGTTTTGCGCTTGTATAAAAAAAGCTTTGATGGGCTTAGTTTGTGCTATTGAAATACTCTGAATCCGTTAAATAGATGCATCAATAAACGGATTGTTGAATAATTTAATCTATTTTTGCCCTGAAGATAGATAAAATGGATGAGAAGGCGGTGTGCAAGGAACTCGATCAGTGGATTGAACAACTTAACGATTGCAAGCAACTCACAGAAAGCCAAGTGAAAACGTTATGCGAGAAGGTAATGAAATTGATGAGTTGTTGAGCTGTCCGGAGCGGTGAAATAATTTAATTATTTAATGCAATCGTAATCGTTTGGTGGTAGTAGTAGTAGTAGGCGACGGTCGTCTTGTTTATCGAAAACGTCAATTTCATTTTTTTGCATTTTTTGTTACAGGCTAAAGAAATCTTGTCTAAGGAATCAAATGTACAAGAGGTGAAATGTCCTGTGACAGTTTGTGGCGACGTCCATGGACAGTTCCATGATCTTATGGAACTGTTCCGGATAGGTGGCCGCAGTCCAGACACTAATTACCTGTTTATGGGTGATTATGTTGATCGTGGTTACTACTCTGTAGAAACAGTCACACTGCTTGTTGCCCTGAAAGTCAGGTACAAGGAACGTATCACAATATTGAGAGGCAACCATGAATCTCGTCAAATTACCCAGGTTTATGGGTTTTATGATGAGTGCCTCAGGAAATATGGAAATGCAAATGTATGGAAATTCTTCACTGATCTTTTTGATTACCTGCCACTGACTGCCCTTGTTGATGGCCAAATATTCTGTTTACATGGTGGACTAAGTCCCAGCATTGATACATTAGACCACATCAGGGCTCTTGATCGTTTGCAAGAGGTAATAAGATTGTGTTTTATATGAAAATGATATACTTTCATATTTGTTTTTTTTAAACTTTGGTGCAGGTACCACATGAAGGTCCCATGTGTGATCTTCTTTGGTCAGATCCCGACGATCGCGGAGGATGGGGCATTTCACCGCGCGGAGCTGGTTACACCTTTGGCCAAGACATCTCCGAGACGTTCAACCACTCAAACGGACTCACCCTTGTGTCGAGAGCACATCAACTTGTGATGGAAGGTTATAACTGGTGCCACGATCGCAACGTCGTCACCATCTTCAGCGCACCCAATTATTGTTATCGTTGCGGCAATCAAGCTGCCATCATGGAATTAGATGATGCCCTAAAGTATTCATTGTAAGTATTAGCACTACTTTTGTTTATCATATATTTATTTACTTCTCTTTTGCTCTAATCAGTTTGCAGTTTGATCCCGCCCCAAGGCGCGGCGAGCCCCATGTCACTCGCAGGACTCCTGACTACTTCCTTTAAGGTCCCGCGGTCAGTTGTAATTTTCAACAAATATATTTAAAAAAATACAAAAAAAATAATACAAAAATAAAAATAATATGAAAAGATCCCGCGATATCACAACTGCTTAGTTATTATAATAATCAATTGTTTCTGTATAACGTATTTGAGGAGTAACAAAGGAAACGAAGGCGTGTAATATTTAAAAAGTTTTTTTAAAAAAAAAACAACAACAACCAAAACTTTTGGCGATTTCACTTATTATTTTTTTACCATGCAATGTTCAAAAATGGAAAACAAACTATTTTTTTTTCTTGTCCTATAATATATGTATATGTAAACCAATACGGATCGTGTTTTTATTTTAAATATTTTTATTCGATTTACGAAAAAAAAAAACTTTTTAGGTACCGACCAAAACGTCATCAGAAAGAGTTGTGCGTAAAATAATTAAGGACAAAAAATGAATGAACATAGATTATATTATATACGTATAACATGTATGTCACTAGATTACGGTGTTTTATTTCTCATGTACAAGTCCAAACATCATCTCTCTATCTTTCTCTCTTATACACACATACTGTTTAGGGTATATACTATTATGTTCAAAATTTTTAAAATATATGTTCAACAATAATATCGGATAGCCCTTCGAAAACCAGGCATTATTTATATTTATTTTATATAGGATATTTGGAAATATATATGAAAATTTGCTTGTATCAAATCACCACATGAAGATGGAATTGTAGATTTGACTACCTGTTTGCAAGCATTTCTGGCTCCGTTTTGTTGATTTTTTTTAATTTATATACATTTTTTTGCAAGCATTTCTTTTAGTTTCTATTAAATATTTCGTTTTTAGTGTACAAATTCATTTACTCAATAGTTAATTGTTTAAATACGTTTCTACATTTATTATATATTTGTTTTTGTATTTGCAGGGTTCGCTTTGTAAATTATATAAATAAGTATAAGTAAAAATGAGACGAGAAAAAAATTGTTGACCTGCAAATAATAATATAATATTAATGAATATGATAACTTAGGGGTTAGTCTCTTTATTGTCTAAAATTTTATGTTTCTAATTAATTTGAAATTAATAAATAAAGTGAGATATGCTAGAGATGTAACAAAATATGAAGAATCTGTTGCTTTTGGAATGGAGCTTGATTTGTTTAGTGTCAAAATGCAATTTGCAGGAACAAAAAAATCTACTCACGGAAAAGTGTATTGAACTGGGAGATTGAATTTGTGTTGTGTTAGTTTAGGCAGTTTCTCGTGTATCTTTATGTTTCCTATTGCATAAGTGGATGAAAAATTACTCCTCTACTTCAAGCTAAATACGTATGAACGTTGTATCTTTCTTACGCAACTATTATATTTTAGTTTCTCTTTATAATTTCCTTCTGCGTTATGTAAGGTGGTATTTTTTTATTACTGCAATGTTTACCTTAGTAACACTTGTTTAAAGTTGAATAAAGATGAGAAAAACGACTTTATCTAATGCATATTTATACGAAAACAAGTTTAACTGTTTCCACACATTTGCATACTGGAATCTCAGGAGATAAATCCGACGTTCTTATAAAATAAAAATTCCTGAATGCGTCTTAGTTGTTGACTTGTTCTTGTATGCAAACCATGTCCGAGAAGATAGAGGTAAGGTGTGTTTTTATTTAGAAAATATTTTTTAATACTTTTTGTTTGTAATTAGTATATGTCTGGCTTCGGGTCCGAGTTCTCTTCGGAGGATCCGAGATGTCCAGGATCGTTGCCGAAAGGCCAGAATAGCCCTCAGAAATGTCCGTACGGGCTCTACGCTGAGCAGCTCTCAGGGTCAGCTTTCACGGCTCCACGCGTAGAAAACAAACGTAGTTGGCTATATAGGATCCGTCCATCCGCGGGTCACGCGCCCTTTGAACCTTTCCAGAAAGGCAATATCACTCATAACTGGGATGAACAAGAGCCGGATCCAAATCAGGTATTCAAAAGTAATACCTTAACAATCATGTACAAAAACCAGCAAGTCTTTTCAGATGCGGTGGAATCCATTTGACCTTCCGGACAAAACAAAAAATGTTGACTTTGTAGAAGGTTTGAACACTGTTTGTGGCGCTGGTGATCCGAAGTGCAAGGCCGGTATTGCGATTCATATCTATTCCTGTAATTCGTCAATGGGCAATCGCGCTTTTTATAATGCGGATGGTGATTTCTTGATCGGTTCGTAAAGCGACTAAGAAAGTACCTGCTTAGACTGATCGTTCCACAGTTCCTCAGGTCGGCGAATTACGTATCAAGACGGAGTTTGGAAAAATGTGCGTACAACCGAACGAAATATGCGTGATTCAGCAGGGGATGAGGTTCTGCGTGGAGGTGAGCGAAGACAGCCGAGGATACGTGCTCGAGGTCTTCGGACAGCACTTCGTTCTACCGGATTTAGGGCCAATCGGAGCTAACGGCTTGGCCAATCCCCGAGACTTCTTAACCCCTCTCGCCTGCTACGAAGACCTAGATTCCACTCATGAAATAATTTCAAAATATCAGGGTAAACTATTCGTCTGCCAGCAGGACCACAGTCCGTTTGATGTCGTCGCCTGGCATGGAAATTATACACCTTACAAATATGATCTGGCGAATTTCAATGTGATCAACTCGGTCTCTTTTGATCATTGCGTATGTCACATAACTTGAAATAACTGAAAATATTCCATAATAATATAACAACTTGTAGGACCCATCCATTTTCACAGTGCTAACATGCCAATCAGAAAAGAAGGGTACGGCTATTGCAGACTTTGTCATTTTCCCGCCCCGATGGTCGGTGCAAGAACATACATTCAGACCTCCCTATTATCACAGAAATTGTATGTCAGAGTTCATGGGTCTGATACTTGGTCAGTATGAAGCAAAGAAAGGCGGATTCTTGCCGGGTGGAGCAACACTTCACTCTATGATGACTCCCCATGGTCCCGACTTCAAATGTTTCTCAGAGGCTAGCGAAGAACCACTAAAGCCTTGTCGTGTAGCGGAAGGAACCCAAGTATTATATAGAATTAAATAGAAGATAATGTATTAAAATATGTTATAATTTCAGGCTTTTATGTTTGAAAGTTGCTTGGGATTAGCAGTCACCAAGTGGGGATATGACACTTGCCAGAAATTGGATCCAGAATATTTCAAGTGCTGGCAAGGTTTGAAAAAGAACTTCACTGGATCAAAGTTCGCGTGAATCAGAGTATTGTGTTGTTATGGGTATAGGGTCTAATAAAACAGAGATTGTTACTACATGATTTTTTATTATACTTTTTTTTTACTTTAAATAAATTTCCATTATTGGTCATCATCTAAGTAATAGATAATTACAATTTAAAAAAAATAGTATGTAAATGATTAGACCCGCGTATAACAGAAAGAAGAACGAGTTAAAAGAAACACATTTGTACCTAATTATTAGCTGGGGTTTCAGCATCCGAAATAGCCATATCACCGTCATCATCATTATAAACATTTTCAGCCATTTGCCACACCTGCATAATATTATCTTCAGAGACAGAACAAATGACCCACGGTTCATTTGGATTCCAACTAAAATCTGTAAATTCAAAAAAGCATTATATACTCTGTGAATGAAAATTGTATTTTGTAAATTACCAGAAATCTTGGCGGTGTGACCACCATGTATGAAAAGTAACTCTGGAGGACCATCTTCGTTGTCATCGGGCGTTTGTTCTTCCCCGATTTTACTTAAATCCCAAACGTGCAACCTTCTATCGGTACCGGAAGAAGCTAGAATCGTTTCATTATGCGGAGACCACTGTACTTGGAAAATTTCGTCTTTGTGTGACTCGAAGCTATGCAGTTTCAGCTTCAAATTCCTCAAGTCCCACAAAGCAACAGTCTTGTCAGCACTGCCTGTAGCCAAAATAAATTCAGAATACGGGTTGAAGCTTAAGCAATTCACTTCGGCTGTATGAGCGTCGACCGTATGTGACGGTTTGCTGGTGTTGTTGCATCTGGTATCCCAGATCATTAATTTTTGGTCGTCAGCTACGGATCCGAATAAACTCTCATGCAGCAAATGCCAAGCTACGTCTTCTACGACGGCTGTGTGACCAGTGAATATAGTTTTTGCTTCAATCACTCTATTCTCTTTTGGCGTAGCGTTGATATCCCAAAGGCATATTGTGTGGTCATCACTAGCAGATAGCAAGTATCCATTAAGATTTGGATTCCAGGATAGACCGTAGCCCTCCTTCTGGTGGCCGCGAAGACGCAAATCTGGATGACATTCACCATTTGGATCTGGCTTGCTCGGATGCTTTGTATAATCAAATACTAGTACATCACTTGATGGGGTTTTGGTGGCAATCACACATGGATTTTGGGGCATGTACCTGGCCCTGTTAACTTCACCCTCATGATTGATTTTTATTTCAATCTCAATCTTACCAGAAACAGAACCAAAGCCTCCAAATTCACCCTTCTCATTATCATAATGGGAAGCATCAAATTGAGCATCTTCATTTGGCAACTGAACACTAGCAATAAGTAAATGGTTCTGCTCATCAGATGTGTGCGTTCCCAGAATTAACCTGTGTATTGAATGGTCCTTACCCTCTGGCTTAGTAACATCAGGCAACCATTGAGCAGTTAGCGAGGGCCACTCCAAAGCATGTGTCATAACCAAATCATATAAGAATGGTGTATTCTTCTTCCATATTTTATACTCCTCATTGATGACCCTTTCCTCCACTGCATCATCAAAGGTTTCTAAACAAAATTATATTGTTAATAAGTTGAAAAGTTGACTTAACAAATGACATTATCCAATCAAACTCAAACAAAAAAATGAATTAATGAGAATTGAAACTCAGTAAAATGAACAACTACTCAATAACCTAGAACGAATACGTTTAAATATACTAGATATTCTAAATAGCAAACGAATTTTCTTTGAGACTGACCTACGTCACCTTTATCGCCCATTCTATGATCGAAATTCGTTTTGAAATGTGAAAAAACTGTTGAATCCGACTTGGAAAAATAACGACGCCAGCCCGCCAAATATAATAACACCGGTCGCAATGCAACGTTGCCAATTATACTTGTTTGTCCTTCAAATGGAAATAGCCATTGGTGCGATAGTTTCCCGCCATACCGATACCAATTTGAAATCAACAAAATTTATGAGCTAATTTAATTTTTCAGTAAATTGATAATAATTTAGATTTTTTTTGTTTGATTTTGTGATTATCATTTTAAATTACGGTAATTTGATCATATACAAATTGGTAAATTTAAAAAATTGAATCACTCTCCCTAACGTTACTGTTTAAAATTTCTTTAAACAAAAAAATATATCACATTGATCAGATAATTAAGTGGTCCAAGTGATTCGAATAGATATTTGAGAGATACTTTGATTTTTTTAACTTGTTTTATTAATTATTTCTAAATGAGTCACATATTAAGTTAATCGGTAATTCAAAAATGTTCACTAAGTGCATGAATTTATAACCTATAAATAATAATAGTCGATTGTTTTTTTTTTCTATATATACTTATGTGCATATATATATATAAACTTATGTCACAGACTTCGCGATTTTTGGTTTAGTTACGGTTCATAATATAATTATAGTTATTTTTGTTGTTATGCAAAAATAAACTGTAACTAGAAAAATGTAAGTAAATTGTTAATATTTTATTGTTTAGTTAAAATGTTCCATAATTTTGCAGGCCTTTCTTCAGTGTGAAGTCATTGACTGTGGCTCTGGGTATTTCCCTCTGCAGTGTCACAGGATATTTGATTTATATTTTTCTAAAGGATGATGAAGATGATTATAACTCAGACATTATTTCCTCAAAGTATAAGATTACAGAGATTGTGATTCCCAAAGATAATGTGGGTATGATAATTGGCAGGAAAGGCAATAAAATTAAGGAGTTTGAGCAGCTATCAAATACTAAGATAAGTTTTAAGGATCATAGGGAAGATAAGAAAATGAACATATGTATTATTAAGGGGGTCGCTGATAGCTGTTTGTTAGCAGAGCAATTGATTATGCATTACATAGACAATCAACAAATTATTGAGTGTGAGACTATGTGGGTGCCCCATGGAGCTGTCGGAAAAATCATAGGCAGGTGTGGTGATAGAATTACAGAAATCACTAAAGTTACTGGGGCTCAAATCACTGTGGATTCAGAGAGAACAAATAATATCAGAAAAGTTACCTTGAAAGGCAGTGCAAATCAAATTAATCTAGCGAAGTCATACATAGAGGATATAATTGAAAAATACAATGAGAGTAAAGCATCCTTAGAAGCTTCATTGGCAAAGCGAGAACCCAGAATGCCATCTAAACACTCTCAAGATCTAAATAAAGCTGAAAGTCCCAAAGTTGAACGAATGTCGCCCATACCTGGTAATTATTGGGTAATATATCATCTTTCTTATACTTTTGAACTTTTGTTGTAGGTCAATCAGACAGTCCATTTGAAGTATACGTTTCAGCTATGATTGATCCATCGCGGTTCTGGGTACAGATTGTGGGTCCCAAAGCGACTGAATTGGACGTACTCGTCGAAAACATGACCGAATATTATAAGATACCTAACAATCGCGATGGACACATACGGGAGACCGTGTCCAAAGGCGATTTGGTTGCGGCTACCTTCCAATACGATAATAAATGGTATGTTTTTTATTATGTATTCGAAAATATGTTTACACTTTGAAGTTCTATATTTATATGTTTTTTTACTATAAATAACTAGACATAAAGTATATATTGTTCTTTAGGTATCGGGCTGAAGTGTTGAATGTTACTGAAGATGAGAAAGAAAATTCAGCGTTGTTGTATTATGTGGACTACGGTGATACGGATACCGTGGCCTGTAAAGATCTGTTCGAACTGCGTACCGACTTCCTAAGATTGCATTTCCAAGCTATTGAGTGTTTCTTAGCAAAAGTAGAGCCTGTCGGAGAGGAATGGTCAAGCGGAGCCATCGACAAGTTTGAGGAATGGACACACGCGGCGCAATGGCGGAAGTTATCGGCGAAGATAAATGGATATTGCGTGCGAGAAAAGACGAGGGCCAAGAGAGAGGGTTCCCCAGTACCCGGTGTCGACCTCTTCGATGTCAACAATGATCAGGACGTGGACATCGCCGAAGAGCTTGTGCGGAACGGACACGCTGCTTACAAGAAGGAAAGTGAGAAGCCCAGCAGGTCCACGAGTGTTAGTAACGTTAGTGTAGAATCAAGCCCATAAACTTGTACCTGGACGATAACATAGCCATCTTCCATACACCGAGCATTTGATACGTGTGTGGCCTAGTAATAAGATCTGATTTTTTTGTTTGTTATGTTTCATGCCAATTAGCGCCAAGATTTTTATTTTTTTATACAATTTTTCTTCATTTCTAAAATATTTTATTATTGTTGTATAACTTATATACTTATAAAGTGCCTATATTGCTAAGTTTTAAAAATATTGTTTTCGCTTAAGACAAATGAATTCACTTATTGTAAATAATATTTATTAGTGCCATTAAATATGTAGTATACAATGGACTATCTGTACAAGAAATTGAGAGATTCGCCAGGTCTGAAGGTTCTTATCTCACGCTCCAGAGCTTTGTAGTGGTAAATATTTTCAGAGCCGCCTCCATCTTTTGTAATAGTGAGAACTCCGGTAACATCGCTACTGTGGCCCGTCTTCAAAGGAGCCACATCTATGTGAATGTCTGCAATTAATTCGAGAGCTGAACTGATTCTATGATCATTTTCGTCGCCTATGTGCATGTTGATTAACACGTTGAAATTCTTCTGGTGTGTGAATTTGTTTATAGAACTAACAAAATTCACTACTTTTCCAAAGCCAATGCCAATATCAAACAAGTGGCTCAGATCATCTATAATCATATGCACATGACCCCCATCCTCAACCTTAAATGTTTGCATCTGAGACTTAATAGCAGTTTCCAAAGCTATGATCATCTGGTCCAACACTTTATTTGTGTACAATCCATAGCTTTGCTTCATGAGCTCATCAAATATAGCTGTCATGGGCTCTATAATGGCTATGGAGCCATCCTTCACCTTGCCCAGGAGGTCATAACCCAACCTCTTACCAACATTGTGATAATGTCCAACGGTGTTGTGCATCATTACAAAGCAAATTTTATTCTTTTTATTGTTTAGCACCTGCTTCATAAGATGGGATAACACAAAGTTACTGTCAGCCAGATTATGCTCCTCGATGAGCACAAACTTATCGATCTCAGAAACATCCAAGCAGGCCAGGAGCCTGTCTGCACCAATCTCAGTCATTTTAAATCTGAAATTAGCAAAGTGAAAAGAGAGCAGAGTATGGAGGCCGTGGCCCCTAATTTCACATCAATTACCACTCTATTTAAACCTTGAGAAAAAATCGAAAGGGGCTAGAAGAAGGCTTCTGAGCGCAGCTGCCGCCAGTCAAGTCAAGCGCAAACTCGAACTTATCGCAACCACGAAAACGTCCCACCAATGCAGTATACCATATAATTTGGACGCCTGTTCAATTCAGTAAGTAGTTCTGCATGCAACTCATCGAATTAACAATCAAACTAAACAAAAACTGCATGGAAACTAGAAATACAACCACGAACATGATCCGCAGGCAATACTGTCCCACACCTAACCTGAAAATTTCTGTCTGCGTATAGATGGCGCAACATAGTTTTGAATTTTAAATAGAATGACAGAAATTGTGCATTCATTAAAATTAATTTCAAAAGAAAAGCAGTTGCCCGAGAGAAAGGTTTTCAACATTCAAAACAAAGTAAAATTATTAAGTGTTTTTTAAAAAAATGCTATATTCTCATGAAATTTGGTTTTATATTGGAATAATTAACTTTTAATGCTTTCATAGGTTCTTGTCATATGCAATAGATGGCTCATTCAAATTCAAATCTGAAGAAGCTTGAATTAATGGTTACCTAATTTATAAGCAGGAATCATCGTATAGTCAAAAACATAACATGCATACGACTATAGCTATTATGCCTTGTCAGCAAGGAACGTGCGCTGAATGACCGAAGAAAAATTGAAATATTTATAAAATTCCTCTTGCATAACCGCGTCCTTGAACTTATTTGCTCTCTGAATGCGCGGTGTCAGTGCTTACATTCGTTGTTTTTCCTTTTTTTATTCTTTCTATTCGTCGGTCATATTCCATTAACTATACATTAATTATACTGCTACATGTATAGTACAGATTCTGTTCGATTCCGATTTGGGCAGAGGTGCTGTGAGCGTGGAACGCGGAAGACCCACGGCGGGAAAATATTTGCTTGCTCAATTTGAGTACCGCTTAATTGGCGCGCGAAAAATCGCAATTGCACTTGCAATTTTCGCGCACGACTTGCAACGCATAGCAACGATTTTGCAAATCGTAAAAAAACACAAATAACAAGTGAGTTTTATTTTATTATTCTAAGCAAATGTTATAAGATTTTTAAATAACAGAAAGTTTCAAGTCTAAAATGTTTGTTTTTAATTTCGTGTTAGTGATTCAACTTATCAAATTATTTTTAGTTTTAAGTGAACCTGAGACTTATATGAAGAAATTCAGTCTTCGGTCATTAATATTAATTAGTTTTTCTTGGTTTTTATTCTCAATATGTAGATCGCCTGGTGTAATTTTTGCTTTAAACGGTTTATCAAACAGGAATTCCTTTGATTTTCATTAAAAAAATCTTTTTGTTTAGTTTTCTGTGGGAAATTGTAGGCTCAGTTTTTCTAGCAAGGTCAACAGTTTTCAATCCTTATCAAATGACACTCTGCTGTCTATTTTTAGGCGTCACGGAAATAATCTGTTGGAAATCTTAATTATCCATTTTATCCGAGCACTTGAATCTCCTTGAGGCGAAAATTCGCCAGTACGTATAAATAATATTGAGCAGTTCTCGTTAAAATAAATACTTTAGTTATTAGAAAACTATTTTTAAATTGGGCATCATCTTAATGTTTGGAACGTCATAGCCGCTTGGAGTTTCTCTCTTGTTTTCATTTTAAATTCTTCATTTTAAAACCGGAATAATTTAAGTCAGGTTTAAGTCCGGCTGTCGTTCGCCGATGACATTTTTTCATATAGATTTTAACATTGAACAGACAATCACTATTATCTGAGAAACAGACCTTTTTTATATAGCGTTATGTTTGCAACTCCAATTCGAGGCCACCGGAATTAATTAGAAGCAATTGAATTTCGTAAATTGTATAAGATGTTATTTTCATTTCATAAATTATCTATTGAGAAACTGAGATTACTTTCATTTTGCTTGAATAAAACATTTTCAAGAATCTTATTATTGATAATATTAATTTAATTGACGCCATTATTATTATTTTTTCTTATAAAACTCCTTATCATCGACATAAACAAATAAAAATATAAATAAAATTAAAGAAAAAATAAATAGCTATTGGAAACGGCTATCGACCATAGGTCTCTCCATCCATGAAATATAATATTTTTGTTGAAACTATAATATAATTTTTATTTGCATTCGTAAAATTAGAACTTATTTTTTTAAAACTCAAGTATCTGTTATCGTCACATAATTTTGAGATTGTAAAAATATCAAGACCTTCTTTACTTGTATGGCAAAGAAAAAAAAAGAAGTTATCTTATATATTATTAATAAATCTAAATTAACCCATCTAGAGCCATCTCGATCTTCCTCCAACCTACTTTTATAAATATTTTATCTTATTCAGTTTATTTAATTAACATAAATTAATTATATTGTATTTTCATCAACCACGAAGGCATTTTGCGTTGAATTCATAAAGACAACGCGGGAAGGCCCGGATATATACGCCCAAATCAAAATTTGGACATTAAATTTTAAAATGTTTGCTGTTGTCATTTACAGCAATTCTCTCGCTAAGGCTCACGACACTCTTAATATGGTTAATCAAGAACTGACTCTCCAATCCTTTCATCATTTTTTAACTGGTGCTTCATATTTGCCCGTGGTTACCAAATTTACTTTTCAACATTCAAATCTGTCCAAGCCTCCTGAAACCATGCCCCAATTAAAAATATTCCGAGCAGGATTTCTCACGAATTTAAGGGGCCCCAATAATATGTTGCATGGGGGAGGTCGTGACAGTTTAAGTGATAGAAACAATTAATAATAACAAATACGCTTTCTTAAATATTTAGATTAAGTTATGAGAATTAAAATCTGCACACAGTTATCAAATTGTATCGAAATCACTAATATTTGTTCGAATTTTATTACCACTGTAGAAGAAAAGGCTCTTTATGATTTGATACTCATTGATTTAACTATGGAAATTAGAAGCCAGTGTGACAGTGGCTACGATGTTTATCTTTTTATACAGCGATTTCATTTTTAATATTTTTTTGAAATTTTCGTTGTTAGCGGAAATGTAATTTGGTTTTTCTATATTTCTATGCTTATTAGCAAATGTAATCTCTCTTTTATTGTCAGTTGTGTTCCTTCAACGACAGCTATACCATCTTCAGACAAAAGTTTTTTTGTAATGGCAGAATAATTCAACTGAAATAAATTATAATCATATTATAGGTATATAATCTTAATTCTAGAGCAATGTCTATCAAACTGTGTGCTGCGACACATAAGTGTATATATTTGAGCGTAGGATTTTGTTGGATCAGAAAATTTAGTACATTTAATTTTGTTGGGCATTAGTTTCACTCGAATTATGAGACCCAATAGAAAAACCATACCGTGCGGTCTGTTATCAGTTTTTCATTTTCGCGGCCCTCCTGTGGTTCAAAGTGCTATTATCTATTAACTGAGAACTTTCCGCCCATTTCCGAAATTTCAATAGTTTGAAAACATATTGGCCGATAAAATCTGTTAACAATCCAAAGTACTTGCATATCAAATCGAGAACATGAGACGAATAAATGCATTGTCTTGATCTATGGTCAGTAGCCTTTTGCATCAAATCAATTTGTATCAATTTTTCTTATTATGTTATTTTGTAGAATTTGTATTGTGGTAATTTGTATAATAAAATATAATATGTTAAAATAATTCGTATCAGGAAACGATTTCGTGATATTGATTTAGTCAGTCTCATTTGGAATTTACACATTATGATCAAGTTAAAACTGATAAGATGCTGTAAATATTATCAGCGACCGCTGATTATGTAACGAAAATTGCAAAGTCACCGATAAGAAAAGTCACCAGGATACTTATTAATCTTCTTTTCAAAAATCTATGATCGATACCCGCGTTTCGCAGAACACCAGTGTAATCCGTCAGAGTAGAGCGATCGCGTTTTTCAACTCTATTAATAGATCTGCATTGGTAATTATCGGACAAAAGTGTTAATTGATCTGTTTTGCAACTATCTGCATATCGTGCTTTGTTTTAAAAATTGATCTCTCTTTTGTATTAGAAATGCACGAACAACAGAAACAGAAATTGTCGAGGTGGTATTTTGGCGGTTTGGCGTCCGCGGGGGCGGCCTGCTTCACGCATCCCATCGATCTGGTCAAGGTACATCTGCAGACCCAGCAAACTGGAAAGCTTAACGTGATTACATCAACAGCGAACATCGTCAAGACTCAAGGTGCGTTTCCTAAATATTCTATGCCTGTTCCGTTTCGTTGTTAATTTTTGATATTGCAATTGCAGGGTTGTTGGCCCTGTACAGCGGGCTGTCGGCTTCGTTGCTAAGGCAACTGACCTACTCCATGACTAGGTTTGGTATTTACGAGGTCGTCAAGCAGAACATCGGTGAATCCAGCTTCGTTGCTAAGGTGGGGATAGCAGGGGTGGCGGGAGCAGCTGGGGGTCTGTGCGGTACCCCCGCGGACATGATTAATGTTCGCATGCAGAACGACGTTAAATTACCGATGGACCAGCGCAGGAAGTAATTTAAACCGCGCTGCGAAATTCCGGAATCTTAACGTATGCAATTATCTTTTCTTCAGTTACAAGAACGCTGTGGACGGTCTCTTCAGGGTGTACAAGGAAGAAGGTGTTGCCAAGCTGTTCGGCGGAGCGAGTGCAGCTACAACTAGGGCCGTCTTCATGACAATCGGCCAGTTATCCTTCTACGACTTGGTCAAGTCGTATCTTCTAGAAACGGATTATTTCACGGACAACCTGACCACCCATTTCTTATCTAGTTTGACTGCTGTAATATTTACTCTAACTTAAGTTTTTATTTCAAGAGAAATAAACCTTTTTCAATTTAATTTACAGGGAGCAATTGCCACAACCATGACTCAACCTATTGACGTAGTAAAAACGCGAATGATGAATTCCAAGCCTGGTGAATTTAAAGGAAACTTGGATGTGATCAAGCATACTGCTGTGCATGGCCCGGCAGGCTTCTTCAAGGGATATGTTCCAGCTTTCCTGCGTCTCGGTCCACATACGATCCTCACCTTCGTGTTTCTGGAGCAATTACGACTTAACTTTGGTATATTGAAGCCTTAAAGGCAAGATAAAATTAGGAGGAAACAATTCAGTTCTAAAACGTATACAGGGTGTCAAAGATTTAACTTATTTTTCTATCATTCCATTACTATATGATGTTCCTGTACTATTCCAATTGACTCGTTCAAAGCACAATCAGGGAAATGCAAGCCTGCACATTCACATTTTAAGTACAATGAATAGGAAACACTATTTTTTTTAATACATATATATTTTATATATATAATATTTACAAGGAACAATTTATTTTATTTTTTTACTAACTTGGGTTGTTACATTTAAAAAAAATATTTATTTTATATTTTTCGTTATAAATAAATTATCTTTATTGTTTCTATTCGGTCTTTAGTTTATTTAGACTGTTTACTTCATTATGCTTTTTATTTATTTGTTACTGCACAACGCCAATATATAATATATACAGTTGAACCTCACTTAACGGGCATAAACCGTTCCAAAATTTTTACTCGTATAGTGAAACAATTTTCCCCATATAAATTATTGTAATATACGATAATGGTTTCCATTTTGGAGTCATTTATCTTAGAATTTACTTTGCTCGTTATACGAGGTGCTTGTTAAGCAAGGTTCCACTGTATATATAAAAGCTACTTTAATATATATGGAGCTGGTTCCAATTTAGTTAAATTTTGTTAATAGTTTCATAATAATATTACATTTCTAAAAAAAAAGTATGATAATAAACTCGGATCCATAATTAGCAATGCACTAAATATTTGGTCATTTAAAAGATGTATGAATATTTAATTTCTTTGGTGTCAATTCAACAAAAAGAAAACAATTGAGACCCTGCAGTTGTGAGGTGTTGCTACGACTCATCAATCGGGCCCCGCGAATTACTAATTATGGGATATTTTTTTCTTTTGAAGTTACCCACTCATGCCTTACCACTTCATATTTATGGCCGAGGCCTCAAAATCTAAAATGCGGCACTGCCCTTCCTCCCCTCCCTTAAAAATATTCAATCATTTGGCGTCTCCCCCCTCCATTTCATAAAATAATAAAAACACAAAAATAATACTCCTAAAAAATTGTATTAATATAAACTAATGGAAAACAAAATAGAAACAATAATTTTATTGTTTTTAATGAGATGGATGTGTTTGTCTATTAACACAAAGTTTATCAAATATTGGTGTTAGTGACGAGATAGCCAGTCGTAGCTCTTTTTCTACAACTAAACGAGCTCGATATTTTGATTTCTTTGCAGCTAAGGCAGAAAATCCAGTTTCATAAATATGATGTTGCGAACGGCAGCAGTACTCTCAAAGCTTTGTTTGAGAAAGTATTATATTCTCTATGAAGATTCAACCTAAATTGAACCAGAGATACAGTCTGAAATTTATGATTTAATGTAGTATCACAAGATAATTCAATTAATTTTTCTTTTTCAATAATTGTCAATCCAAATTCATCATCTTCGTCGATAAATGGATTCTGTATCCACGCATAGATTTTTGTTTGCTTCTTTGCAATCTTGCTTTTGTTATCTTGGGCGCATAAATTAAAAAGTGGAAACATGTCAATCTTATTTTTTTTGCAAATTTGATTTTCAAAGCTCCAATTTTTTTAGAAATGCGTTCACTTTGTTTAGAAACAAATATATAACTCTTTCTGATAATTAAATTTAAGTAGTCGTTAAAAATATTTTTTTATTTATTCTTCCATTTTTTACAGATAAAACTTTAGCAGTCCGTTAGAAAATTGCTCAGTGTGACTAATTTTCGCACCTGCCCTATTAGTCCGCGCCTCTCTAGGGAGGCGCGCTTCACAGTTTGGAATACGCTGACTTACACCATCAACTACAGAGTGGTGGTGAAGTTAAAATTTCATCTATTTTCATTGCTTTTGTATGCGACAAATTACTAATTCTTACAAAAAATGAAATCATCATTGACAAATCTGATAAAAGGTAATGAGTTCGTAAACCAAGTCAAATAAAAAAAAATGTACAAGTATATAACCACAAAGCCGGAAGCTTATAGATTATATATCTAATACCTCCTTTTTGTTGTTCATGATTTAATCGTTGTTTGATTATAAATATGATTATTGCACTTTATTGTTTACTTCTTATCATTATGTATATTACATTTATTAACATGTAAATATGTAACTATAATAAATAGGATGCATTCATACTCCATTAATTTAGAAATCTTCAAAGTGGCCAATAAAACGCTTCTTGAATTCTTCTCGCATTTCGATCCGCTCGTCGATCTCTTTCTGAAGCTCCTTAACAATTTGGCCGAAACTCAGCACAGTGAGCCAATGATATAACAGAATAACTATGAAAAAGAATGTATATTAGATCGCCCAAAATCCAACTTACGTAACACGATTGCTCCCAGATTACTGTAAAGAATCAGCGAGCCCAAACCGTTGTTATTGTGTTTCAAGTCCAGCATCAGAAAAACATGAATTAGTAGCATAAATAATATGTAGATAAAAAATAAAGTTAGGAACGGATAAACCAATAGATGATTGCACTGGAAAAAAATTGAAGTCATTTGCGCAAGTAGTTTATATAATAATTAATAGGATTTGTAAATAATAGTATTTTTTAACATACCTTCAATGCTCCCAAAATTGTAAGTAGGCAGGAAATTATCAACAATGTGAAGAAAATAGCAAATATTATCAGACCCACTTTCGGATCTGAAAGTTTAAAATTTGAAGGAAAAATATCAATTATAAAATATATTGTTTACCGTTAATAAATTTGTTTATGGGCCCCTCTGTTACTAAAATGGTTTTTCTAAGAAAATCCACTAGATCTTCTTTATTATCCAAACTGATTATAGTTATCATTAACCAAATGGAAGCTTGCACCTGCAAATGAAAGTTGTATTGCATTTTTTTTTTAAATAAAAGACTGCAAAAAAAAAATTATAACTAAATATTTTAAACAATATTATAATTTAAAGAAAAATTGTTTGCCAAATTTTCTCTTTTTTTTCGATTATATAAGTATAATATTAAATATATGCATATTTTGAAGGAAGCATTGGGGTGCTTTCCATTTTTCATCTTTCCGTTAGGGGGGCATAAAATCAATACTGTACGAGAGTGCGCGAGCCCCCCTCCATTGGGCGTAACTAACGCCACTTTCCTCGGGGGGCAAAATGCTCGAAAATCAATTCCCGAAAAAAATACTTCGCTGCTTGTGAATCGCTCATCGAAAATTGCGATAAAATCGAAACATCTCCGGCGCGATAAATGCTAGCCACCAGCATAACACATCTCTGATTTGTGATAGGCGAAGTGTTGTTTTTCATATCTTTTTCTTTATTTTTAAAATTGTGAAAGGTTATAAAGGTAAATATTTCTTGAAATAGTGACAATAATGCATTTAAAGTTTTGTGTTTTTGGTAGATGACTTCCAAACTATTGCAGTGGAGTGATCGAATGCCTTCACTAAATAACCTATTTTTGGATCTATTTGAGACAAACACCCTAAATGATGTTACACTTTCCTGCCAGGATGGCTTTCTCAGAGCACATAAGATCATCCTCTCAGCATGCAGTCCATACTTCAAAAGCATCTTTGAGGAGAACCCATGCAAGCATCCCACAATTGTACTCCGGCGGATCCAAATGGAGGATATGTCCAAGATACTTGAATACATCTATCTGGGTTCCATCTCAGTGCACCCCACAAAGTTGGATAACATCATTAAAATTGGATCTGATTTAGGAATCGAAGGATTTCAAAACTACTTTACCAAAGACATTAAAGTGAGTGATTGATAAATTATAAAAATAACTTTAAAAATTATTTTTAGGTCACAGTAAATAGCATAGCAGAGACGCAAACAAACAAAAATGAGACTCTTTCAGGTAAATTAGGGAATAAATATAATAAGACTTTTAACTGTTATGATTTCAGGCATTTCTGTGCTTCCTAAATTAGAACCCAAGCAGGAAGATCTTCTGGAGGTAGTTAATAGATATGATTTAAGTTGATAATATATGAATAATTTTAGATTGGTGAAACTATAATAATAAAGAATGAAGAGATCCCAAAGTCAGAAGCATCTGGCCATGTTAAGAGGAACCTGTCTGCACATAAATCATTCACCTGTGATTTCTGTAATAAAGAGTAAGATTCTTATTTATCTTAATATCCTTCTTTAAAATGTCTAGTGAATTGTAGATTCACAAGAGCTTCCCATCTAATTAGACATAGGAGAGTACATACTGGAGAAAGACCTTTTGTCTGTGAAACTTGTGGTAAAGACTTTGCAAGACAGGACAAATTGAAGTTGCACATCAGGTCCAGTCACGATAATGAATTGACTTTCCGACCGGTAAATACTCTTCTACATTTTTTGTTGTTTTTGACTAACCCTGCGTTTAGTTTCAAGAAGAAATGTGCAGTGAAGACGATTCGGAGAGTGAACCTGTAGAGCACGTAACGTTGGAAAATTTGTGCTCTTCTGGCGAAGAAAACAAGAAAGAAAAGAGGAGACGTGGTCGACCACGAAAACATCCCTTAGAACAGCTCCCGTACAAGGTTAAACGCCCCAGGGGTCGACCATGCAAGAAGAAGATGGACGGTTAGTTATTTTTTTGTTAAAGATATGCTCCTCTATGTAAACAGCGTGTTTGCAGAGACGAACGAAACAAATAACTTCGACATCACAACGTTGCCTTACGGAGACTTAGGTTATTTGACGAGCCCGCAACTCGAGGAAGAGGTTGAGAACATGAAGTTCGAGCCATTGGTAGAGATCAAAACGGAAGTTGTCGACATCGAGTATCAAAGCGAACAAGATTCATTGGCTAATCATCTTGGCAAAATCGGCGAATGCACGATAAGTATGGGCTGAAGCTGAAGACTCATTAAAATTTAATTGGTTTTTTTTTTGATATAATCAAACCATAATATCGATTTTGTCATGATACAAGTGTTTCATACTTTGTATCATGCTTTTGTTATGGATCATCATTTAATTTCCAAGAATTTAAGGACAACAGGGAGCATCTTGCAATAAAAAAATACATTTAAAAAATGTAAAATGCATCTTGTATTTATTTTTCACAAGCACATATAACAGGTTATATATGTTAAATGCATATTGTCTTTTGGTCCAAATATTATATTTTTGTACCATGGGTAATGTTGTTTCCTTGATGGAACAGAGAAATATTTATAATTTTATATAAATTCAACAATGAAGTTAGAATGGTTATATTATATAACTTGAAGAGAAAAGAAACTTGTATATATAAGAAAATGTATTTTTTGAAATCTAAAGAAATCTGCAACCAAAAAGAAAGTACAAACATAGAAGCACAACTTATTTTTAATTTTTCAAAGTATGATTATTATTGTTTTGTGTCTACTAAATATGTATATACTATTTATTGCTGTAATATAAGCAAGTGAAATGGACCTAATGATAACATAATTGGCGTTTGAATTCAAATAAACTTTGTTTTGTATATTTTTTGTTGTTATTACCCTCAATTAAATGTTTGGTCTAAAAGACAGGACCAACTTAGAAGATAATAGAAATATTTTTTTTTCCGAGGTCCACAAAACCTCTAGTATGTTCTGAAGGTTTCAAGCGTATATAAAGTTTTGATTTTGAATGCATTTGTGTATTAGAATTAAATTTTAATAGTTATTACCAGTGATATAATTGCTACGATGATGGAACCCAAACGGACAGAAAACCAAAAGAAGAATCGCGTCAAGAGTGCCATGGTTGACTGAACCTGAATTTTCGGACGACGTTTTTTAATAGAAATTTTCTGTCTCGTCTTCATGAAGAATTCATCATATTTCGCACGTCACTGAATAGGGGATGTGTTCCGACGGAAATAGATACCTAAGACGTTAACCCTATAGGGGATTGCACAAAATTGAAATACAAACAGCGATTGAATAAAATAAGTATTAATCATAATGAGATAGCTATCGGGGATAATGTAGGAGGATTTCATTTGTACTCGGAACGATAATGGAATTATTATCGATTATAGTATTAGCTTCATGAATGGTATTAAATTTTATTTGTTATAATTAAATATAATTGAAATTTATAAATAATAAATTCATAATGATAATTAATTTAAAGTAGTTACATATTATATTTCAAGTGTAACCTTTTTTTTGGAATTTCATGAGGCAAATACAGCAACCATATAATGTTCAAAATATCTTCATGTTGCTTGGAATCACTGAAGATTTTGAATCCTCTGTATACTAGTTGCATCAACTTAACTCAAACACATCAAACTGAGGATAAATCTTTGCAAGTTCGATTGATTTGAGTATTGAACTTAGTGACTTAAATTGTTTCAGAAAAATTAAATCTTAAAATATGAATCAATGTGGTCAACTTTATTATGTTTTGTCTTAATTTGTGATGTTTGTTTATTGTCACAAACAATATGAATCAGCTTCAATATCTTTATAAAAGCTGACTTGTTTAACTTGTATGTATTGATTTTTAACCAGTCCTCATTTAATCAATGATGTAAAATGTTGATCAATATATGTCAATAAATTGCAAAGATGATTTGCAAAAAGTTTCATAAACTTTGAGCAAAAAAATGTTAGGGACTATAATATTATAACAATAATGTATTTTTCGCTATTCTGTTTTAGTACTATTCTATTTTATTACTGTTTTATTTTGTCCTGTTCTCTTGTTCGGCGTTTTGTTTTAACCTGTCCTGATATGTCACGTTCTGTTTGGTCATGCCACCATATCAATATTTAGAATTCTGTTATTGTAATGTCTTTCTCATGTGTATTTCGAATTCATGATAAGTGAATATGATACATATATTTGTATCATGGTTCGAATTAATTTATAAGAATCATTATTTCTTAAAATAATACTTTCGTCTTTAGAAATTTATCATATAGACTTCGAAATAACAAGAAATTTATAAGGAATTACTTTAAATTATTGTTATGCGCCGGGATTAAAAATCTCTCACAGTGGATTATCTCGTACTTATGTCATTGTGGGGGTTTATGAATATTAAATATTCTTAAGTAGTACATATCAGTGTAAATAATTAGGAAGTATGTTCTATGTTCTTCCCTCGACCCAACAACTAAGATTATCTATCGGCCACACAATTTTAGACAATACTTTAAATGAGGTCATCATAATATTCTAACATCATACGTCTATAAATAAGATAGATTACATAATGGATTACATTCGACTACTCTTATTATTACTTATATGCGTGTCGTACTGAGGCGTTGTCAGTGTATGCAACCAATTAAGCAATGTGAAGATTATTTGTTGGTGTTCGATGGTTTCAAGATTTTAGCTACAATTAGAATACAAATGAGACTGTTTATAATGATAAAGGTTAAACAAATTTGGTTAAAAAATGTAGTGATAACCGGGTGAAATGATAATATTTAATGTGATTATTGAATGTTAATGACTTAAACAGCTAAGCGATCTCAAAACCGTCTATTACAAATAATTCGAATACCAAAAATTCTGCTATTTAATTTATGAAGGTCACTACAATTGTATATAATTTCTTATAAAATAAACATTCGTATAAACATCAGAAACAATGTAATTCCCAAATAAATTTATTAATTCTAATACTCTAAACTGTACAGTCTATGCCAGGAGTTGCATTTCGATTCAGTCGGGATTATGGACGGGCTTGCGATATAGACCCATAATATTTGTGGTGGCTCTCCTGGTCCCCAGGTTTGAATGTTGTGTCTGGTTGTGTCGCTAATAAACATAGAATACAATTTTATTGAACGTGCAGCGACATCTGTCGGATCAACGCGGAGGAAAGCCACGTCATATAGATAAGAGTTGTGTTGTGTGCAGTGTTGGGTGTTGTGGCTCTACAGATATTCCAAGTTTTCTTGAACTAAGTACGAAAATGAACATTTTTAGAATAATCGGAGACTTGTCTCATTTGCTGGCCATAATAATTCTACTGAGGAAAATCTGGAAGACGCGATCATGTGCAGGTAAAGTGATTTTGCGGTGACCGATCTCATCGATTTATTTACACGCCACCGGCGCAACGGATAGAGTACAACGAACGCTCGTATTAGTCCTCTTATCATACATTCCGTATTCCCATTTAGTATGTTCATAACGAGATGTTGGAATAATGGAATTTTGTTTAATTTAATTCAACGTCAATTAACCTAACCTTCCACGTCAGTGCATTGTCAAGCAAAAAAATATAAAATAAAACAATTGCCCTGCATACTAACTATTCAGTTGTCTGCAATAATTATTTTCTTTGTTTTCAGGTATCTCAGGAAAATCACAGATTCTTTTTGCTCTGGTCTACACAACAAGGTACTTGGATTTGGTGACAACCTATGTATCGCTGTACAACACTGTGATGAAGATCATCTTCATTGCTGTCTCCATCGCCACATGCTACTTGATCTACATGAAATTCAAAGCTACCTATGATCATAATCATGATACCTTCCGCATTGAATTTCTATTGGCTCCAGCAGTAATTCTAGCTCTGCTCATTAACCATGATTTCACCTTCTTAGAGGTAAGTGATTAAAATTCGCCAATCAATATATTTATTAATTTGTTATTTTTCTTTTTGAACAGATTTTGTGGACATTCAGTATTTATTTGGAATCAGTTGCCATTCTTCCTCAACTGTTTATGGTCAGCAAAACTGGAGAAGCTGAAAGTATTACTTCTCATTACTTGTTTGCACTTGGATCATACCGTGCTTTGTACATCCTGAACTGGATCTACCGTTATCATAATGAGGAAATCTATGATCTGATTGCCATTGTGGCTGGTATAGTTCAGACTGCATTGTACTGCGATTTCTTCTATCTGTACATTACAAAAGGTAGAAGATCTTTAACAAATAATTCATTCTTTATTTATTAATTCTTAATATGTATTTCTGTTTTCTTATTACAGTGTTAAGAGGGAAAAAGTTGCAGTTGCCAGCCTAAGTGTAGTGTGGTTTGTCGTGTTCTCGTGGCGAAATGAATGATTCAAGAAAAATAATAATATTTGTACAAACTGTTTTTAATTAATACTATTCTCTTCCCTGTTCATTCTATCGACTTTATTATTTCTATTTGGAAGTAATTCGTACGCTATTTATTTTAATTCAGATTTTGGTTGCTCGAGTACTTAAAATCTGTTGTTCTTCATTCACGTTTCAGAAGGATTTTCAGTATATTTATATATATATACACATATGTATATATATACATAAACATTAGTTCATAGGTATTTTGATAAGAGGCGTACAATGGGCAACAAAAATAAAACTATTTTTAGTGTTTGATTTTGTACCAATTAATCCAATTGCAACTTGAGTAATTGTATTATATTACTTTAAATATACAAACTATAAAGGAAGTATTAGAAATTGTATTAAATTTTCATCTTGTAATTGTAGTTTTTAGAACTTTAAAGTCTAATAATATAAAACATCATTTTGTTTATAATATAAATGTTTGATAACACATTTATTCTATCTTTTAATATCGTAGTCGACTTTGTATTGATAACCCCAATATAAGTAATTGTATTATATATTGAAAATACAGATATATATTAATCTTAAATATTTACTTTTTAAGATACTGTATTCAACAGTTATTTTGATTGCCCAACGCTGTATTAAAAACATACAATAAAAATAATAAAGTTTTTTTTTTAATTAAATCACACGACATAGTTTAAATTTCATTAACACTAAGATAAATTAGTTTTTTTAAGTTAAGTTGGTTACGGACTCGCAATTTCATTGGTTAAATGAGGTAATTTTTATTTATTTTATTCTATATTAATACATATGGCAACTTCTTTTTATATATCAAATGAATTATTGGTGTGAATTCCGCAATCTAAATATCGTAGACAATATGTAGTTGTTTAACAAATAAACTATTAAGAAACTCTGGTGTGGAACGAGTTTTGACGCTCCAATTAAAGTAGTATGTTACACGCAATACTAAAAGATATAGGCAACTGCAGAAGCTCTTAACGTTTTTTTATTGTACTCAATGGCGATCGGTCATTTAGGCAACCGGCCCAGTGTCTTTAAGTACATAACCTCTACCTCGTCAAAAATCATCTGTGATTGATACATCAGTTTTGGGCAGTGCAGCAGTTTTCATTAGAATGTCGCAGCAAGAGAAGCCCATGAAAATTTCGAAGGTGCTGCGGCAGAAGGCGCAGGAGATGCTTGGCTCCAGGAAGTACGCCAACAATCTGTTGGATATCATGAGACACTTCGACACTGGAGCAGATACATGCCCTTGTATACTGACACTGGAAATGATTTTTACCAGCCTTCTCAAGAGCAGTGAGATGTTCATTGAGATTGTGCCATTGAAGCCAATGGAGAGGACTGCAGAGATCCAGTATCGGGAATGGCTTAAGCAGATTTATGAGGAGGCTTGGAACAAGATGGTCCATTGTCTTGACCATGCTTCACCCAAAGTTGCCACACAAGGTAGATTTTTAATTGTATTTTGAACATTGACTGCATTCAAATCAATGTTAATCTCAATAGGAGAAAATACATTAAAACGTCATTTGTGGATAACCTATTATTGGAGAAAAATAATTATCTTTTTTTTGTACATTTGTTTATGTTGATAATTAATCAGCAAGTTTCATTTTGTTTTATTTATAAGAAAGAATATATTCACAAAACTTGAAAGATTAAATTCTCATATAATACATATATAAGTATAAAGTAAATATACTATTATGTACATTTATATGAAGTAAAATCGCGTAATTTAGTTCCCTAATAGAATTGTGTAGTTGAAATTGAAATATTATTGCTTATTTGAATAGACTGTATTATTGATTTTTATGATTGATTTAGCTCTGGCCAGTTGTATGAATATAATGGCACATGAGGGTCGTTACCCGTTGGAACCTAGGAGCAGTCAAGAACACTACATACCATTCTACAGACTGAAACCTATTGTGATGAAGATTATCTTCAACAGACAGAGCAGCGCGCATCTTATTAACAAATTCCAGGAGTACTTGGTATACGATGATATGTTGTTTGCCACGTGGAAGTTATTACCTTCATTGACCGCCAAGACGAATCCCAACGATGTCTACATAATGAATTTCTTAATGCTCCTCGAGAAATTGCAGCTACAACAAAACACTGAAGGATCTATTTTGTTCAGCACCGAAGAAGGTGATAATTGTCCGATGGGATTGATGTAATTTGTATAATGTGTATTTTTTTTTCCTATTAGGAGAACACAACTTCATTTACGATGAGAATTCGGCTAGGAAGAGTTTAAATAAAGTTTGGAATTGCGTGATGCTTTGGGAACAAGGACCGGTAACGCTCAAGCAGTTACTGATTGTACTTCTGGAGAGAGTTATGCCGTACTTGGATAAACCGTTGATGCTCACCGATTTCCTAATGGACGCATTGGATATCGGCGGGCCGGTGAGTCTGCTGGCCCTGCAAGGACTCTTCACGCTCATCCAATCGCACAATCTCGATTATCCGAACATCTTCGCTAAGTTATATTCCATGTTCGAGCCGGAGATTTTTCATACCAAGTTCAAGGCCAGACTCTTCTATTTGTCAGATATGTTCCTAAGCTCCACACATTTACCGGAGAATATGGTGGCAGCGTTTGCGAAGCGTCTTGCTCGGCTCGCATTAATCGCACCCAGCGAGGACATTATTATTATTTGTATGTTTATAGGAAATTTAATATTAAGGTTAGTCAACTTTTTTCGTTTTCTTGTCAAACTGTCTTGTGACAAATATTATAAGCTATTCGTAAATCAATTGATAAATTATGGAAGGTCCCGAGTTCGAATCTCGGCGGTAGTAACGAAGGACTGTGTGCTTTTTAAATGGATCTGAGTTAACCAGTAAATGTTTTTTTTATTAGCTTATTTATTTAGTTTTATTTATTTTTAATGACTAGTATTAAACAAATGATATTTTCAGACATCCTGGATTGAAGTGCATGTTGAATCATCCGAATGGTGGCTCTGCGACGAACGACCCTTACATCATGGAGGAACGCGACCCGGTGAAGTCAAATGCCATCAACAGTTCTTTGTGGGAAATCCAGAGTCTTCAAAACCATGTTTTGCCTAGCGTGGCAATGGCTGCCCGTTTCATCAACACACCATTACCAAGCGTTGAATGGGACATTACCAAAGTGCTGGACAACTCTTCCGACGACATTTTCGATAAGGAGATAAAGAAAAACCACAAGCTGATAGCACTTGCCTTCGATCGGCCGAATGGCTGCTTCCTAAACAGAGGGGAAATAATCTCGCAGTATTGGAATTTCTAATTTTCTTAACATGAACAAAAAATATAATAAACTGACCATTATTTCTGTAATACTTGCTGTGTTATTGTATTATTATCTAGTTATACATATATAATTATTGTTATATAATAATCAATTCGACGAGGATTCTTTTCATTTTTTTTATATGTAATTTAATAACGGTAATAAGTAATGGAGGTATTCAACAGGCATATGTAAGAACAGCACCGCGTGTAGCTCTGTAGTATGGATATTTCTGTTTTGTTATCGTTTGTGTATGTTATGAAAATGAATAAAACGAGTGAAATTGTTGCTTTTTTCATATGTAAACTAAAAATAATTTGCATTTTAATTATTAAATTAAAACTTGGTTTGTCATTATTTTCTGTTTGTATGTATCTAGCTGATATAATTAACTAAGTTATTATTAGTCATACAAAAAAGGTCAATGTTTAATTGTATTTTATTCGAAAACAGACAAGTGGTACTTATTAATTTACATTCATTTCATTTAACGGATTATTTAACATCTATCGACTAATAATATTATGAAATTTCACTAATAGAGACTGGAAGAGTGATCAGAAGGAATTAAAGTAAACAAAAAGCAAAAATGGCAATTATATGTGTGGACAATTATATGTGGGGTCCGGTTTCTTGAGCGTGTCCTACTTTTTTACACCCTGTATATTTACTTGCCACCTTCAGCTGGGTTTGGGTGTATATCGCACGTTACGTTCGAAAGTGCGATCTATTAGTTTGAGTTCATGAAGTGCGCATGCGTAGAAGTGAATCCGTGAATATTTTTAAATTT